AAAAAAAAAAAAAAAATTCCTAAATAGAAAAAGGCACCAGTTCAATATGTGCCTGGTAGACATGCAAAGTTTTGTAAGAAAATATTAAACAGTTTTGAGTTATGCTCCGGAAACGAACTCTACTCTGTAGAACCTAAGTCCAACATGTTGCCCTGGAAACGTAAAAAATAAAAATTTCTAAAATTCCTAAAAGGCACCTTCAGTATGTGACTGATAGATCTGCAAAGTTTCGATCAAATACACTGAATTGTTTTCGAGTTCTGCCTCGGAAAAGGAAATGATTACGGACGGAAAGACGGACGGACGGACAGACAGACAGACAGACTGGCTGATCGCTATATCCCCCCGCATTATATGCCAGAGGGATAAAAAGAAATAAAATAATATATAAAACAAATGTTCTTCATTGACACTCCATCTCCTGGAATTTGCAAGGACTGCAAGTATCCAGTCTAGCACCCGCAAAACCATAATACAAATTCTCACTCTCATCAATAACCAAATTTATTGAATGTGTTTCTCTCAACGTAACATCATAATGATTTACGAAGACGCTAACTAATCAGGAAACATTGTAGCAAATTTCGTTACCTTTCTACACACCTCCATCCTCTTCAGTTGTTCCTCTTCTGAAGTAAGTTCGACGAGAGATACGTATTGTTTTGCCTCTACTTTAGCCAATTAAAATATTTAAAAACTCTTGAGGACTGTTTTGTTCTGTAAAATGTCAGCCTATCACGACTGTTCAATAATGCATTGGATGCACGAAGTTTCCCAACAAAACTTGATAACATTACCGCGATAGTAAATAATTGTATGACATGATGATGCTCGAATGTTAGTTCCATCTGACAAATGTCAATATCCACGAAGGAACATGGACTCTGTAATGTGTACATTTTAAATAATCTATACAGTTGTTAGGGTAACAAAGATGTGAAATATTTTAATCATTATTTGCCACTGGGCAAAGTAAACTACTGATGTAACATGTTTCAATTTAACGTGGAAAAAATCCTAAGGTCACAAAAAAGGACAAGCTAAATGATGAGGGTTTTGGGGGATCTACTGAAAGTGTCAAGGTTATGGAATACTTTTGCATATTGTTTTGAACATAATCAGAAAAGTTCAAAAGGCTGACAACTACCCTTTTCTCTTTCCCTCGCGTACAAGATCGGCAAATGCGACACGTTAAAGTCAAGAGCGAGGTTTCGTTAAAAATGCTTTCGAAGTGGACGAAAGCAACTGTGCAGGGCGAGAGGCAGATGCACACTTTCTCGCTTATCCTTACGGGATGTTACTTTTATAATAATTTGTATCAGGGTGGGGACTCTTTGTTTCCGAGTGTCATCATAGGCTCAGTAGAATTTATCTGTGCTGAGTCAACCACAAACGATTCCCTGTCATTGACAATGTATATTTACAGGAATTATTCCAATGAAACTGGAATAAAATCGGGTATAAACGACGAGTTGTGGATAATTAAGGTTGGAGATGCGAAACAAGAAAAAGCTTGTGTAGTGGTGCAAAGACGTGAAGAATCAGTGAGAAACATGCATCTTTTCTGATGAAAGTCAAGTGACCACTGCACCGACAACCCTACTTTCAAATGGCAAATGGATATCGTGATATTGGACTGTTTGTTTTACACGGTCTATAAGTGCAGTCGATGGTACAAATACCAATTGAAAGATTTGGCCTGTTGTTACTCGGCATTTCTGCAATAACCAACACGCCTTCATGACCTACTGAGTGGCCGGCAGAGTTTCTGGTTTGGATATCATCAATATGCGAACATATGAATGCATATGAAGAAAGAGTTGAAACCACGAGCAGCAAACACCAAGAATAACGTGATCCGCTTTGCATTATGTCTGGGGAAATATACCTGTAGACCTTATATGTTGACTGTATGCTCAAATTTCAGGGCGTGTTAATAAATTTATTAGGGTGAAAGGAAATCAGACCTAATATTAAGGTCAGTATATTAACAAGAGGAAAAAGTCATCAATATCCCCCGCAGTGGTAAATAATTGACGGGAAAAAAGTTGCTATGGACGCTCAAAACATATTCGTTTAACAAATCCGGAACAATCAAAAGGCACCAGTTTACCACTAGACCTCTCTATGTGCAAAGTTCAGTGAAGAAACATAGTTTTCAAGATCTGCTCCGGAAACGAGCACTACCACCATTTTCAGTCTTGTTCAAAGCTGTTGCCATGGAACTAGAAAATGTTTTTCAAAAATCCCAAACTATAAAAAGGCACCAGTTAATCACAAGACCTATCTATCTAAGTTTGTTGAGGAAATGTACGGGTTTCCAAAACGACATCTTGCACGGACGGACGGTGTCCATCTTAATACCACATTGCTTTGGACAGCGTTATTGGTTACTGGTTGAGGTGGTGATGTTCATTCTCAATCATCTGAGGAAATGTCTACAGACGTTGAGTTTGGTGAGCAGTATCAAGTTTTGATTGTCTAAATAATCCAAAATAACATGGCCTTGATGAACATTTCCTTGGTGGAACTCAATACAATACAATTAGTGTTACCACATACATCGATACAGTCTACCCACGTCTCATCAATTTGATCAGAGGCATTATTAGTTTGCCACATGATGTTCAAACTCATTAAAATCAGATCTTATGTTTCCAGACTATTTTTGTCACAGCAAGAACTAAGACCTGATTTGAATGAGATTTCATGATGTTCAAACACAAATAAGCTGTGTTAAGTCCAAAAAGTTGGATAGGGGTGACATTGTGATTTACTGCACAAATTCTGACCGGTTACGAAATACATTTAACCTATCCACCTGGTGTGCTGCCAGTCACAGGGATCATCCCCAAAAGTATATCTGAAGGTCGGGGGGTGATATAAAACGTTGACAATGACAGTGTTGTGCACCTCTTAGGAGTGTCAAGTACCCATGGTGCACCCCTAAGGAGGGTAAAGTGCCTGTGGTGCACCTCTACGGAGCGCCAAGTGCCTGTGGTGCACGTCTAAGGAGAGTGAAGTACCCATGGTGCATCTCTAAGGAATGTCAAGTACCCATGGTGCACCTCTAAGGAGTGTCAAGTACCCATGATGCACCTCTAAGGAGTGTCAAGTGCCTGTGGTGCATCTCTAAGGAGTGTCAAGTGCCAGTGGTGTAACTCTAAGGAGTGACACGTACCCATGGTGCACCTCCAAGGAGCATCAAGTCCCTGTGGTGCACCTCTAAGGAATGTCAAGTACCCATGGTGCACCTCTAAGGAGCGTCAAGTGCCTGTGGTGCATCTCTAAGGAGTGACAAGTACCCATGGTGCACCTCCAAGGAGCATCAAGTCCCTGTGGTCCACCTCTTAGGAATGTCAAGTACCCATGGTGCACCTCTGAGGAGCGTCAAGTACCCATGGTGCACCTCTAAGGAGTGTCAAGTGCCTGTGGTGTATCTCTAAGGAGTGTCAAGTGCCTGTGGTGCATTTTTAAGGAGTTTCAATCGCCTGTGGTGCATCTCTAAGGAGTGTCAAGTGCCTGTGGTGCATCTCTAAGGAGTAGTCAAGTAACCATGGTGCACCTCTTAGGAGAGTCAAGTGCCTGTGGTGCACCTCTAAGGAGTGTCAAGTGCCTGTGGTGCACCACTAAGGACAGTGTTGAGTGCCTGTGATGCACCACTGAGGACAGTGTTGAGTGCCTGTGATGCACCACTGAGGACAGTGTTGAGTGCCTGTGGTGCACCACTAAGGACAGTGTTGAGTGCCTGTGATGCACCACTGAGGACAGTGTCAAGTGCCTGTGGTGCACCACTGAGGACAGTGTTGAGTGCCTGTGATGCACCACTGAGGACAGTGTCAAGTGCCTGTGATGCACCACTGAGGACAGTGTCAAGTGCCTGTGGTGCACCACTGAGGACAGTGTTGAGAGCCTGTGGTGCACCACTGAGGACAGTGTCAAGTGCCTGTGGTGCATCTCTAAGGAGTGTCAAGTGCCTGTGGTGCATCTCTAAGGAGTAGTCAAGTAACCATGGTGCACCTCTAAGGAGAGTCAAGTACCCATGGTGCACCTCTAAGGAGTGGTGCACCTCTTGGGACAGTGTCAAGTGCCTGTGGTGCACCTCTAAGGAGTGTCAAGTGCATGTGGTGCACCTCTAAGGAGTGTCAAGTGCATGTGGTGCACCACTGAGGACAGTGTTGAGTGCCTGTGGTGCACCACTGAGGACAGTGTTGAGTGCCTGTGATGCACCACTGAGGACAGTGTTGAGTGCCTGTGGTGCACCACTGAGGACAGCGTCAAGTGCCCGTGATGCACCACTGAGGACAGTGTCAAGTGCCTGTGGTGCATCTCTAAGGAGTAGTCAAGTAACCATGGTGCACCTCTTAGGAGAGTCAAGTGCCTGTGGTGCACCTCTAAGGAGTGTTAAGTGCCTGTGGTGCACCACTAAGGACAGTGTTGAGTGCCTGTGGTGCACAACTGAGGACAGTGTTGAGTTCCTGTGGTGCACCACTGAGGACAGTGTCAAGTGCCTGTGATGCACCACTGAGGACAGTGTCAAGTCCCTGTGGTGCACCACTGAGGACAGTGTTGAGTGCCTGTGGTGCACAACTGAGGACAGTGTTGAGTGCCTGTGGTGCACCACTGAGGACAGTGTCAAGTGCCTGTGGTGCACCACTGAGGACATTCTATAGTACCCATGGTGCAATTCTGAGGATTATTAAAATTTGGAAAAAAATTAAAACAGCAAAATGGCACCAGTTCAGCTGGTGAGTAATGCATATGCCAATTTTCATTCAAATATGTTATAAAGTTTTATAGCTGTGGCTCTGAATAGGAGGGGAACGCTGATGGGAATCGAGCTTAAACAATATCATTATGACTTACAGGGTGTACAAGTACAAGACAATGCAGATAGCAGTAACAATGGAAGCTGATAGAAGCAGGTGCTAAAGCATGTGTGAACACCTTTTATGGAGAAAGAGGACTGTCTTTATCTGATGACAAAACTTCAAAGTGTAGACAATTTCATGATTTTATTGTTACAATTTAAATACATGTACATGTTGGATTAAAAAAATCATTGCATGATAACAACTAGTGGGTAGAATCTTTGCAACAAAAAAACAGTGTTATCACATCCCCCTGCCCCCATGGGGCACATTACAATATTGTTGAACTTGTGCTGCTTTACGTCACCAGAAAACATGATTAAATGTAAAATTAATACACACAAAATGCCCCTTTTCCGGAAAAAATATTTTGATAAATATCTCTTAGATAAAATAATTTCACTAGTTTCTGAGAAACCTAGTCCCCAGACACTTTGCACTAAGTAATATACATGGATCAAGGGCTGTAACTCTATCAAAAACATAATTTACTGGACCATTTTTCAAACTCAGTCTTGAAAAGTATCTCTAAGATAAGCCATGCAAACTTGCATTCAAGTTACTTCAGTAGTTTCTGATAAAACCTGTCCCCATTTCACACACAATGCACAAACTTGAAAAGCATGGAACAAGGGCCATAACTCCCACATGAACATTTCCCCCTTCTGTCTGACACAGCATGACTACCTTGAAATACTTTTGTGATCTTTGAGCCATTTCTTTGAATGATGATAAGTACATGTAAAACAAATCCACGTGTTAATAAAAAAAAGTACAAACAAGAAAAGAAAGAATCCACAAAATTAACATTAAATATTAAAGATGAAAACGTCTTCAAACACTTCAAAGATGCAGCAAAAAGTCATGATAATCCATAATTTATCACAACATGTCCACTTTGTTCAGTGATTATACCTTGATGTCCATAAAAGAACAATCATGTGGTATGTTAAACCCAAGTTACCTTAATAGATTTCAAATGTAATATTAACAAATAAATACCTCCCTCCCTTCTCAGTCAGCTTTGGGAAACATCACGAGAAACAGGAACATATTATTAACTGGCCAAACATGCAGGGATATCTAAATTAGGTATTACAAGCCAAATGAATGTGTGTGCACACTGCATGCCCTTCTAACACAGTCTGCCACAATAATCCAATGACAGACAATCTACAAAGGTTCCTGATATTCACAGGCGTACACCTATACTCCCCTGATGGCAAGTCTGTGACAGTTACGGTTATTCACAGGCATGCACATATAACCCCTGATGGCCAGTCTGTGACAGTTCCTGTTATTCCCAGGTGTACACCTATAATCCCCTGATGGCTGGTCTGTGACAGTTACTGTTATTCCCAGGTGTACACCTATAAACCCCTGATGGCCAGTCTGTGACAGTTCATGTTATTCACAGACACCCACCTATAATCTCCAGATGGCCGGTCTGTGACAGTTCCTGTTATTCACAGGTGTACACCTATAATCCCCTCATGGCCAGTCTGTGACAGTTCCTGTTATTCACAGGCATACACCTATAATCCCCTCATGGCCAGTCTGTGACAGTTCCTGTTATTCACAGGCGTACACCTATAATCCCCTCATGGCCAGTCTGTGACAGTTCCTGTTATTCACAGGCGTACACCTATAATCCCCTCATGGCCATCTCTCAGAAAGACATGCCAGCCTGCTCTGCCACACTCAGAATCTGCATTTGTCTCATCCACCGGACCCTTCAAGTACTCCACACAGAAACATCTTGGTCCTGGTCCAAGGAAGGGCAGCACCCCCAGGATCTTCCCGTGACGGTCATAGTGGAACACATGCTCTCTGTAGAAACTGCCCCCCTCCTGCAGAGTCGTTGACACTAGAAACTCACCTGGGAAATAAATAACATTTAAACATTTTTGTGAAGTCAACAAATTCAAGACTATTTCTCGGTTCCATCACTTTGTACCTGACAGCCAAACAATGTTTTGGTGACCCAAGGCTTTACTAGCATGTCTCCAAGTGTACCAGCCTATTTGGGGAAAGCTGTGTATCCATGTTGTATACCGGTAATGCACACACCATTTCTAGTTACCATCTAGGATAAACCTCAATGCAAATGCCTACTTGCTCAATAAACTACGAGCCATCTTTGCCATTCAGTTTTCTGAAGTGTGGGTGTTTCTGTCTACAAACCTGGCAACAAATAATTTGGCACAACACAATAAACATGTGTTAGCTCCCTGTTGAGAATGTTGAGATACATTTGGCCTTGACCTCTGCTTCTCTTGCATTCTATTCACACATGGCTTCTGAAGTTACTTCAATGAGTAACAGTATCTCTTACACTCTGACGATTTCAAGACCCACATTAGGCTAAAAAAAATAAATTCTTGGTTCTCAGGCACCGCCGCATCATCACAAAGTCCACAGCCCGATTTGTATTTATTTCCATTTAAAAAAAAAAAAATCCTTAAATATTCTGTGTCTCAAACACAAGACCCAAAAAGTGAATATGCTACAACACTTTAAAACAATGTGATCCAATAAAATGTGCAGTTACTTCCCTTTTAATGCACACTGTTTTACTGCGCATCTTGTGTGTTATCATGGTTATGGTCATGGCGGCACATAGGAGTGTGCATGCTTTGCTGTTTGCAAATTTGGTCAATGAAAACAATAAATTTGCGATAAAACATCACCAGACATGATTGATTTATAAATTCAATCGTATTTGTGTACTGTATGCAGGAAAATATTTCATACGCAGAGGTTAAGATTTACAATTAGATCTAGATCTACATGTGTATTTGTCTTGTAAAATAAGCGGGAAATGCTAATATATATACCCCGTCTATAAAGTAAATCGGAATGAAGCACATCATCACTGCATACAAAGTCCCTATATTTGCAATAAAAACGTGTTTGTCTTCCTCAGAAAAAAATTACATCACATCGCTTCAGCGAATTCAGGAAAACAAACAGATATGACAATTAAACTTGGTCAATACAAATTTGAAATTTGAGATAAAACATCACTAGATATGATGATTTACCGATTAAATTGTATTTTCTGTTCTGATTGGCATTGTTTTATATGCAGAGATTAAGATAACCGTGTGTCTTGTCTCGTAAACTAAGCCGGAAGTTGCAATCAGCTGTACACACATTTCTCGGAATCTACCGGTGATTCAGTCAAAAATTACCCAATAATATAACTTGAAAGAATTTTGATACAATGAGCGGAAGTATTGTATCTGAAACTATTTTTTTATCAGGAATAATTTATTCCAATATCATGGTAGTTGCAGCTTTACTATATGTGAAATTAATTAATAACCATAAGCACAGCATTTTGGCTCAGCTGATCGCTATTGCAGCATATTCTTTCGTATGGAAGAATTTGCCCAATCACTGTCGATGCTCCCGCAGCCGTGATTGCAAAAGTTTTATGTTGGCATATGATAGTCAAACTACAACAAATATGACTTTCTGCAATTCAATATATGTCATTTATGATATATATATCCATTCTCTATCCACTAAAGTTTGTTTCAAGGCGTCAATAGCTGTAATATGACCTTGGTTGCTGAAAATAATGGTGAGTTGTGCGATCTTCCGATCACTTCACCTACGATTTCGCCGAAATGAATTGAAACAGTATATTGATTGAAATGTTGAATAAAATTAATAAAATAGCTTACATTTACAAATCCAGAAATATTATGAACTCTTTTTACAACAAGATGGATTACATGATTAATTTGCGTACTTCAGCATGGATTTTCTGACATGGTATTTCCGGTGTTATGTGCTCACAGTAATGTGTTTGTGTTGGCGAAAAAAATATTTTAAAAAAACCCTCTTCAAACCCTTCAACAACCCCCACCCCCTTTGAAAGCCTCCTAATTCTAGTTATGAAAACTCGCCTTATACACAGCGATATACAGATTTGGATTCTTACTAATTTGTACACCCCCCCCCCCAAAAAAAAAGCCGCCCGCACGATATTTTGAAAAGCTATTGCCTGAGAACTAATTCTTTTTTCTTAAGCCTTATATATAATGATTATTACCCAAATGTGTTTCTGTATCAAATATATATTAGGTATTAAAAAATACTTTCAAATATCTGATATTTTTCAATAAGGAAGCACCCAAGATCAATAAGCTCTTTTTCATGAACACTATAATACAAACAATTCTGGTAGCTGTCCTGAAATAGCAATATCTACCATGTCCACTTATGGAATAACATTCCACAGCAACTCCAGGAACCAAAAGGTCCATGACAATCTCCACAGCATCGTCTGTGACATCCACAAACATCAGTATTGCACTGATGCCAACCGTGAGTCTGGTCCTCTCCTCCAGTTTTTTCTGCTCCAGTATCCTAACTGGAGATCCTGGCAGGAAGCTGATGTAGCAGCCGTCCTCACTCACCTCCAGGCTGCTGCTGTGGTCAGAATTAAACAAAAATAGGTTGCATCGTGAGTTTGAAAATAAACATTTTAGGTACCATGGTTACTGCCATAAAAGGTTTAAATTCACCGATTTGGAATTTCAGTGCAAAATATCATCCTTTACACTTCATTTGTTAAAACACTTAATGTCCCATTTTCTCTTGTTGACCACAAAATTATGTTACCAAGATTACTACTGAGAAATCCCTACCTGTCCTGTTGCTTGGTAACAGTCAGGGTTTGTAGTGTGTCAGGATGCAGGAAGAAGATGGCATTGTCTGTTACAGCCATGACTGTATTTCCTCCAAACAGGAGAGTTTTTATTACAGGAAACTCTTCACTCAAAACCTCATCTGCAGTGATAGGATCACATCGGACTCTGAAACAAGGATTATAGCAAATGAAGGAAAGGACACACATGGCTATATGATGTGAAGTGAAAATAACTGCTTCAGTAACAGACTTGGTGAATACTTAACACTGCTCACCCTTGTAGTGAAAATAACTGCTTCAGTAACAGAATTGGTGAATACATAACACTGCTCACCCTTGTAGTGAAATAACTGCTTCAGTAACAGACTTGGTGAATACATAACACTGTTTACCATTGTAGTGAAAATAACTGCTTCAGTAACAGACTTGGTGAATACATAACACTGCTCACCCTTGTAGTGAAATAACTGCTTCAGTAACAGACTTGGTGAATACATAACACTGCTCACCCTTGTAGTGAAATAACTGCTTCAGTAACAGACTTGGTGAATACATAACACTGTTTACCATTGTAGTGAAAATAACTGCTTCAGTAACAGACTTGGTGAATACATAACACTGCTCACCCTTGTAGTGAAATAACTGCTTCAGTAACAGACTTGGTGAATACATAACACTGCTCACCCTTGTAGTGAAAATAACTGCTTCGGTAACAGACTTGGTGAATACATAACACTGCTCACCCTTGTAGTGAAAATAACTGCTTCGGTAAAAGACTTGGTGAATACATAACACTGCTCACCCTTGTAGTGAAATAACTCCTTCAGTAACAGACTTGGTGAATACATAACACTGCTCACCCTTGTAGTGAAAATAACTGCTTCTGTAACAGACTTGGTGAATACCGGTAAGCCGAATCAGGAATTGAAAGACAAAAAACACTGTGAAGTCGGACTGCAAGACATGTGCCGGTACTCTCAGATATTCAAAAATATAAGATGAAAAACGTTGCAATTATATTGAAAAAGTCATTATTATTTCTAATAAAGATTTAACAAACCAGTCATCCACTTTCAAATGTGGGAAGCTGTTTCTCGTGTTTTTTTTAAATCTCATAATGATCGTTATATGTTGCCATCAACAGCCAAGCGCCATTTTGTGAATCGGTGTATATAGAATTATGAACCTGTGAGAAAATATATCAGCTGGAGCGAAGACTCGCAGTTTGAATTCAGCATCGTAAGCATGGCGTTTTCGTCTAAAACTCATGATGAAAATGTCGTCAGTAAAAATATACCAACTTTTATAATCCCCTTTACACCACTATTGTATGTTTATGCAATTGAAGTAAATAAACTATCATACTATGAACACATTGAATGACCATCACTTACTCACAGGCTTCTCCAGTTTATTAAACTAATCTCTCGAAAACAAAGGAATTAAGCCCCTACTCCCAACACGATCGCTAAGCACCCACAACTTGAAAATGTTTGTGTAAACAACATGACAATACCAATCGGCCTGTAATTATCAGTGCTCATTTCCTTGTGTACCGTGTTGCTTTAAACAACAGGAAGCAATCACAGTGGTCACCGTTTGTGACGTCACAGGAAACAGCTGATCACATGTTTTTGCAAATGGCGAACGGAATAACTCGCCGATACAGTTGTTTATTTGCCTCTTTCAATAAAGGTAGACACTTGTTCACTATCAATTTATGAACTTTGCAAAACGTACGTAATAGCTATTGGCGATTTCATCTGGGGATTATATATTATAGCTGTGAATTACATATATTGTTACATTTAAAGATTGTGGAGTTTACGAAGAACGATAAACTTTGAACATTCAATTGAAAACTTATTATCGGAAGTAGTAACATGCATAACATATTTTTAATAATGACAACATTGGTGTATAATAATAACTTTATTGATAATTTATAACAACAGTGGCTCTAGTCGTGGCAACTTCCAAACTTTCGGGAAGTTGTAATCTATCGGACCGTCATTCAGGCGATGTTTCTGACAGATCACGATCTGAAAAATACTATCATGAAAGTGTATCCCGTGGATAAGCCGACCCCTTTCTACAGAATCTTTTTTCTGGTCCTCAAAATTCGGCTTATACGTGGTCATATACGGTACATAACACTGCTCACCCTTGTAGTGAAAATAACTGCTTCTGTAACAGACTTGGTGAATACATAACACTGTTTACCACTGTGGTGAAAATAACTCCTTAAGTAACAGACTTGGTGAATACATAACACTGCTCACCCTTGTAGTGAAAATAACTGCTTCAGTAACAGACTTGGTGAATACATAACACTGTTTACCATTGTGGTGAAAATAACTCCTTCAGTAACAGACTTGGTGAATACATAACACTGCTCACCCTTGTAGTGAAAATAACTCCTCCAGTAACAGACTTGGTGAATACATAACACTGTTCACCACTGTGGTGAAAACAACAGCTTCTGTAACAGACTTGGTGATTATTAACACTGCTCACCCTTGTAGTGAAAATAACTGCTTCAGTAACAGACTTGGTGAATACATAACACTGCTCACCCTTGTAGTGAAAATAACTGCTTCAGTAACAGAATTGGTGAATACATAACACTGCTCACCCTTGTAGTGAAATAACTGCTTCAGTAACAGACTTGGTGAATACATAACACTGTTTACCATTGTAGTGAAAATAACTGCTTCAGTAACAGACTTGGTGAATACATAACACTGCTCACCCTTGTAGTGAAATAACTGCTTCAGTAACAGACTTGGTGAATACATAACACTGCTCACCCTTGTAGTGAAAATAACTGCTTCAGTAACAGACTTGGTGAATACATAACACTGCTCACCACTGTGGTGAAAACAACAGCTTCTGTAACAGACTTGGTGATTATTAACACTGCTCACCCTTGTAGTGAAAATAACTGCTTCAGTAACAGACTTGGTGAATACATAACACTGCTCACCCTTGTAGTGAAAATAACTGCTTCAGTAACAGAATTGGTGAATACATAACACTGTTTACCCTTCTAGTGAAAATAACTGCTCCGGTAACAGACTTGGTGAATACATAACACTGTCCACCCATGTAGTGAAAATAACTGCTTCAGTAACAGACTTGGTGAATACATAACACTGCTCACCCCTGTAGTGAAAATAACTGCTTCAGTAACAGACTAGGTGAATACATAACACTGCTCACCCATGATTTAAGAAATTAACTGCAACATTAACCACTTGGAGATGGAGTTGGGGGCATGTGTACATGGCTTGGAATAGAGGACTGCTAATGGTTGGCCTTTAGAAATAGAGGCCCTCCATCTACAGTTTACAGTATTAACAACATAAATTAAATGTCTGACTGAAAGACAGTTGAGAATAAGCCTCTCCCTGAGGCTCTGAGTTCTTATCTACAAAGCGCTGGTTATAATATTGAGTCATAGAACTAGGAACACTTTGTGGATGTGGAGCTGGTTTCTTTGAGAAGTAATGTTGTGGTATCGGCAGTCTCATCCAGAGAGTTAGGGAGTGATGGAACACGGTTTTTTTCACCAAAGCAAGGATGCCAAATGCACAAAGAACCAACATGTACTGTACCTAAGTTTGTTATCTGTGAGGCCATAGAGCTTCTTCCCGAGAACATGTGGTTCCTCCATTTGATTATCTGAGATGGTCTTTAGCAACTCTCCTTTCTTGCCAAATACAAACTGCTTCCTGGAACACACACCACATGAGCATATATTGTTTAATGAAGTGTTGAGTTGTTTAAAAGAGAATATAAAAGCTTGGTGTTTTTTCCAGTGATAAAGATACAATGACATGCAATCAGGCAAGTCTGACCAGCACAGGTACCTTGGGACGTGTCCAACCCAGAATCCCTGACTGTGACAGCATATGTTGATGGGGACATACAGTGATCGCTCGCTATTGCGCTCTTCGATAAAGCGCTACTTCGGTTATTACGCGCGGTAACGCATGGCTCCCCAAATTTATGTACACTTTTAATACTGAGAGTTTTACACAGACATGATTGTATTGTTGTTCGTTGTTTATTTGCACATAACGCTTCTCATTGCATAATCAACGGTTTATCGCTGAATGGAGTTCTAATAATCTGTTTGAAAACATCCGCGGCAGGTCCCGGAAATACGATTGTTCTACTAGTTAACTTTTCACACTATACATCCTTTGATCTTAGAAGCGCATGCATGCAATAAAAGAGAACCACAAGTGAAGTTTATATTCTTAATAAGTGGGCAATCCAATTTAAGGCTAAACTGTCACACACATGTAGTTGCTGTCACAACACGGCGGTCATTCATTTCGTAATCGCGCTTTCGTAACATCGCCTGTTTTTTTCCCCGTAGTTATAACAAGCGATTTCATTGGATTAAAATTTGTTTCTAATGACGCTTTCTTGCCGAAATCTGCTACAAGTTTCGTGATTGGTCAATTTTGAGCACGTGACCTCAGGCAGCCAATCAAGCTGTGATACAAAGCTCGTGTTTGATAAATTTCAGAAGTTAGCGAAAGATTTTTTGTTAAATCGTGTTATTCTGAACGTTTTAAGCAGGAAATCACGATATATATTAAAAATATGGAACTTTGTGAATGTATCGTGCTAGGTTACGAGCTGTGACAAAGATTTTTCATGCATATATTTTTGCATTAAACGTTGTGTCCGAGCCGAGAAATCAAGGCGACGAAAGCCGAGATGTCATTTGACTTACATTACACGCGATCGCACGAAACGATGGAAATAATAACTTAGATGTAAGTTTGATTACTTTTAGATATATTTTTGTTGATTTTATTTATCACTTTGTATAATATATTTAAAGATTTGCTTAAAATAGTCTTTATTTTGCACTTTGACATGTTCGATGCGGACCCGTTGTCGAAATGTGTGTCCGAGAATTTTATTTTCAATAACATCGCGGGAAATAGTGAATAATTTTTTAATTTATTGATAAAAAATGATAAATTAGAATGGAATACGTATTTCAGACATTGTGAAATATGACAGATTTAATAAATGAATGATATTACAGGTAGATCTAGGTCCATAAAAATATATACTATTTTGACGTGACGTGAGATAAATACATAGGCCTATTGATGATTTGAGATTTGCCGAGCGCGCTCCCCCGCCTCGGCCTCGGTTAAACGGCTCATCGTCTATAACGCCCACCAATTATTTGGACCCCATTGGTAGCGCAATAGCGAGCGATCACTGTATCCTAACTCGGAATCACCGCCTGTGACCAGCACAGGTTGCTGGGGACCTATCCTATTACTAGAACCACCGCTGTGACCAGCACACGTTCCTTGGGACCTATCCTAACTCAGAATCACCACTGTGACATGCACAGGTTCCTGGGGACCAAACGTAACTCAGAATCACTGCCTGTGACCAGCACAGGTTGCTTGGGATGTATCCTCACTCAGAATCACCGCTGTGACATGCACAGGTTCCTGGGGACCAAACGTAACTCAGAATCACTGCCTGTGACCAGCACAGGTTGCTTGGGATGTATCCTCACTCAGAATCACCGCTGTGACATGCACAGGTTCCTGGGGACCAAACGTAACTCAGAATCACCGCTGTGACCAGCACAGGTTCCTGGGGACCAAACGTAACTCAGAATCACTGCCTGTGATCAGCACAGGTTCCTGGGGACCTATCCTAACTCAGAATCACTGCCTGTGATCAGCACAGGTTCCTGGGGATGTATCCTATTACTCAGAATCACAGACTGTGACCAGCACAGGTTCCTGGGGACCTATCCTCACTCAGAATCACCGCCTGTGACCAGCACAGGTTCCTGGGGACATATCCTAACTCAGAATCACTGCCTGTGATCAGCACAGGTTCCTGGGGATGTATCCTATTACTCAGAATCACAGACTGTGACCAGCACAGGTTCCTGGGGACCTATCCTAACTCAGAATCACCACTGTGACCAGCACAGGTTCATGGGGACCAAACGTAACTCAGAATCACCACTGTGACCAGCACAGGTTCCTGGGGACCTATCCTCACTCAGAATCACTGCCTGTGATCAGCACAGGTTCCTGGGGATGTATCCTATTACTCAGAATCACCGCCTGTGACCAACACAGGTTGCTGGGGGGGGGGGACCTATCCTAACTCAGAATCACAGACTGTGACCAGCACAGGTTCCTGGGGACGTATCCCATGACACAGAATACCTGACTGTGACCAGCATAGGTTGCTGCGGACCTATCCTAACCACATGTAGAAGTTGCATATGTACCTTTGATTGGTTTCCTTCTCCACCCCAAAGTGCCACATGATGTCTTCTTGAGGAGTGTGCTGCTTCCAACTGGTCCTCGTCTGGTGCACGCTGCACAGCTTGGGGTCCCCTTCATCGTTGTAGGAGTCATAGGAGTGGTCCATCGTCACTACCGGCTCCAAGAAGCTGGCCTTGTTGGTACAGTCTACAAACTGCCACATACATACCATCCTTCATTATCCACAGTATTATGTCTCAATTCTATTGTGATATAAACCTGCACCTATTCACCAACACAGCTTCCTTCCAGAAGCGATGTCACCAGCACCATCTACCTCGTTACCAACTGAGCACAAAACTTGTCCCATTCACATGAACCTCGAATCAACAACAAATCAATATCATTCACCTCAACACAAGTTTGGCATAGATCTAATTAAAACTTTGTGGCCTCATCCAATCAAGCTTTGAATATACGAGTAGTAAATTGAATCAAAAGACTATTATTAAGTTACTTTCAGTTTCAGCTGGAGGTTTTTCGGAGTACCTAACAGGGAGTTCTTATTCTGCATGATGTTCACAGCCATATTTGATATGGAACACACAAGTGGACTCAAGACCTGGTGATATTGCCACTTGTCTCTATTTTTAGGACTGTGTTATTCAAAGTTGACTCAAAACAAAGGGACAGTGAATAGGTCCAATAGAATAGGAAGAAAAAGTTTCTCACCATTGTTTCATTCGTCTGAATGGGTTGAGCACCACTAACTTGACAATACATCTTGGCCATCATCACACAGACATACGGTCTAAAATACTGGCCATGTGTTGCAAGACCGATGTTACTAACTTAGAAAGCTCAAGCATTCTGTGTTCAAATGAGTTACAAAAGTTGTGCAAGACACAGGAGTCGCGAAGCAAGGTTCATACATATATGGAACACTAAAATTAAAGGCCTTTTCAATGGTTTTCAAGCTTTCAACTGTCATTTTCAAGGCTTTTTGACTGGGGTATTAGCCTTAGTCAGTATACTATATATTAGTCACAAAATCTCAAAGGCAGTATGAACATCAATTTTCCAACAGGATGTATTTTCCCAACAAACAATTTAAATAAATTAAGTCTGTCGTAAATGTTAATACTTTTTTAACAATTTTTGTCATTTTGTACAAATTCAAGGCTTTTCAAGGTATTGTGGTGATTTAAGGCTTTTCAGTGAGTATGATTTCACACTGCTTTTAGCAATATTCCAGCAATATCACAGCGGGGGACACCAGAAATGGGCTTCACACATTGTACCCATGTCGGGAATCGAACCCGGGTCTTACTCCAGCACACTCATTCACTCGGTCATTAATTACTCTGCAGACCGACTGAGACAGATAAACCTGTGCATCTAGTGCCTGCATGTTTGTACAGACAGGAACTGAGGTTGTCACAAACAACAATAAGCCCTTATAGTGTGTGCCTACTTTTCAGGCTACACATTACCCAACTCATTTACTATAAGTCTTTCAGTGCTACAACGTGTACCGTATTCGACATAATAAGCGCTCAGGGCACTCTCAAAATTAGAAATAGGGGGCTCTTATTAGAATGTTATTTTGGTGAAAAACACAGAGTTGAAAGATAAATTTCGTGGTTTATGATGACAGCCTGAAATGTTTATGTACGACAGATATATTTTTCCAGAATTAAATGCCCATAATTAAGGGTGCATATATAACACACGAGTGCGTATTATATGCGAATAAATAAGTCTTGTGTACATTGATAAATCGGAAAGGGTGCTAATTGGGATTGTTCACTAGCCAATATCTTAGCAAATGTCGCCATGGGCGTTTATTACGTCGAATACGGTACTCATAATATAGAGTGTGATATGTAATGACGTTTCACATCTTGTAGGGATACATACCACTTGAACCCTCTTTGACGTGCGATCATCCCAGACTGCTAGATAGAGAGTGTCCTTGTAGGCAAAACACTCCTCAAGCAGGAGGCTAAAATCTTGGGGCTCATAGAGGCAAGGTGCCTTTTTCTTTCCTGTCTCATCTTTTTTCTTTGTTTTTGAAAGATTTGATTTTTTGCTTGATTTTTCACTAAATTCGACAATTTTGTTCCATTTCTTCTCCATTACCGCCTCCACTACCTAAACAAAGTAAAGAGGCAATCAAATTTAAGAATACATATTTTAAGTAAAGTACACAGGCTACAATATAACATGTTAATAATTGTTTATTTCAGACATACAGTGACCCCTCGCGACAACACTACCTTCGGGGTCCAAATAATTGGTGATCATGGTGTTACTTGATCACGGCGATCAGCTGATAATGTTTTCTGAGATTGGGGGAAAACATTGTGTCATTGGAAAACTTGAGTTTATTGAAAATGTTAGTAAATTTTGGGAGCCATGCTTTACTGCACGCTATACCTGAGTTAGCGCTATATTGAAGAGCACAATAGCGAGGGAACTCTGTACTATTTTTCTGGTCAAATTAATTTCCAAGATGCAGAAGGCAAAAGTTTAAAAAAGAGAAACACAAGGCTCTGAAGCTCATCTGAGTTTTTCTGAATTTAACTGATTTCATAATTGGAAACACAGAACTGGCTGCTGATCAATCGGCAAAATTTACATGGGTTAATTTGGATAGGCATTCTATGAGCAACTTGAACAGACATCATAGCTTGGATCGTTATGCAAAGTTCAGCTTCATAGGCCTTATTGGAGTTAAAATACAGTAATCTAAATCAACAGATGATCAAAGTTGAAAAAACATCACTCGACTTTCAGTCAGAAGAACTGACTGGGCCGCATCTTCGTACCAGGGTCCCATCTAGAGAATTTATATATCAGATTTGGTGACAAAACATTTTGTATCAGGGCCCAATCTTGAGAATTTATAATTGATATACCAGGTTTGGTGACAATATATGTTTGTAGCAGAGTTTTACTGTTCTAATCAGTCACACAATGTTTACAGTATATTGGCTGTATAGAGTTTTACTGTTCTAATCAGTCACACAATGTTTACAGTATATTGGCTGTGTAGAGTTTTACTGTTCTAATCAGTCACACAATGTTTACAGTCTATTGGCTGTGTAGAGTTGTACTGTTCTAATCTGTCACACAATGTTTCCTGTCTATTGGCTGTGTAGAGTTTTACTGTTCTAATCAGTCACACAATGTCTACTGTTCTAATCAGTCACACAATGTTTCCTGTCTATTGGCTGTATAGAGTTTTAATGTTCTAATCTGTCACACAATGTTTACTGTTCTAATCAGTCACACAATGTTTACAGTCTATTGGCTGTGTAGAGTTGTACTGTTCTAATCTGTCACACAATGTTTACAGTCTATTGGCTGTGTAGAGTTGTACTGTTCTAATCTGTCACACAATGTTTCCTGTCTATTGGCTGTGTAGAGTTTTACTGTTCTAATCAGTCACACAATGTTTCCTGTCTATTGGCTGTGTAGAGTTTTACTGTTCTAATCTGTCACACAATGTTTACAGTATATTGGCTGTGTAGAGTTTTACTGTTCTAATCTGTCACACAATGTTTCCTGTCCATTGTTAGTTGAGGGATCAGCTTCATTTGCCCAGTGGTTTCTAAGGAGATAATGTTAATAGATCTCAAAGATTCTTTTGGAGAATATTTAAGACCATGGCCAAACATAATGGTCACAAAATGGTCAAAATTTCATACATGACAACAAACAGAACATAAATCATGAGCCTATAAACTACAGATATACCAGATTTCATTACAGTTTGAAGAAACAAATTAGAAAACCCCTCTCCAGGGGGCGAAGTGAGTGAGTTTGGTGAGCAGTATTTTAGTTACATTACAACACATATATTTTATCCAGCGCAAATCTTTGACACTTTGCTGAAACCCATGAACAAGTGTATGGTTCTGACAACCCTAGAAACATAATCAGGGTCAATCTTGGATTCAAACACACGATAATAGGCTTCTGGCATGCCTGCACAGTGAATTAGACTACTGGGCCACCTTGGAGCACCCATGTGAAGTCTTAGCTTCACTGGTCCAGTGCCATATGAGAAGCTGTGTAGACACTGCCACTGTCAATGGCAACTGCCAATGGTCAAGCTGGCCATGATAAAGGCTCACTTGAATTTCAGTCAGTGGAGATAAAGACTTGATTATATACAGACAGACATCATACAGCTGGGTTATTGCTGAGTGTGTTAAACAACAAACAACAACAATGACATTCATCCCTACTTGATTTGATAAATTGTAGCCCTTCACAAAGCAGTACTCTAGGGACATCTTCATCTTCTCCTTCCAGCTGGCGCCATCTATACGATTTCTGGAGGCTGTTATGTAGTCTATTACTTTCTGTAAGATACAGTCAGAGTATTTGTAACTTTGTAACAATAGTGCCACGGCAGTGTAGCTCACCTGGATATGCAGTCAACAATTTACAATGTCAACACATGACAGCCACCTTACAAAATTGCTGTCAGCATTGCTATTCATATGCTTTCTGCAGAAACACGGAGGACAAAAGTATCAACAAATATGAAACAAATAAACATATTTCCACAATGTTTCTAAATCTGCAAGAATACAAAACTGTTAAACTTACTTTACACATAGTTTCAACTTTAAGCCTTATATACCTTCTAAGTATGATAATTCCATACAATTCTACAAAATTAAACAACTACCAACCCGAGTATGAACTAAGATCAGCTGCCTGAGTTATCAAGAGGGTCATGCTGATTACAAAAGCTTACCGGTACCTGTCGTGCTTAAGAGGTTTTTTGTTTCACATTTCTTTCAGCATAGACTCAAAAGGATAAGATATCTTTTGCTATCGACTCGATAGTAATGTGGATCGTTATCACAATAACATTTCTGATCAGAAATCTGTGATGTGTTCTTCGAAGAGCCAATTTGAATCACACAGTTTAACAAAATTAATGTCAGTTTTTGAAAGCGAAGCAGATTATTTATTTGAAACAGGCCATTTGTTCAGGATGTACAATGATCTTAGCAAGTTAATGATGAGTCTGGAATATAGCAAGTTTCAATAGTAGCTTACCATGAATGATCTTCGTGTACAATCAATTAGTGCAAGTGGATTAGGATTGTAACCAAAGCCTAAGACCACGGTCTTAAGGAATTACAATCATTGAACCAACAGCAACGTATAGAACGCCTAGGTAAATGCATGACCTGTTTCACTTAATCCCCTTGTTGGTTTTTGTAACAGCAAAATTCAAAAAGCAACATCACTAGAAATCCTAACAATCATATACTGAGCCGCAAAAGAAACGTCCCCCCAAGTAACATTGCATGAAAAGTCGTCATTTCAATATCTGGGTAATTTTTGTCAGTTTCTAGAATTTAACATTACCTTGTCCGGAAAAATGAATTTGATGATAAAAAAACAAGGCAGATGACAATAAAACCGATCGCCCAAATGCATCACGGCAAAAGCCATGGTAACCCGATGCACATGAGTTTCGTGCAAATTGAAAAGCACATGCGTTCCCCCATTTCTTGCCCTATAAATATCCACCCAGATCTGATAACATTCATTCGCTATTGAATTGCTACCACATGCCAAGACTGACAAGAAATCATCGACACCAAGCCCTTGGATGATTGCAAGCTGGACAAACCGCCCGGCAAGTAGCCAATGCATTTCTAGTCCACGTAAGGACCATATACAGGCTCCAGCAATGGTACCAGACCCCCAACATTACAGATGACCGACCACATAGTGGAACACCAAGGGTCACCACCCGATGTCAGAATCGTCAGATTGTGTGACAGCATCTCCAAGATCGCTTTATTACTGCCTCGGAAACTGCTCGACAGACCATGGGTACACACCGGCAACACATTAGTGCAGACACCATGTGTCGATGATTGACAAGCTGAACCTCCACTGTCACAGGCCACACGGAGGTCCCATTCCGACACCACGTCAATGCCTTGACCGTCTTCAGTGAGCAACACAGCACCAGCATTTGCACCACCAGCAGTGGAGAAGAGTCCTCTTCTCAGACGAGAGCCGTTACTGTATCTCAAAAGTAGAGTTTGGCGATGCCATGGGGAATGTTATTCGGATGCTTGTGTTGTTGAGAGAGACACGTGGGGTGGTCCGAGCATCATGGTATGGGGTGGAATTGGTCTTGCACAGAGGGTCGGCCCTGTGGTCTTCCAGAACATCGGTCCAGGGAGAGGCAATGGTGTCACAGCAGCTTGGTACATTGATCAAGTCTTGAGACCACACGCCTGATAACCCCCGTGCCCACACTGCGAGAGCAACAAGAGACTTCCTCCAGCAGTAGTATGCCCGTGGTCCCGATTTAGATCCCATTGAGCACCTGTGGGACGAGATTCAAAGACGGCTGAATGACGTTCGACCAAGGCCGACAACTGCAGCAGAACTGCGTCAGGTGTTCCTCAGAGTGTGGGTTCAAGTGCCTATGGCCTTCTTCAACCGCGTCATCCATTCCATGTATCAACGTTGCACGGCAGTCATCAATGCACATGGCAGACACACAAGATACTGACTTGTGATGCCATTTTCTCAGAGACTAGTGTTCTGTTTCACTTTAAGAACATTTGACACTTTAATTTCAACCTTGATGATCAGTTTTGCCAAGTTTCATCTTTTTAATATGTCTCAAAGTATGTTTACAGTGTTTGGACAAATAAGGTTTCTCATATATCTATCCATGGTGATGTTTCTTTTGCGGTTCAGTATATTTTAAACAGAGCAAACTCAACTATTTCCAACAGCTATTTCAATAAACAAGGATAAAGAATGTCAAAGAGTAAACACAATTCGATCCGTCACTCAGTAGAAAAGTTTACAATCAACCTGTGTGGTTCACAACCAAAGTGACCCCGAAACTGGTTTACTATTCAAACTATCAAAAACAGTGCTGAGATAATGGTGTCAGAATGATTGGTATTATGAACATTAAACAACACATGTGCAGTTTGGGAAGTGTTTCACCTCACCTTCCTGTACACTTCCTTGACAAATGGTATCAGGTTGAGCTTTGCCCTTTGACCTCCAGCTGCCCTCCAGAACAAAGTAATCTGTCTGCTATTTTCAACATGCTTGTCTTCAGCAAGCAAGCGTGAGTCCGGACTCAACAGGTAGATGACTGTTTCATTTACAGGGTCACGATACACCTCGGTCAATGTTGGTACTGTGTGTAGTCCTGCAAAAGCCAAAGAATAACTAGATCAATTAGGATTGATATGGACCCTATTTGAAATGAATTTAGAACTCATTTTCACAATGTTTCTAAATCTGCAAGAAAGAATACAATTGTATAATATTGTTGCAGTGTACATGATGTACAACAGAAAATTAATCTTACGCAAGGTTAAAAAGCAATAATGTTTCTAATGCCATACAATTTTTCCAATTTTTCACAAAACACCCCTAAAATCCTTATGATTATATATCATATCGCAAAATAAACAAAACATATATGTTGAGCTCTACTACTAACTATACACATACCAAGTTCATTACATTTTGAATGAAAATGGCTGAGAATGGCCACAAGGTCCAATGAAGGTGAACATTCAGATTATCGCAGAAAGCGGAACATGTATGTTGAGACCAACTGAGTCATTTCTGAGGAGAAGATGTTTACAGGTGCCGCAGATAACAACAATGACAACAGACAAGCAGAACATTACATGAGCTCACATGACATTCGGTTAGATGAACTAAAAATATGTGCTTGCTAAATCCTAATATGGACCCCTACCACTACATCAAAAACATCAATAAAACGAACAGCTCTGATGCCAAAGGGAGGATAAACCAACAGCAGAGAAAACTATATATCTGTAGAGCCTGATGGCAACATTTGGGCCTAGGAATCATAATGTGTTTCATAAAGACCTTTCAAGAGCATAAATATCTCGTTACAAGTCTTTCACCTTCACAATTACAGGACATACCATTTCTGTTGCGTGCACCATTCTGCGTCTGCATGTAGGGCAGGGAGTGCCACCTGAAGGTCAGCCCTGACGTATGGAGTTGGAGCCTGCAGTGATTAAGAACATTGGCTACATTGAATATTGAGTTGTATAGGCTACATTGATCCAGGATCCTGATGTATTGGCTACATTGATCCAGGATCCTGATGTATTGGCTACACTGATCCAGGATCCTGATGTATTGGCTACATTAAATATTGAGTTGTATAGGCTACATTGATCCAGGATCCTGATGTATTGGCTACACTGATCCAGGATCCTGATGTATTGGCTACATTGATCCAGGATCCTTATGTATTGGCTACATTGATCCAGGATCCTGATGTATTGGCTACACTGATCCAGGTTCCTAGTGTATTGGCTACATTGATCCAGGATCCTGATGTATTGGCTACATTGATCCAGGATCCTGATGAATTGGCTAAATTAAATATTGGGTTGTATTGGCTACATTGATCCAGGATCCTGATGTATTGGCTACACTGATCCAGGATCCTGATGTATTGGCTACATTGATCCAGGATCCTGATGTTTTGGCTACATTGATCCAGGATCCTGATGTATTGGCTACACTGATCCAGGATCCTGATGTATTGGCTACATTAAATATTGAGTTGTATAGGCTACATTGATCCAGGATCCTGATGTATTGGCTACACTGATCCAGGATCCTGATGTATTGGCTACATTGATCCAGGATCCTTATGTATTGGCTACATTGATCCAGGATCCTGATGTATTGGCTACACTGATCCAGGATCCTGATGTATTGGCTACATTTAGGAGATAAACCTACTGTGTTTTGAAATTTGATGTAGTCCCACTGTAGAATAGATACCTCTTTATCATAATTTTGAACCGAGCGCTTTAGCGCGAGGTTCCAAATTATAATAAAGAGGTTTCTATTCTACAGTGGGACTACATCAAATTTCAAAACACAGTAGGTTTATCTCCATTCTACCATGACGGCAACAACGCTTTGAAAACGGCGCTCTCTTGCAACGCGTAATAACACAGGTGCACAGGTCTGTGATCTTAGAACATTCCGAAAAGTGGTCACAGGTAGTTATATATGTAACAAATATTACTAAAGTTCAAGATTAAAAAACACCAAAGTCGTGAGTAGCTCATAATAAGTGTTCAAAACACATAGTTTTTCAAACGAAGTTGACAAATAACACTCCTAACTTAATCCAAAGAGAGATGTTTTAATTTCTTTCAAACTGTTGCACACTATTGAACACTGTGGACTGGCTGTCGTTTCTCGGAAATTTGTGAGAGCGGTAATTTCTTGGAAATCGAACATGCCATCATTTCTATTGTAGGGGTGACGGGTAATAGAAAAAGGTTTTAAAATGCTTAACGAATATATTTCTACAGCAAACTTTATGAATTAACATTCTAATACACATTTAACATGTCTAAGAGTTATTAGTTAGATAGCAATTACCCCCAGTAAACAATAATAACATCAAAGTAAATGCTTCTCCACCCCGAACTTGGATGTGGCAGAACTTGACCTAAATCACGGTTACTCACACCTCACAGCTGTCAATGGCTGACAATCATGTGTTTACATTAACTTGATCTAGTTAAAAGAAGCAAGATGACATCCCCGATCTATGATGTGGTTCAACATTTACCTGTAGATTTACTGGGATTGATCGAGCCTGCTGGTACATCCATATGATTACCAATGGAACTGAGTATGACTGAACACCTGCTGTTTAGGCTGCAGACGAGCCGGATATTTTGAAACGAGGAATCTGCATGGTGTGACCTGTCAATTTCAAGATTTCACGGATCCAAAGCCAAATAGTGACAGAACTTAGACATTTCTGGTCCAGAAATAGTAGGTCGTGTATAATTTTCATAATTGTGCGTGTTCTGAAATGAATTTCATCAAGTTTGATAAAAAGCTGTCACTTCAGTTGGGACATTGTTTTCGTGGACTTTCGAAAGGGGGTGTTTTCTGATGCACTTTCAAATCCCCTCCTGCCAAATTCTAACGGTGGTGGTTGACGGAGATGGTAATGGATATCGATCAGAAAAAGGTTTGTAAACACCATGTTGTCATGAATAAAATGTCTTCAAACACATTTTATTATGTTATATTTCACTTTCATTGTCGGTTATTTCAATAATGAAATTACCTGTTCGTGGGTTTCAGAAAAAGTTACCAAAAAAATGAACAATTATTATTTTCTCAACAAAATTTATTAGATATCACTCTTTGAAAGTCTTTCACTTATTTTGAATGTGTGAATCTTTGAATTATACCTCCCCACCCTGACATGAGAACCGTCCTAACGTGTCCCGGTTGTCACTGTATCTGCACTGCACTCTCAGTTATGGCTGCCAAAGAAATTGTTAACAGTAACAGTGCTGTTAAAGAATTGCAGGAAACCAGAAGACAACCCAGTACTGATGCACAGTGTGATGCTGTTCAACATTAACACGTTGACTAACTATCCCTGCTGATGTGATGTTGTTTTTTCAAACAATTTTTATAATGTTATATTTTACTTTCATTGTCGGTTGTTTCAATGAGGAAATAGCTTAAATTGTACCGATTCTGGTCACCATAGAACATTTCCCTAACAGTTTCATAAACATTTCATTTGTAAACAAAAGATATGCCTTCGTTAAATCTTTTAATGTCATCATCGAAGCAGTCAGGGTTGCGGCCTAGAACGCCCCAAACAGCCGATATCAAACTACCGTATTTCCTCTATTTGACACTATACGCCGTCTATTAATTTCGCGAGAGCCCTTGACTCGGCGTGTATTAGAGACCTGTCTGGTATTTGAGACCCAGCGTGTATTAGAGGAAATATAGATATGTTTTACAGTTCATATATGGGGTGATCGATCGGCAGCCATTTTCTGTGAATCGATATGTAGGCTATCTATGTATTCATACGCACGTTTTTATGTGAAAAGGCTTAATATATTTGAAAGGGGTTTCTGTAGCTAAAAGGAAACCTCTTTTTAACCAATCAGAATCAAGCATTCATCAATGTCATGGTAGAATGCTCCACGATCCTGATGTATTGGCTACATTGCTCCAGGATCCTGATGTATTGGCTACATTGATCCACGATCCTGATGTATTGGCTACACTGATCCAGGATCCTGATGTATTGGCTACATTAAATATTGGGTTGTATTGGCTACACTGATCCAGGATCCTGATGTATTGGCTACATTGATCCAGGATCCTGATGTATTGGCTACACTGATCCAGGATCCTGATGTATTGGCTACATTGATCCAGGATCCTGATGTATTGGCTACATTAAATATTGGGTTGTATTGGCTACATTGATCCAGGATCCTGATGTATTGGCTACACTGATCCAGGATCCTGATGTATTGGCTACATTGATCCAGGATCCTGATGTATTGGCTACATTGATCCAGGATCCTGTGAAAGTTTACCCCATGTTGTAAAGATCAACAGTGAAAGTTAACCCTGTGTAAGGATCAACAGAGAAAGTTTACCCTGTGTAAGGATCAACAGTGAAAGTTAACCCTGTGTAAGGATCAACAGAGAAAGTTTACCCAGTGTAAGCACCAACAGTGAAAGTTTACCCTGTGTAAGGATCAACAGAGAAAGTTTACCCTGTGTAAGGATCAACAGTGAAAGTTTACCCTGTGTAAGGATCAACAGTTAAAGTTTACCCTGTGTAAGGATCAACAGTGAAAGTTTACCCTGTGTAAGGATCAACAGAGAAAGTTTACCCTGTGTAAGGATCAACAGAGAAAGTTTACCCTGTGTAAGGATCAACAGTGAAAGTTTACCCTGTGTAAGGATCAACAGTTAAAGTTTACCCTGTGTAAGGATCAACAGTGAAAGTTTACCCTGTGTAAGGATCCAAGTTGAGGGCTCGGATAGGGGGCAGCACCATCTGCAGATCAGCCGTCAGGAAGCCAGCATCTGTCAGTCTCAGGTTGAGGTCCTTAGCTTGGTAGTCACTCTCGAAGGAATTCCTGAAAAGAGCATCACAGAAATGTTGCTCACTTGGTACAAAAGTACTATCAACACTGAGGGAATGTTGGTGCACAGGATACTACTGATATGGACACCTGGTAGCTTTATGTATCCTGAACTAAACCAGAGGTCAAACCAGAATACACACATGTACCCTAATTTGGCAATACATTCCAGGCATGCGTCGACTACGCAAGTCATTAAAAAATATGTTTTTGTGCATTGTGGAATAGATGCCGTGCATTGCTAAGCTGGGGTACATTTTTGTATTCTGACTCTGGTTAAGCATCTCTGCACCATTGACATCATCTGCCGGGTACTTTCTACATAACACCCCATCTCTCCTACCACCTACACCCTCCTGAGATGAAGCATGTGCAGTACCCTGCTGGTCAGTGCAGGCCACCAAAGAAGAAGCAACAAAAGACATTCGATGGGAAATTTGATACCTTGAAGACAAGGTTGGAAAGGCATGAAATTTAAATCATGCACTTTGCTGACAGTGCTTCCTATCTGCTTCAAATCTGAATGTCAAAATGAACAAACCTGAACAATATGACTGTATTAGTACTGTAATAAATAATATTGAAAATAAGTTCTGACATAAAAACCAACCGACAAGAAAAACAGAAATTAAAAAAAGAAAGACATTAGACAAATATACAATATGACTGTATTAGTATGTGGATACTAAAATAAATAATAATGAAAATAATTCTGATATACAAAACCAACTGACAACAAAACCAACCGAAATTTTTTAAAAAAGACACTAGACATATAATTTTTATGTAATGTTTTACAACTACCGGTAGGTGAAAGGGAACAACACACAAGAGTTTTTGTAAGAAATAGTAAATAGTATGCGTAAGAATCCTTATTCTAACAAAACAAATCGACCATTTACCTTTGGTGTCTTGCTAAATGTTAAAACATCTTTGCTTTTCATTTAACGGGGATTGACCATTTGATATTCTCGTTGGGGGGGGGGGGGGCACTTTATCGAAAAAATATCTCGAAAATTGGTCCCTTAGTGGGAATGCTGGAAGTTGAAATGCTTTTTATTTACTTATTTTGACCACCTACAATAAATATATGCAAATAATTTTGCAAACAAAAAATAAAAAGTAAAAGCTCTTATGATTGTGAATTTTGGCTCTGGTTGGTTGGTTAATTCCATAAACTGAAAAATAATAAAGTGGCGTCTGTTTAAGCTTTGACGTGTGGATCCTGTTGACTTAAAATACTTACTTGTTATTGACAATCCGAAGATGACCAAGCTGTGTTCTCCATATGACCTTGAGAAATTTTGGAGGTCCATGTTCAGCAACAAGGTCAAGGACTGGCTGCCATGGAGTGTGTTTGCGAGAGTTACCTCTCAGTGATGATGGTATTTCCAGCATTCCACTGATAGGATTTAGAATTTTTAAAAATCACAATATTTTCAAATTGCATAAATAATTTAGAGACCTTTTTTTTCAATTTTAGTACATCATTGAATACAAAAATGTAGTTAAATACAATAACTTAAATAATGCCTCACATGTACTTGATAATATAAATACATGTACCACAAAAAAACATTGTGCAATATGGACATAAAGGAGGTATGGGAAGTATTAAATGTAGCTGAGATCATGTAATCATAGAACTCCTCATCTTCCTGAGGTAAGGGAGTTAACTGACTACATACAAAAGTTCTGGAACTTCATGGGAAAATCATAGTGCCACATGTGGCTGTTTTCATGACCCTTTTATGTTCCTCCTTATAGACCAGATTATCTTCTCATATCACTTGCATATGCTTCAAACAGAATGGTGCCCAATCAAGACGATCTGATCGATAATCAATATGTATATTGTAATAAAACCTTAACTGAGGAAGTGCATCTAATCACTTGAGCACCTTCATTGAAAACATGACAAATTTGGAAATATTTGGAATATCTGAGTCAGGTCAGGCTGGCTCTGGACAGGAGGAGCATTGTGAAGGCGACGATGATTGGTGACCTGCCAGGACGCAACAAGAGCTCCAAAACTATGAATGCCTTCAACATCTTCCAAGGTCACGTTCCTTAGGTAGTTGCTTGCAAAGACAGTGTCTGACCTCCAGAAAACATCCTTCCAGTGTAGTGTAAAAGCTGTGTAGAGCCATCGTAGAGGCTAATGAATCTCATGTGGGTTATTAGCTCTCGGCAGATCAAGGCTGGAGAATCTCATTAGCCTGAAGGATAACTCATTTATAATACACACATAATAAGAGTTCTTCCTTGTCTTCAGCTGCCATGGTCAATGATAAAGGTGGGATGGAGAAAGACCGGTTGGGCTGTCCTGATAATTGATTCTTGGGAATGAAATCCTGGCACAGTCCAAGGTGAATTACTGTGTGTACACAGGTAATGTCAAAAGCGTGAAGCTCACTAAACCTTGCCGTCGTGGCTAGTGCCAAAAAGAATATCATTCTCACAGTCAGGTTATAAAAGCATGTAGTTTGAAGGGGCTCAAAAGGGGGAGCACGCAAACACTGTCATTCAAATCCCATGCGGGAGGGTGAAACTTGGTTTTCTGATCTTCAAGGAACATGGGGTTAAAGGGTAAGATTATGCAAGGAAAGTGAATAAACACTTTAATAACCATAGGGAAGCAACTGCTTCAGCTGGACCTAACACAAGTTCTTCTTTCTGTCAAAAACAGTAAATGCATTTAGGAGTAATGCAGGATAAGATAAAAATTGAACTTTTATAGTCAGGTAACTCCATTGCCTTGGGAAGATTATATTGGGTTTTCTTTATTGAAAAACAAAACAACATATGCAATTTATTTTTAATGCTTTTATAGATAAAGAGAGTGTTTGTTAATTTGTGTAATCAAAACTCCAGGTTCCTGTGATTTCAGAGAGTACTCAACTATTTAAAATCGTTCCATTTACTCTTGCAAAATATATGTCAGAACATTGGCAGCTCTAAGTACCTTGTAAGGGCAGAAGAGAAGGCCCTGAGAGACTCCCGAGTTGCACCCAGCAGAGCCTTCACCAGTGACAGATGGAGCAGGAAGATCCCATACTGCCCCACCAGACTCTCTATCAGCTTCACAGATTTCTGAAGGTGATCCTGAACACTCTCTGTGGACAGAAGCAACAGTCAATAGACAGTGACACACATTCCTCCAGACGATCCTGAACACTCTCTGTGGACAGAAGCAACAGTCAATAGACAGTGACACACATTCCTCCAGACGATCCTGAACACTCTCTGTGGACAGAAGCAACAGTCAATATACAGTGACACACATTCCTCCAGACGATCCTGAACACTCTCTGTGGACAGAAGCAACAGTCAATAGACAGTGACACACATTCCTCCAGACAATCCTGAACACTCTCTGTGGACAGAAGCAACAGTCAATAGACAGTGACACACATTCCTCGAGACAATCCTGAACACTCTCTGTGGACAGAAGCAACAGTCAATAGACAGGGACAAACATCCCTCCAGACAATCCTGAACACTCTCTGTGGACAGAAGCAACAGTCAATAGACAGTGACACACATCCCTCCAGACCAACTGAACACTCTCTGTGGACAGAAGCAACAGTCAATAGACAGTGACACACATCCCTCCAGACAATCTGAACACTCTCTGTGGACAGAAGCAACACTTAATAGACAGAGACACACATCACTCCAAACAATCTGAACACTCTCTGTGGACAGAAGCAACAGTCAATAAACAGTGACACACATCCCTCCAGACAGTCCTGAACACTCTCTTTGGACAGAAGCAACAGTCAATAGACAGTGACCCAATTAGGGCTGGGACGAGTCCAAATTTACTACCCGGGTACCCACCCCCCTTTTACCCGACCATACCTGTGTATCCACTGTAGGCCTCAGGAGATGTCTCAAAATGTCCGATTGGGAACATTTTTAGCATAGCCCTGGCAAAACGTATTTAGATACATGTATTAAACAATCTGGTCATTCATACACTGAAGCTGAATTAAGTTATATCTTTATTCAACCATATGAAAAATCAGAAGAAATCGGTACATAGTCAGAAAGAAATGCGAACATTAGTGACTTGAAGTGTAACCATAGAGTTCTTGATAATTTTTGTCATAAAACAATATATCACGTGACTAACCACATGTCCGGGTAGTCCTGTGGGTACCTGGGTCAGGTGGGTACTGAGTAGGACCCAGGTACCCACAGGACTACAGGTTACCCGAGTAACCCGTCCAAGCCCTTGACACAATCCTTCTTAAAGTTTGGTTGGTTGGTTTGTTGTTTAACGCCACACTCAGCAATATTCCAGCTATATGACGGCGGTCTGAAAGTAATTGAGTCTGGACCAGACAATCCAGTGATTAATATCATGAGCATTGGTCCACGCAGTTGGGATCAATGACATGCATCAAACCATGTCAGCGAGCCTGACCACCCAATCCCGTTAGTCACCTCTTACGACAAGCATAGTCGCCTTTTACGGCAACCATGGGTTGCTGAAGACCTATTCTATCCCCCTTCTCAAAGGCAATGACACAGTTGGGTTAAACTTATAACAGTGTTACAGTTATATCATGATGCGTCAGATTAAAGTGGGAGGAAAGCCTGAAGTGATCTGGTCACTGACACACAGCTCTCCAGACAATCCTTAACACTCTCTGTGGACAGAAGCAAGAGCCAATACACTCTGCACAGCGAATGGCAGCACCTTAGATGACTGGGCCACCCGTGGCCCTAACATGCAGTTGAACTCATATTTGGTGTTGTTCATATCTCATCTCAAGTTGATTCCAAAAATTTGTTCCTCTCACACAATTCAGTTGATGCTTGTTGTTACCCTGTCTGATGCTCTGCATTAAGGGGATAAAACAAGGTCGCCTTCGAGTCAGTATACCAGGTCAAAGTAGTGTATCCATGTTAAACTGAGGCATGGTGTGTCAGCAGGTTAGCACTGTCAACAAGCATTAGTCTGGACTATGGCGTACACAGCCATACAGGTGCAATAATCTTAAACTTATCGTAAAAATCTAATTTCACCTCGCCTCGCCTCAACATTTATGCCTAATTAATTGAATTACTATGTATAATAAAGCTTGCATTTTTCTCAGTTCCTTAAACTCATTGTTCATACAATATTTACAAAAAGAATAATATCTAAGACTATTAAATTTCTTATTCTTTTTTCTTAGTTTGAACATTGTTTAAAATCATACTCTCTGAAAGTCCCACCTTGTGCTGTTCCAGCGTGAAAACACAGGAAAGACTCCACAGCCTGGATCCCAGAGCTCCAAGGACATGTAGGATGCATGTACTTGATGGCAGCAGCCCAGGCCCCAGCTGCCAGTGTGGCTTTCTCAGGTGTCATCACACTGTAAATGAGTTGGTGAGTATGGTTTCATGTTGCTTTTAGCAATAATCCAGCAATATCACATCAGGGGACACCAGAAATGGGCTTTACACAGTGTAGTCATTTAGGGAACGAGCCCGGGGCTTCAGGTGTGGCACATGAATGCTTTAACTACTAGGCTACCCCACCTACCATGGGCCATCAATGTCAACTGTCAAGACGTCTTACCCTTGATCATACACACTGGCCATCAATGTCAACTGTCAAGACGTCTTACCCTTGATCATATACACTGGCCATCAATGTTAACTGTCAAGACGTCTTACCCTTGATCATATACACTGGCCATCAATGTCAACTGTCAAGACGTCTTACGCTTGATCATACACACTGGCCATCAATGTCAACTGTCACGAAGTCTTATCCTTGATCATATAAACTGGCCATCAATGTCAACTGTCAAGAAATCTTACCCTTGATCATATACACTGGCCATCAATGTCAACTGTCAAGGCGTCTTACGCTTGATCATACACACTGGCCATCAATGTCAACTGTCAAGAAATCTTACCCTTGATCATACACACTGGCCATCAATGTCAACTGTCAAGACGTCTAATCCTTGATCATATACAATAGCCATCAATGTCAACTGTCAAGACGTCTTACCCTTGATCATATACACTGGCCATTAATGTCAACTGTCAAGACGTCTTACCCTTGATCATACACACTGGCCATCAATGTCAACTGTCAAGAAATCTTACCCTTGATCATACACACTGGCCATCAATGTCAACTGTCAAGACGTCTTACGCTTGATCATACACACTGGCCATCAATGTCAACTGTCAAGATGTCTTACCCTTGATCATACACACTGGCCATCAATGTCAAATGTCAAGAAATTTTACCCTTGATCATACACACTGGCCATCAATGTCAACTGTCAAGACGTCTTACGCTTGATCATACACACTGGCCGTCAATGTCAACTGTCAAGACGTCTTACCCTTGATCATACACACTGGCCATCAATGTCAACTGTCAAGACGTCTTACCCTTGATCATATACACTGGCTATCAATGTCAACTGTCAAGACGTCTTACACTTGATCATACATACTGGCCATCAATGTCAACTGTCAAGAAGTCTTACCCTTGATAATACACACTGGCTATCAATGTCAAATGTCAAGAAGTCTTACCCTTGATAATACACACTGGCCATCAATGTCAACTGTCAAGAAGTCTTACCCTTGATCATACACAATGGCCATCAATGTCAAATGTCAAGAAGTCTTACCCTTGATCATACACACTGGCCATCAATGTCAAATGTCAAGACGTCTTACCCTTGATAATACACACTGGCCATCAATGTCAACTGTCAAGATGTCTTACCCTTGATAATACACACTGGCCATCAATGTCAACTGTCAAGACGTCTTACCCTTGATCATACACAATGGCCATCAATGTCAACTGTCAAGACGTCTTACACTTGATCATACACACTGGCCATCAATGTCAAATGTCTAGAAGTCTTACCCTTGATCATACACACTGGCCATCAATGTCAAATGTCAAGACGTCTTACCCTTGATAATACACACTGGCCATCAATGTCAACTGTCAAGATGTCTTACCCTTGATAATACACACTGGCCATCAATGTCAACTGTCAAGACGTCTTACCCTTGATCATACACACTGGCCATCAATGTCAACTGTCAAGAAATCTTACCCTTGATCATACACACTGGCCATCAATGTCAACTGTCAAGACGTCTTACCCTTGATCATACACACTGGCCATCAATGTCAACTGTCAAGAAATCTTACCCTTGATCATACACACTGGCCATCAATGTCAACTGTCAAGAAATCTTACCCTTGATCATACACACTGGCCATCAATGTCAACTGTCAAGAAATCTTACCCTTGATCATACACACTGGCCATCAATGTCAACTGTCAAGAAATCTTACCCTTGATCATACACACTGGCCATCAATGTCAACTGTCAACAGGTCTTACACTTGATCATACACACTGGCCATCAATGTCAACTGTCAAGATGTCTTACCCTTGATCATACACACTGGCCATCAATGTGAACTGCTGGAGGAGGACATCTTTATCCAGTTTCAGTGACCTTGACTTTGGCACAATGGTATCAGAGGCTTCTATATGGAGTCGAGACGCTTTCTGTGGTTCCTCGTTCTGAGCATAGAGTCTTGCTGCCTCGCTTAACAGCATAGCTCTGGCATTATCTGTTAAGAGAACACTGCAACTAAATCATTCATATGCTGACCACCTCCATGGTCTAGTGGATAGATCATGTGCCCTGAGAGCGAGTAGAAGGGTGTGGGTTCCATTCCCAGTCGCATCATACCAAAAGACAAAAAAAGATGGTACTTGTTGTTACCCTGCCTGGTGCTTGGCAGCAAAGGGTTAAAGGACAGGGGACACATGCACGCACGCAAACACACACATGTGGGAGGAAAGCCAAGATAATACAGATCTTAGATGTTTTACCAAGCATTGGAATTGTTCTGACAAACGGACAAAATCAGGCAAATCTTGGATTCAAAACCGAAGATTCGGATTCTTGCACAACTATGGGACACAATTCTGCAAAGTGAAATAAGTTGCCTTTGGGACTGAACCACTCATGACCCATAGTGAGCCGGTTTTGATATTGATGACAAAATGTGTTAGCGTGAGTTAGTTTGGTTTGAACTGTGAACTTTGCAGCTTTGAACTGTATTCAAGTTGTATCACGGTGTGTCAGCTTGAAATCCCAAAGTGATGCAGGTCTTGAACGTCTACCACAAAGGGTGTGGAGCTGACAAACTCAGAACTATCCACAATCACAGGTTTCTGGTGTGACAAAAGGACGCAACTCTGTACAGTAAATTGTGGCGCCTTTAAACATCTTGGCTATCTGTGCCCCCCAAATGTGTCAGAGGGCAAGTGCTTTGAGCATGTTTGATTTTATTGAGTCAACAGATGAAAAGAAAAAATAAGTTTGGTCTCACTGGTTCTTGTTTCCGTCAATGCCAAATATTTTGACATTAGCTTATGATATAATCAAAAATGTTATGATCGTGGCATTAATTAAAAATAAAAATAATTTCCTATTTTACTTAATTTTTATGGTCAGTGGATCTGTAAGATAGAATTGTGGCTTTGGACGAGTGTCTAAAGTTGCATGCTGACATAACATGGAACAAGGCATATAACCACTGTGACAAACAAATAACTGGTTGCCAGACAACCAGATTCATAAACACACTGTAGAGAGGATAAACATACTCTCATTGCAATGGAAGTCAATATTATTTGAAGAAATTACCTTCATTAGTTAGAGCAAGTCTAACAAAACATTCAGCAGCAAACTTCAAGTTTCCTCGAGCCCAGAACACATAGGGCAGTGCTTTGTCAAAGAAGACCTCAACCACAGCTGGGTATCTGAAACCAGAACACATAGGGAAGTGCTTTGTCAAAGAAGACCTCAACCACAGCTGGGTATCTGAAACCAGAACACATAGGGCAGTGCTTTGTCAAAGAAGACCTCAACCACAGCTGGGTATCTGAAACCAGAACACATAGGGAAATGCTTTGTCAAAGAAGACCTGAAACCACAGCTGGGTATCTGAAACCAGAACACATAGGGAAGTGCATCATCAAAGAAGACCTCAACCACAGCTGGGTATCTGAAACCAGAACACATAGGACAGTGCGTCATCAAAGAAGACCTCAACCACAGCTGGGTATCTGAAACCAGAACACATAGGGAAGTGCGTCATCAAAGAAGACCTCAACCACAGCTGGGTATCTAAAACCAGAACACATAGGGAAATGCGTCATCAAAGAAGACCTCAACCACAGCTGGGTATCTGAAACCAGAACACATAGGGAAGTGCATCATCAAAGAAGACCTCAACCACAGCTGGGTATCTGAAACCAGAACACATAGGGAAGTGCTTTGTCAAAGATGACCTCAACCACAGCTGGGTATCTGAAACCAGAACACATAGGGCAGTGCCTCACCAAAAGAAGACCTCAACCACAGCTGGGTATCTGAAACCAGAACACATAGGGAAAGGCGTCATCAAAGAAGACCTCAACCACAGCTGGGTATCTGAAACCAGAACACATAGGGAAGTGCTTTGTCAAAGACGACCTCAACCACAGCTGGGTATCTGAAACCAGAACACATAGGGAAGTGCATCATCAAAGAAGACCTCAACCACAGCTGGGTATCTGAAACCAGAACACATAGGGAAATGCTTCATCAAAGAAGACCTGAAACCACAGCTGGGTATCTGAAACCAGAACACATAGGGAAGTGCGTCATCAAAGAAGACCTGAAACCACAGCTGGGTATCTGAAACCAGAACACATAGGACAGTGCGTCATCAAAGAAGACCTGAAACCACAGCTGGGTATCTGAAACCAGAACACATAGGGAAGTGCGTCATCAAAGAAGACCTGAAACCATAGCTGGGTATCTGAAACCAGAACACATAGGGAAGTGCCTTACCAAAAGAAGACCTCAACTACAGCTGGGTATCTGAAACTAGAACACATAGGGAAGTGCGTCATCAAAGAAGACCTCAACCACAGCTGGGTATCTGAAACCAGAACACATAGGGAAGTGCATCATCAAAGAAGACCTCAACCACAGCTGGGTATCTGAAGCCAGAACACACAAGGCAGTGCTTTGTCAAAGAAGACCTCAACCACAGCTGGGTATCTGAAACCAGAACACACAAGGCAGTGCTTTGTCAAAGAAGACCTCAACCACAGCTGGGTATCTGAAACCAGAACACATAGGGCAGTGCTTTGTCAAAGACGACCTCAACCACAGCTGGGTATCTGAAACCAGAACACATAGGGCAGTGCTTTGTCAAAGAAGACCTCAACCACAGCTGGGTATCTGAAACCAGAACACATAGGGCAGTGCTTTGTCAAAGAAGACCTCAACCACAGCTGGGTATCTGAAACCAGAACACATAGGGAAGTGCTTTGTCAAAGACGACCTCAACCACAGCTGGGTTTCTGAAACCAGAACACATAGGGCAGTGCCTCACCAAAAGATGACCTCAACCACAGCTGGGTATCTGAAACCAGAACACATAGGGAATTGCTTTGTCAAAGAAGACCTCAACCACAGCTGGGTATCTGAAACCAGAACACAAAAGGCAGCGCTTTGTCAAAGAAGACCTCAACCACAGCTGGGTATCTGAAGCCAGAACAAATAGGGAAGTGCTTTGTCAAAGACGACCTCAACCACAGCTGGGTATCTGAAACCAGAACACATAGGGCAGTGCTTTGTCAAAGAAGACCTCAACCACAGCTGGGTTTCTGAAACTAGAACATATAGGGCAGTGCCTCACCAAAAGACGACCTCAACCACAGCTGGATATCTGAAACCAGAACACACAGGGCAGTGCATCATCAAAGAAGACCTCAACCACAGCTGGGTATCTGAAACCAGAACACATAGGGAAGTGCTTCCTCAGTTTCAGCTGCATGTGTCATGTAGTTTGAGAGGTGTTTTTAGCCCTGTGAGCAATAAATTGGAGCAGGCACATCCATTATCCAAGTTAAAGAAAATGTTAACCAGACAGCAAATAACTGTATGAGTGAATGTTGGTTAACATGATTAAAGCACCAGTCACCACCAGTATTACAGCTATGTCAAGCTATGTCAGCTATGTTTAACTGATGGCCTGATGGCCCATGTCAAGTTAAAATTGCAAAGTAAGTAAAGTAGATGGCCCATCTGGCTTGTCAAAATTACACCCCTTCTCTGCGTATATTTAATATTTTTAATTGGGTCATCTTGGTAGAATGACAACCAGCCGCCATTTTGTAATGTAGTGTACAGCAACTTCTTTATTTGCTCCTAAATTGTCTTGAAAGGAGGTAAAATAGAAGCCAAGATATAATCTAAGAGTGCAGGAAAAAATGTTTTAGGAGTGCGGAGTTCTAACATTTTCAGAGCCCTGCCAGCTGGCTACGCAACCTCAGGTTCAGCCAATTTGTGGCCTCCGCCATTTAGTTGTAGGTCAGTTAGTTTGGAGAAGGGCCAGTAACTTTTGAAAGGAACATGCACTGCTGGCTACATCAATTTTTTTGTTAAATATACCCCTGAAACAATCAGTCTGGACCAGGCAAACCAGTGGTTGTAACTAGAGAAAGTATGAACAACTTTCCATGCAATCTGGGGATGAATACTGGGAAACAGTTCAGACAAAGAACTGAACCACCCAATCCTCTTACTGAGGACAATTCTTACTTCAGCCAGAATTCTTAAGTTACTTTGCAATAAATGTCTCTACCCTGCCAAATTATTATTACCTTAACAAATAATCATTTACATCCTGAAATAGAAATAACTCTGAATTTACCTTTTCTTAAGAACTTCCCTCACAGAGGAGACCGTGGCATCAGTGGCTTTCTGGATGAGCTGGGACTCCGAGCTGCAGTCTCGGGACGAGTGACGGAGACGGCCGGCAGAAATATGCTGAGGTAGCATAATCTCTATCACACTCGCCACCACTGTCAACAACAATGTTGAATCATTTTCTTGCCACCACTGCTGTTATCCTTTAATCATTTTTAATACAGAGATTACCTTATTCTACTGAAACATGGTTAAGATTATTCTGTAACAATTTAGGGGAAGCTCGGTAGATGATGATCATATTGATCCCTATGTCCATATGTTCCAAATTCACCAAAATTAAACACTGGTATATACCCAAATTTAAATAACCTGCAAGGAACTTAATCATTTGTATGATGGGGGATGACTTTTCAGGACAATAGTTTTCAGGCAAATATTCACTGATGGAAGTGGAATCACAAAACAGTGTGGACAAATGTACGGCAATTCATCTGTCAGCTATCAACACTACTCAAACTCACCTGACAATCTGTAAAATGTATGATGCCATCCCGTATGACTATAATAACTCCGCTTGTAGTTAATATAGGAATATGGTAATATTGATGTGACTTCACCACCAGCGTAATCTCCATCAGCACAGAAATCATCATTCCAGATGTTTCGAGCCTTTAACGTACATGTACTTTTACAAGCTGCCTCCTGTTTTTCAATGTAGGCAAGGAGACGATACAGCCATGACAGTTGAATGCTTGTAAAGGCCTGGTCTCTCCTTCTCTCATACAAAACATGTTTCATGGGACGAGGCATGCTGCTTGTCGATTGTTGTTTCTGACGGGTGCCCTTGGTTGAAATTGAACAAATACATAACTCAAACAATGTCGGCACATTTCGGATGTTGGGACGCGAGTTTTCATCAGAATAACCAACAAGATCTGCAACTTCGAAGTCAATGTTTTCAACATTTCTAAATGGAGCATCATAGTCAGCATATAAGATTGACTGCTTTTTTAATCTATCTTTCCGTCTCTTTTTCTGTTTCTTACTTGGAGCTCGATTTCTTCCCACCTGTGTTTGGTTTGAATTGGTGTCAACACTGTCAAACACACTGTCTGTATTGTCAGAAGACACTGAGGCTGCTTCACCTATAGCCTCGTAATCTGTAGACTGATTCAAGAGGTCAGTATCACTGTCAGATAAACTTGTTCTTTCTTCAGCAGAATAATACTCTGATTCATCGCTGTCGTTGGAGTTATCTCCCTTTGCTTCGTTTTCTGATGAAGCATCTCCAGCGCTGTCTGAGTTTGAGACCTGGTCACTTGTTGTTCCTCCAGGTGCTTCATGCGGTGTGATTTCCCAGGAGATCAGGCGGGCAAAGACTGGCCTCTGCCTCCTTTGGGCAACCAGTCTGCCCAGAGCAAGGTCTTCTTCCATGCTTTACTGAAACTGGGAAACACCTGATTGGTCAAAAATACAAAGTTGAAATAAAGGACAAAAGTATGCAATAATAGTCAAATGTTACGAATATAGTATTAAATGTTACTAATAAAGGTCAAAATACTAAACAGACAGACGCCAGGGAAAAAATAAGAAGCTGAAATAAAGGACAAAACTACGCAAAAATAGCCAAATGTTACGAAAAGACGTCATATGAAAAGAAAGAACAATGTGTACAAAAGAAAGTCAGTGCGCACGAAAGGACAATAAACTACTAAAGGACGTTGACCATAAGATGGCGCTGCAATTTGATAACATTTTAATCAGTTAATTGGCATGTTCCGCTGTGTATATGATAACTGCATGCCGAGGTGCACGATGTATTACGTCATTTAATACATCATAAGTAACATTTGACTATTATTGCGTAGCTTTGTCCTTTATTTCAACTTTGTATTTTTTTACTGAATGGCTGCCCATACATTTCCCAGTATTCAATATAAAAGTAAAAGGAGAAACTTCAATAATTGAGTGCTATTATTTTTTTAATTATACTATCAACTAAATTTGATAACAGTTGTAAACATGGAACCCCAGTTATCATGTTTATCCAGAAATTACAAAATATGTTCATCTTACTATATATCCGAATATCTACACAAATCTGACTGGTGGTACTAGTTATTACAAACTGACAGTTATCAGTCAAACATAAACTCAATATTATCGCATTAATTGTCAGTATAAACACTGCATATAATCAGTCTTCCTAAGTATCATTACTGTGCTCTATATCTATCAAAATACATACTCATTAAGAAGGCAGAGTCGTCCTTATCAGTGCCCTCCTTGCAAGCTGACAATTGTTAAAAAATAATCTTCGATTTCTATAGAACAGTGGCAGTTGCCAGCTGGGTGAAAATCTCAACACCGTAACAATTTCCCACTTGACCTGTACATCAGTAGTTTGTTTGCAGAAATGTATTTTAAAATATTTGATTTCCTTTTCAAGACTATTTACAAGTAGATTACCTTTCTTCAAATGTAAAATGCTAAAAAAATGTACTTTCAAGTTAATATTTGTTTGTTTATAAGCAAATATTTTCTGGATTTACAAAAAAACATGGCTGTCCCTCAGCTGGACCAGAATAAAAAATTATACCTAATCTATATCTAAATATTCTAAAAATGTAACAAATTTTGTTTTTCACACTCTCAAATGAACATTAATTACATGTATCCTATCATTATTATCTCAAACCTAATTGAAAAAAAATAAATTAGGAAAAAAAAGATGTCCCTCAAAAGGCACTCAACTCCGTTACAACGTACCAATACTAAAAAAATAACTGTGCTATGGGAGATAACTCTCATACGCTTCCTCTTTTGGCAACATGTGTATGAAGTTCATCTGCTGGTGATAGATCGATGCCACATTTATGTACAATGTTCAAGCCAATGACATCAAGATATGTCTGTTAAGTACAGTATGTTTTCTGAGCCTCAACTCTGTAACACTGTCTATAGATCTATATCTCATTCTAATTTCCTTCACTTTTCCAAGAGAAATTGGTTAGCAAGACCATGTTAGCAGTGAGTATTTTAATTTCCATAAAAAGCAAAGCATGCTGGGATATGAGCCATTTATAGTAAGGTGTCTCAACTCCGTTACACTCAACTCTGTAATGCTGTACAGCGTAACGGAGAGGAAAAATTTGTGCATCTGCACAATTTCGATAGTTATTGTCAGTACATAGCTTTGTTCTTCACGAATATTTTATTTTATTTTAACCCTATACCTGACAAATAATTTTCCCACAGTCTGTAGTAAGAACTTTTTTTTAAAATAGTCACTCAGACTGCTCTGATGTTTCGGATGAACAAGATGTTAGGACCTGTGCAAAATGTGGATTTGATACTATTGATAGCGCTCTTTCAGACAGTGGACTAATTATTGAAGACAGAACTGTTGTCTTTTACATTGATGGGAGTGCCTGGCTATTGTATTTTGGCTGCAGAAAGCAATTTCATTATGCATGTATAAACAACATATTTTCTGAGAGTGTTGATGATATGATTGATCTGAAATTTGATCTTGAAGTTTTGTAACTATATTATAGTGATCTAAAATGGCATTTTCAGCAACTTTGTACTTACTTATTTCAACGTCTATACAAAGGGTTGAACATTAGTAATTTAGTAGACCCACTTTTGTATGCCATTACTGCAGTAACGGCTCATAAACCATGAGTACCAAAGTCCTGACAAGTAACACAACACAGTGCATGTATTTTCACATTTCATCTCAAAAGGGATGAAAAGGTTGTTATTTTATGCTAGAGAGCAATAACAAAATATATGAGTTACAACTCCGTTACAACAAACTCAACTCTGTTACGTCAGGATTTTTTTAATAGATGACTTCTTTTGACAACTGACGAAAAACTTTGTTGTTTTTTTTACTTTTAACTTTAGATTAGGATTAATGATAATATATGTTGTGACAAAAGATGAAAAATACTATATTTTGGATACCGTCTTTCATGTAAATGACTTTGTTGTCTAGGCAAACTTTTGAAATATGGAGCGAGCACTTACAAATGTCCAATCATACATTTTATTTATCCAGTTTGCATTTGTTTAACACTGAATTGTATTCACACTTAATGTTAATTGCTGAATACGATTTGATATTTCAAAGCAACCTAGCGCTATTAAAATTACTTTCCATTTTGTGATCCGTAACGGAGTTGAATGTCCTAGCAGATTAGGCTAATTCATTAATTATTTTCTAATTAATTAAACACATCACTGCACTGCATTGAACTAGAAAGTACTTCTCAAGTATCATATTCTCTAATATCAAGAGAAAAATTATATTAGGGACACTTTTATTTTTGCAAGTTGATATCAGAAAATTTGTCGGTTTTGAGATTTTTACCCACCTATGAGTCCTGACCTGGTGTCATCAGTGCATTCAGTGATTCATTTATATAATTTTCACCGCTAGATCTATATGCACAAATAGAATCTGTTTCGGCTGATAATTAAGACTGGTTAATACATTTGCAAAGTTTCAAGTTCCAAAAGAAAGGTTTAGCACAAATTATATGTTAAACGTAAGTTGCTGCATTGAAAAAGCAAAAAAAATTAAAAAATTAATAACAAAACAAAAAAACACTTAAAGGCACCACCACTTCAGCACTTGCCTGAAGTGTATGCAAAGTTCCATGAAAATATATTTTAAGATTTATGAAGTATGCTCCTGGAACAATCCCTACCCTCATCAGATTAAATACTCACTCCAAACAAAGTTGGGGATATGTAAAACTAACAGATGACTGCAGAAATACAAAGAGGTATCAAGTGAGGGTAATGGATGGATAAGCAAACGGAAGAAATAGTCGTAACATAACAATCAACAAAACATGTTGACAGTGTATTCTGTAAGGATGCAAACAACCAAGAAAGACGACAGGGGTGTCTGTCAATGAAAGTAAATCATGCCCCAACAATTGGTCAAAAATTAATTTATGCAGTGTGGCATAGTCTGAATCAATCTCCAAATGACAATTTGAGGGAATCTGGTCCACTCCACTTGCTGAGATTTGGCTAATTCGGCTAACATAGCAGGTTGCCTTTGATGTCTGTGTACTAGTCTCAGGACAGCAGTCAAAGCTGGCCACTGCATTCTGGTGATCTTCTGCTACTGGAGGTAGTCAGTTACGATAAGTGCGTGGTGGGCACGAGCGTTATCATCTTAAAAGACAAAACTTGCATGGACCAGCATGGCACGTAAAGGGCTGAACTATTGGTGCCAATATGTTGTCTCCTTAATACTGTCCAGTGACCCTTCCATCGACAAAATGCAGTGGCATTCATAGTATTTCAGTTAGGAATATTGATAGTTTCGATTGTAATTACCATATCAATAAAATACACACAATGCTGTTCAAATTTGTTTTTCTTTTGATCATGAGTGGTAGTAATTTAAACATGGTAATGTGGAAGTATCTTTTTCTTAAATTATTAGGGTAAAAAAAAAAAAATCAATCATATCTCAAACTTTACTTTTTATCTGTTGTTATCTGTTGTTGCGGTTATCCGCGATCTGCACAACAGGTCCAATTTAGAAGCATACCATGTGTGAAATATTGAGGGTTAATGGCTCTTTTGGTCAGAATTATTTATAATACAATATACATGCATACATACTTGTATTCAGATGGTCCACTCAACTCCGTTGCTAACTGTATGCTAAACGCGGAAGTACCGTACCGTAATTTGCGTAAAACTGTCAACGTCCAGTGATGAAAAGCAACAGTAAATACCGTGGTATAACGACTGTCAGCTATTGCAAATTTCCGAGAAAATCAAATAAAACTTCCTCAAACTGTACATCTGTAAGATATAATCAGTCATCTACACAAACCTGCAAAAGCACGTTATTTGTTCGAAGGGTGATTTTCGCCTCAGTGGTGCAACAACAAAAGGGGGATAACCTTAGTCTTGTTTCTATTGCATACCACTAAAATATTTTATTGTTTCTTAGCTGTTTCCCAAATATGGAATTACAACACAAAAATGTAAGTACATAATTTATAACACAATTTGCGTTTGTCAACCAAACAATAATTGATTGTTATTTCTGTTGAAAACATGTCACAAAAAGGTTTTAGTTAATATATGGTGTTTTTTTCATACACATGAATAGGATTTCAAGTATGCTTTAAAAAGGGTGGCGTGTGCATCAACCCCTGGATCCTGTGCACCCAAGTGTTAATGTCTTAATCCTCCCACACAAATTCAAAGCCAACATGCCGAGAAAAAATGTTCAAAGGGGCGTTACACCTAACTTCCAGATTCACTCACTAAAATCTCTAAGGGGCGGGACATTTGATACTTGGAGGTGGGTCATGTTTTCTTTTCTTCATTTTGAGAAACTGAGATTTATTTTTTTCATAAAAGAGAGCTGAGATTTTTTAACGTCAAATTTCAAATTTAACATATGGAAAGAATGTTAAAATGTTCTCACTGTTCACTAAAACAGTCCAGATGTAGTTTTTTTTAAAACAGCACATTGAAAATAGCAGTATAAAAAAGTATTTGTATGTGGAAAAAAAACAACACCATGTGGAGGAACAGCCAAGAGTGCAATTGTATCCAAGTAGGCATTAAATCTAGTCTCTTCTAGCATGTGTACATTTCAAGAAGTCATCACAGTGCTACAGCTGTCATTCTAACAACACCAGCATTCACTCAGTCATAGTGCTAACTCGATGTGTGTAACATCGTCTCTGGAGGAGCAGATCCAACACCTATATATGAAGATGGTTACACTGACACACACCCCAAAACATAACACAGACTCTGTTACTCATCCCTTCCTCCCGATGCTTAGTGTAGGATAAAGCATGTCCGAGGGTTTTTATGATATTTAAAACTGATGGTCATCAGCCTGAGGGGAAGTGTTTTATCTAACTTATGAACCGAAAAATGAAACTTAAAACAACATTTATCAACATTTTTATGTTTCAAACATATAACAACGCGTGTGGTCTGACGTTGATTAATGAATAATTTGCACACTTGTATATGCAAGGGGCCAACGTATGGTTCTCTGTAGGAAGTGACAACTTGGAGACGATGGCTTGCGGTATATACAGTTTTATTTTATACATGTAGATATATACATACATATTGGAGATTTTACGTGCGCTTTCCGACTGCAGCGTATTTTCGCTCCTTCTCTCTGGTCCAAGGCTTATATAGCCAAGGTCACCTGACATTTAGTAAGTTATAAATATAAATGTAAACAGTGGTGCTGTCATAATATACCCATGGTCCCACATGCTGTTCATAAATTCTGGTATGCTCTGTTCTGTAGCCCTGGACACAGGGGTATAGTCATTATAGTTTTCTACTTCTGTATAATGTCCTTAAATCTACTGCTGACAGTTCCTGTTATTCACAGGTTGCTGACAGTTCCTGTTATTCACAGGCGTACACCTATAATCCCCTCATGACCAGTCTGTGACAGTTCCTGTTATTCACAGGCATGCACCTATAATTCCCTGATGGCCAGTCTGTAACAGTTCCTGTTATTCACAGGTGTACACCTATAATTCCCTGATGGCCAGTCTGTGACAGTTCCTGTTATTCCCAAATGTACACCAATGATCCCTGATGACCAGTCTGTGACAGTTCCTGTTATTCACAGGCATGCACCTATAATTCCCTGATGGCCAGTCTGTGACAGTTCCTGTTATTCACAGGCATGCACCTATAATTCCCTGATGACCAATCTGTGACAGTTCCTGTTATTCACAGGCATGCACCTATAATTCCCTGACGGCCAGTCTGTAACAGTTCCTGTTATTCACAGGCATACACCTATATTCCCTGATGGCCAGTCTGTAACAGTTCCTGTTATTCACAGGCGTACACCTATATTCCCTGATGGCCAGTCTGTGACAGTTCCTGTTATTCACAGGCATGCACCTATAATTCCCTGATGGCCAGTCTGTAACAGTTCCTGTTATTCACAGGCATGCACCTATAATTCCCTGATGGCCAGTCTGTAACAGTTCCTGTTATTCACAGGTGTACACCTATAATTCCCTGATGGCCAGTCTGTGACAGTTCCTGTTATTCACAGGCATGCACCTATAATTCCCTGATGGCCAGTCTGTGACAGTTCCTGTTATTCACAGGCATGCACCTATAATTCCCTGATGACCAATCTGTGACAGTTCCTGTTATTCACAGGCATGCACCTATAATTCCCTGACGGCCAGTCTGTAACAGTTCCTGTTATTCACAGGCATACACCTATATTCCCTGATGGCCAGTCTGTAACAGTTCCTGTTATTCACAGGCGTACACCTATATTCCCTGATGGCCAGTCTGTGACAGTTCCTGTTATTCACAGGCATGCACCTATAATTCCCTGATGGCCAGTCTGTAACAGTTCCTGTTATTCACAGGCGTAAACCTATATTCCCTGATGGCCAGTCTGTGACAGTTCCTGTTATTCACAGGCATACACCTATAATCCCATGATGGCCAGTCTGTGACAGATCCTGTTATTTTAAGGTCTACACCTATAATCCCCTCATGACCAGTCTGAGACAGTTCCTGTTATTCCCAGGTGTACACCTATAATCCCCTCATGACCAGTCTGTGACAGTTCCTGTTATTCACAGGCATACACCTATAATACCCTGTTGGCCAGTCTGTGACAGTTCCTGTTATTCTCAGGCGTACAACTATAATCCCTTGATGGCCAGTCTGTGACAGTTCCTGTTATTCACAGGTGTACATCTATAATCCCTGATAGACAGTCTGTGACAGTTCCTGTTATTCACAGGCATACACCTATAATTCCCTGATGGCCAGTATGTGACAGTTCCTGTTATTCTCAGGCGTACAACCATAATCCCTTGATGGCCAATCTGTAACAGTTCCTGTTATTCACAGGCGTACACCTATATTCCCTGATGGCCAGTATGTGACAGTTCCTGTTATTCTCAGGCGTACACCCATAATCCCTTGATGGCCAGTCTGTGACAGTTCCTGTTATTCACAGGCGTACACCTATATTCCCTGATGGCCAGTCTGTGACAGTTCCTGTTATTCACATGTGTACACCTATAATCCCATGATGGCCAGTCTGTGACAGTTCCTGTTATTCACATGTGTACACCTATAATCCCTGATAGACAGTATATGACAGTTCCTGTTATTCTCAGGCATACACCCATAATCCCTTGAAGGCCAGTCTGTGACAGTTCCATTTATTCACAGGTGTACACCTATAGTCCCATGATGGCCAGTCTGTGACCGTTCCTGTTATTCACAGGCGTACACCTATACGCTCCTATTGGCCAGTCTGTGACAGTTCCTGTTATTCTCAGGCCTACACCTATTATCCCCTGATGGCCGGTCTGAGACAGTTCCAGTTATTCACAGGCGTACACCTATAATTCCCTGATGGCCGTCCCTCATAAAGACATGCCAACCCCTCCTGCCACATTCAGAATCTGTGTTTGCCTCGTCCTCTTGACCCTTCAAGTGCTCCACACAGAAACATCTTGGTCCCGGTCCAAGGAAGGGCAGCACCCCTAGGATCTTCCCGTGACCATCATAGTGGAACACATGCTCTCTGTAGAAATTGTCTTCACCTTCCTTTTGAACAGTGACTGATACCAGAAAGTCAACTGAAATAAGGAAAATAACAAGTCACCACAATATCACTTACGAAATAACAAAACCAGAAGTTATCATCAGGTCACATTCTGAAAACCAGGGCATAAAAAATGTCAAAGATGAACATTCAGTCTAACTGTCATTGTTCTACATGAGTGAGTGTGTTTTTTACTGCCTTTAGCAATCATCCATCCATTTTATGACAGGGGACACAGGCTTCACAGATGCATTGTACTCATGTGGGGAATCAACCAAGGTTTTAAAAAACCCAGCATGCACCTAGGGAACCTTGATGGTTAGTTTGTTTGTTTGTTTGTTTGTTTGTCCCTTAAAGCCAGCACTATTCCAGCTATATGATGGTGACATGTAAATAATCAAGTTCGGACCAGACAATCCAGTGATTGACATTATGAGTATCCATCTACGCAATTGGGATACAATGACATGCATCAACCAAGTCAGTGAACCTGAGCAAGCATGGGTTGCTGAAGACCTATTCCCTCACAGATATTCACGGAGTAAGGCAAGCATGGTATACTGAAGACCTATTCTAACCTGGAACATCATGGAGGGAGACAAGCATGGGTTGCTGAAGACCTATTCTAACCCCGATGTTAATGGAGGGAGACAAGCATGGATTGCTGAAGACCTATTCTAACCAAGATGTTAATGGAGGGAGGCAAGCATGGATTGCTGAAGACCTATTCTAACCAAGATGTTAATGGAGGGAGACAAGCATGGATTGCTGAAGACCTATACTAACCCCGATGTTAATGGAGGGAGACAAGCATGGATTGCTGAAGACCTTTTCTAACCTGGAACATCATGGAGGGAGACAAGCATGGATTGCTGAAGACCTATACTAACCCCGATGTTAATGGAGGGAGACAAGCATGGATTGCTGAAGACCTATTCTAACCAAGATGTTAATGGAGGGAGGCAAGCATGGGTTGCTGAAGACCTATACTTACCCAGATGTTCATGGAGGGAGACAAGCATGGATTGCTGAAGACCTATTCTAACCTGGAACATCATGGAGGGAGACAAGCATGGATTGCTGAAGACCTATTCTAACCAAGATGTTAATGGAGGGAGGCAAGCATGGGTTGCTGAAGACCTATTCTAACCTGGAACATCATGGAGGGAGACAAGCATGGATTGCTGAAGACCTATACTAACCCCGATGTTAATGGAGGGAGACAAGCATGGGTTACTGAAGACCTATTCTAACCTGGAACATCATGGAGGGAGACAAGCATGGATTGCTGAAGACCTATACTAACCCCGATGTTAATGGAGGGAGACAAGCATGGATTGCTGAAGACCTATACTAACCAAGATGTTAATGGAGGGAGGCAAGCATGGGTTGCTGAAGACCTATACTAACCCAGATGTTCGTGGAGGGAGACAAGCATGGATTGCTGAAGACCTATTCTAACCCAGATGTTCATGGAGGGAGACAAGCATGGATTGCTGAAGACCTATTCTAAACCAGATGTTAATGGAGGGAGACAAGCATGGATTGCTGAAGACCTATTCTAAACCAGATGTTAATGGAGGGAGACAAGCATGGATTGCTGAAGACCTATTCTAAACCAGATGTTAATGGAGGGAGACAAGCATGGATTGCTGAAGACCTATTCTAACCAAGATGTTAATGGAGGGAGACAAGCATGGATTGCTGAAGACCTATTCTAAACCAGATGTTAATGGAGGGAGACAAGAATGGATTGCTGAAGACCTATTCTAAACCAGATGTTCATCGATCGGACCGTAGATGTGACACTTTAGGTTTACAATCTGGGGTGACTTTAGAACACATATTTTTTATTGCTATAGTTCTGGGATAGCTAAGGACACTGCTGTGATACTACTGCAATATTGATAAACTTATTGCAATAGTATCATTATAGTTGGGAAGTACTTGCATCAGTATTTTCTTTTATTATTTTATGTAAACTCATCTTTAAATCTTTTTGTATATTCCTGTATTTTTACACCCCATATAAGGTCATGTTCTATTTACCATCTTCTCTGACAGTGCAGACCTCTGTTGCAACTCCAGGAACCAAAAGGTCCATGACAATCTCTACAATCTCTGTGACATCCATAAACATCAGCATGGCACCGATGCCGACTGCAAGTCTGGTTTTCTCCTCCAGTTTTTTCATCTCCAGGATCCTGACTGGAGATCCTGGCAGGAAGCTGATGTAGCGGCCATCCTCACTCACCTCCAGGCTGCTGCTGTGGACAGAATTAAGCAAATTCAATGCAAAATGTCAGCATTAAAATATTTCATCTGTTAAATATGATCACATTAATACAATATATGCACAGTTCATATTCCTAAATGTCACTGTTTATGTTTCATAATGCCCTTGCTTTGAAGATGATTACCATTGTTGCTACAGGGCAATCCCTACCTCTCTTGTTGAAGGGTAACATTCAGCATTTGCAGTGTGTCAGGATGTAGGAAGTAGATGGCGTTGTCTGTTACAGCCATGACTTTCTCTCCTCCAAACAATAGAGTTCTTATTTCAGGGAACTCATCACTGAGAACCTCATCGTCTGTTATAGGGTCACATCTGACTCTGAAGCAAAGATCACATCAAAATGAAAGAACACACATCCTAATCACATGACCATTCACATTACTAGGCCTACCTTCAAAATGTCTTCAAATTTTCAGCTGAAAGGTAATCCAAACCTATTCAGTACCTTCTTTTGTGAGAAATTCTTCAAGTAAAACAATGAAACATTTTGCGAACAACCGTGTGTCATTATTTCCAAAACTTGGTACAAGTTCAGAGTTTAGGAGCAATCTGATAAACTTATGTAATGTATTTTTTGGACAAAATGAACTGTATAAGCTTTATTAAAACACCACAACTTGCAAATCATAAATCACGCTGCATTACATTGAAAAATGACCAAAAATATATATTGTAAATATAAATCCATGATGACCCTATGGAGATTTTGACATAAGATCTCCAGCAAGCTATGCTTATCCTTAGAGCTGACTAAATGGATCAGGTGTTCAGGCTACAAAAAGTTTTGTGACTTGCTTGATTCTGTATCATCGCACTGATGATTGTTGTTTAATGCCACAGTCTGCAATATTGCAGCTATAAGATGGCGGCCTGTATATATTTGAGTCTGGACCAGACTAACCAGTCACTGGTATAATGATTAATATTCAACATCTTTGGCGTGCGATGCTGCACAATCAACTCATTAAGTCACCTGTTGGATTAACTCAGATTTTTTTTATCCTCTGACATTTAATGAAAACACAATAAAGGCAAATGTTTGCAATTTTTTAGTCAGAACAGAAGCCTTCATGTGAAAAACATTGCTCTTCTTTGTGGGCAGTCAACATTAACCATCTACACCAACCTGAGTTTGTCCGCTGTGAGGCCATACAGCTTACTCCCAAGAACATGTGGTGCCACCATTTGATTGTCTGAGATGGTTTTTAGCAACTTTCCTTTCTTGCCAAAAACATATTGCTTCCTGAAATTCACAAAGCATATATGGTCATGTTTTACCAATAATCTCTAATACTTTATTACCTTGCTGTTATTTGCAAAGTTTCTAGTTCTTCCTGCATGTTGTAAGAGGCAATCCATTCCATATGGCATCTTTCCGAGGCAAGGGACTATATAAGTACAGTCTCCACTCCACTCCATAAATAACCCTGTATATTTGATTTATACACTCTCATAAATGACAGGTCGAGTTGCACAGTGATTTCAAAATCATACCAGGAAATATCCTTAATTATCTCAAACTGTCTTTGTGAAGAGATTGAGTACCTGTGATTTTTATACTCCTTCAGAATGCCCATGTGCCACATGATATCATCTGGAGGAAAGCTCCTGTGTTTACTGGTCATCTTCTGGGTCCGAATGCTGGACACCTCAGGGTCATCTATTTGGTCACAGAAGTCATGTGAGTGTTCTGTGGTCAGGAAAGGCTGCATGAAGCTGGTCTTACGGGAACAGTCTACAAACTGTAATACAAAGATGTGTAGTGTTTGGCATAAGTATCAAGGTGTCATTGCCCTAATGTTCAAAAATATATATTGAGGGGTCAAAAGTTGTAGCAGAATATCTCAAGGCCCAAAGAATCATATCCTTGATTATGCAGTGTATTGTATCCCCATTCTGTTATGACAAAATAGAATTTATAAACCTACTGCCATTTAGTATTGTAGGTATCTTGATATCTCATAGTAATCTTGTGAGAGGGTGTTCAATCTCACATGTCATAACTTCAGTTGTCTGCATGCCGCACATGGTATTTCTCTCACCTACTTCAGCCCTTGGGGTTTTCCCACTCAAGGTTTTACATTTTTAATCTCAGAGTCATGTTTTAACTATAAAGTACCCAGGACCTATTCTACACCATGACTTTTGAGCCCAAATCGTATGGCACAAAGCAACATTCTGTGCTCAGTTTGACATGTTAGACACAGGGGTGATGGAGATGGTGACCTCACTTCCATAGCTAAGCCATGGTTGCAAATGGATCCAGGGTTGTTATCATAATAGGATGTATATACAATACACTTTTACAATCGAGGATGCAAGGAGTTCTTTAAATTCTCAACATTGATATGTCTTATCGAAAGGAATTTTATTAATCCAGGGTCAGAACTAAACTCAAAAGCTTCAATTGCCTGGGTAAAGATCAAATGCCCTTGTAATGTTGAAACAATGGGTAAATTTGTAAATTTGTACTAGCCTGCAGGAATTTGTACAAGCCCTGGGATAGCAGGCTAGTGTTAGTTTCTAACTCTGTAATCAGCCCCATATCATATGTCTTTAATGAAGAAATTGCAATAAAGGAAAGATGGGGTGAAATGGTGTTTGCCCCACAGGGAGTCTGTGTTGGAATAGACCCCAAGCAAGCTATGCTTGTTGTACAAGGCGACTACAAGTTTCATGCGATCAGATTCGATGACTTGTCTGGCTGTCATCGTAGCCCTATGACCTGGAACATTGTTCATAATGATATAACTGAATTACTGTTCAAAACAGAGTTAAACTCCATCACTCACGAAAAGGCTTTCATCAGATTTCATACTGCCTTCACTCCTCGACCAATTTTATCCCCAAAAAGTTATTTCTCGAGTGGTCTTCTGGAATAGTGTGTGATATGTAACAACCTACATATATTTTAGGTGTACATACCACTTGAATCCTCTTTGGTGTGTAGGTATCATGGACTGCTAGGTAAAGAGTGTCCTTGTAGGCAAAGCACTCTTCAAGCAGGATGCTGAAAATAACTGGCTTATACTTGTAACCTTTCTTTATAGTTGGGATCTCTTCTTGTCTTTCTTTCTTACAAAGTTTTGTCCTTTTGTGTGATTGCAGAGTAAATTTGACAATCTGCTCCCAGAGGTGATGTTTAACTTGTTCCACACTCTGAAAAAAATAACAATCTATATGTCCAACACCTGCATATTGCAATAATTGAGTCAACATCATGATTGAAAGGTGAAACTTAAGTTTTGTTTGCAGGAAATTGTCCATGTTCAACTAACAGTTGCTATCAATCAATGTCTTACTTGCATGACTGGTTAATCAGGGCATGTTCTGAAGATCCCATTCTATTAGTTTAAGCATTTTGTTGTGAAACAAGCGGTAAGGTAATACTTTCATTAGTAGTTCTCAGGCTGGGTTATTGTAAAATGTAACAAATATTATTGATTGAAAACTGATACAGAAATTAAAGCATGAATCGTTTCCATGAAAACAAAAAAATACATTTTTGAAATTGTTTAAAAAGCAAAAGGCACCAGTAGATGAGCAACACATATGCCAAGTTTCCAAGAAAAACATGGAATTGTATTCAAGTTATGGCTAAGAATAGCATTGGAACGCCAACAACAAAAGGAACCGAGGCAAAAACAATATGTCTCCCCTCTCTCAGTTGTGGGGGGTAATGGTGGAGACACGAAAACAAGACCTACATGTTGAGACATTTCATAGCCCTTTGCAAAACAGTACTCCAGGGACATCTTCATCTTCTCCTCCCAAATGGCGCCACCTTTCTCAGTAGGAGAAGAATTGCGGAACATGCTTGATTTTTTTTTGGCTTCAATGTCTGCTAGGGCTCTCTTAAAACAGTTTAAAGAAAGAGTTTTTCAGTTCATCAAATTCTTTATTTGTACACATTAATGAGGTTTTATGCAGTTTTTAGAAGTATATCAGCAATATTTATTGAGAATATCTAAGAATGGTCTTTGAACATTGTTCCCACAAGGGAAGTCCTTGTGATTATTGTGTTACCATCTGGAAAACATGCAGTCTCAGGCTAATTTTAGTTTCGTCATGTAACCGTTGACTTGCTAATAGTGACTGATTGTGCTGGTTATTGCAATTGACCTGTCTGAAATGAAGGATTGTCTACAACAAAATATGGCCACAGCATTGGTCTGTTGAGCTAATAAATCAGAAGGGACAAGGCTTTGGCTAAATGATTCTCAACAATCCAGGACCTGTCAAATGATCGTAAGGTTAATCTTTAACTGATTTTATCTCACCTTCTTGCATAAAACCCTCAGAAAAGGTATAAGATCAAGTTTTGCCCCTTGATCTCCTGGTCCTGTCCAAAACAGGGTCAGTTGTTGCGCATACCGTGGTGATGTAATATCTACCAAGGAGGACTCTGGACATGCCAGATTGACAACTGTGTCAGTGTCACGATACACCTCAGTCAGTGTTGGTACTATGTGTAGTCCTGGGAGGGGCAAAGAGTGAGCGTGTGAATGGTGATAAACATTGCAGTCAACAATATACCAGCTGTATCAAGATAAACTGTTAATGAAGTCTCTGCCACACAAACCAGTGACTGAATAATAATGTAATAAGTAAAAGCAAAACACTGCCCATCCATGTTGTTTGTTTGCTGTTTAACACCACACTCAACAATATTCAAGATGTATGACAGTGATCGGTAATTATCCACTCAGGACCAGACAATCCAGTGATTGACATCATTAGCACCCATCTATGCCACTGGGATTTGTACATATATTTTAACAGCAAGGCACAGAACCTACACTGTATCTTCCAAAGGAAGGAAGTTGTCAAGATTTCATGGAAGTTTTGTCTCGTGAGAAAGTAACCAATTGTTAATACTCCTTATCGTGGCACCATGTGATCAATCTTGGTGTTTTATGAGACAGCGTTATTACACTCAAAGGTAGACATGCTCAAACTAATTTCATGACCCATTAATATGGTGACACATTACTTGCATGGTTTACAGTATATATTCATGCTCTTTCAAAGATTGTAGCACATACCATATCTGTGGACTTGAGCATGGGGGAGCGGTATGTTACTGAAGGAGTGCCACTTGGTGGTCAGGCCTGACGTGTGGAGGTGAAGCCTGAAAGTACAGGTCACAGTATACACTGCCTGGATCTAGCCACACCGCCTCATTACAGCCATCCCAGCCTTTGTATTCTTAATACTCGGTTTATGCAGAAGACCCAAGTTCAATCATCCGTAATTTCTCACTGATTATGATATTGCTTGACTTTTGCCGAAAACAGGGTACTCACTCACTATTCTTTACACAACAGGAATGCTATTTACTTGTTTTCTTTGTGAAGCATCACCTGAATACCTGAATGAGTATAGCACTGCTTTTAACAATATTTCAGTTTACCCTCCAGTAAATATAAGTTTACAGTGAAAGTTTACACTGTGTAAGGATCAACAGTGAAAGTTTACCTTGTGTAAGGATCAACAGTGAAAGTTTACTGTGTGTATAAGGATCAACAGTGAAAGTTTACCTGTTTAGAGGGATTAGAAGTGTAACAATATACCGAGCTATCGAGATATCGCAATCGTTTGCCCAACAATAGTACTATTATATCATATGCCGAAAGTATCATTGATGGTATTCATGATAATCGACAGTTTCAACAGCAGCAATTAGTCATAAACACCTAACTATGCGAATTTCAAACCTGCCTTGTTTAGCAAGGATTATGACCACATTGGGTCAGAGGTACTTTCCTTTCAGGGATACTTTCCGACAGGGAGACAAAAGGCCTTCTTTGAGATTGTCAGCAATACTTTATTCACTTCTTCTATATATAAGTAATATAATAATCAAGCCTTAAAGTTGGTTCACAACTATCACAATACTTTTGTAAGAGTGTGGGCTACTATCGCAATACGATCACAATACTGAAAACGGCCCCAATAGTCACCCTAAGGAAGGATCAACAGAGAAAGTTTACCCTGTGTAAGGATCAACAGTGAAAGTTTACCCAGTGTAAGAATCAACAGTATAAGTTTACCCTGTGTAAGGATCAACAGAGAAAGTTTACCCAGTGTAAGAATCAACAGAGAAAGTTTACCCAGTGTAAGGATCAACAGAGAAAGTTTACCCAGTGTAAGAATCAACAGTGAAAGTTTACCCTGTGTAAGGATCAACAGAGAAAGTTTACCCTGTGTAAGGATCAACAGAGAAAGTTTACCCAGTGTAAGGATCAACAGAGAAATTTTATCCAGTGTAAGAATCAACAGAGAAAGTTTACCCTGTGTAAGGATCAACAGTGAAAGTTTACCCTGTGTAAGGATCAACAGAGAAAGTTTACCCTCTGTAAGGATCAACAGTGAAAGTTTACCCTGGGTAAGGATCAACCGTTAAAGTTTACCCAGTGTAAGGATCAACAGTGAAAGTTTACCCTGTGTACGGATCAACAGTGAAAGTTTACCCTGTGTAAGGATCAACAGTGAAAGTTTACCCAGTGTAAGGATCAACAGTGAAAGTTTACCCTGTGTAAGGATCAACAGTGAAAGTTTACCCTGTGTAAGGATCAACAGTGAAAGTTTACCCTGTGTAAGGATCAACAGTGAAAGTTTACCCTTTGTAAGGATCAACAGTGAAAGTTTACCCTGTGTAAGGATCAACAGTGAAAGTTTACCCTGTGTAAGGATCAACATTGAAAGTTTACCCTGTGTAAGGATCAACAGTGAAAGTTTACCCTGTGTAAGGATCCAGGTTGAGGGCTCTGATAGGGGGCAGCACCATCTGCAGATCAGCCGTCAGGAAGCCAGCATCTGTCAGTCTCAGGTTGAGGTCTGTCATGGACTGGTAGTCCCCCTCAAAGGAATTCCTGATAACCTCTTTATTTTTTATTCAACAGCTTTTAAGTGTTTAAAAAAAGCAAGAAAGTGATTAGTTGGTCACTGTGAACTCAACTTGTGTTACCCTAATTTCATAGCATATGTCAATTGGATGCAAGGCATTAATAGAATAGATCTTTCACAACATGTGGCCTCAAACACTTACTTATTGTTGGTAGGATCCGTAAACCCCCAAAAGTAACAAAGTGTGGTCTATTTAAGCTTTAACATGTGAATCTTTTTTAAATAAAATACTTACATGTTATTGACAATCCGAAGATGACCAAGTTGTGTTCTCCATATGACCTTGAGAAATTTTGGAGCTCCATGTTCAGCAACATGGTCAAGAACTGGCTGCCATGGATTGTGTTGGTGAGAGTTTTCTTCCCATGACAGCGGTGTTTCCAGTTTTTGTCTGTCAGGAATGAAGAAAATGACAAAAACAAATGAAATGTTCAAAGACTTAAAATAACTTTGAAGGAAACATTTCTTTTCCTGATTGATATTATCATAGTATCAGTATCAAGAAATGTTACTTTTTCATAAGCTAAAACATTTTGTTTAAAAAATGTATCTCATGTTTTCCTAACGATGATTGAATCATCAGAAAGGTACCTGAGAATGAGAGTAGAGAATGCCCTGCAAGATTTCTTGTCATCTCCAAGAAGAGCCTTCACAAGGGACAGATGGAGCAGCAAGAATTCAAAAGACTCCACAAGACCCTCTATCAGCTTCACACAGCCTTCAAGACGACCCTCAACACTCTCTGTGGACAGGAGCAACAGTCAATAGACAGTGACACACATCGCTCCAGACAATCTGAATACTCTCTATGGACAGAAGCAACAGTCAATAGACAGTGACACACATCCCTCCAGGCAATCTGAACACTCTCTGTGGACAGAAGCAACAGTCAATAGACAGTGACACACATCACTCCAGACAATCTGAACACTCTCTGTGGACAGAAGCAACAGCCAATAGACAGTGACACACATCCCTCCAGACAATCTGAATACTCTCTATGGACAGAAGCAACAGTCAATAGACAGTGACACACATCCCTCCAGGCAATCTGAACACTCTCTGTGGTCAGAAGCAACAGTCAATAGACAGAGACACACATCACTCCAGACAATCTGAACACTCTCTGTGGACATAAGCAACAGCCAATAGACAGTGACACACATCCCTCCAGACAATCTGAACACTCTGTGGACAGAAGCAACAGTCAATAGACAGTGACACACATCCCTCCAGACAATCCTGAACTCTCTCTGTGGACAGAAGCAACAGTCAATATACAGTGACACACATCCCTCCAGACAATCTGAACACTCTCTGTGGACAGAAGCAACAGTCAATAGACAGTGACACACATCCCTCCAGACAATCTGAACACTCTCTGTGGACAGAAGCAACAGTCAATAGACAGTGACACACATCCCTCCAGACAATCCTGAACTCTTTCTGTGGACAGAAGCAACAGTCAATATACAGTGACACACATCCCTCCAGACAATCTGAACACTCTCTGTGGACAGAAGCAACAGTCAATAGACAGAGACACACATCACTCCAGACAATCTGAACACTCTCTGTGGACATAAGCAACAGCCAATAGACAGTGACACACATCCCTCCAGACAATCCTCAACACTTTCTGTGGACAGAAGCAACAGTCAATAGACAGTGACATACATCCCTCTAGACAATCCTGAACACTCTCTGTGGACAGAAGCAACAGTCAATAGACAGAGACACTGATCCCTCCAGACAATCTGAACACTCTGTGGATAGAAGCAACAGTCAGTAGACAGAGACACACATCCCTCCAGACAATCTGAACACTCTCTGTGGATAAAAGGAACAGTCATTAGACAGTGACACACAACCCTCCAGACAATCCTGAACACTCTATGTGGACAGAAGCAATAGACAGTGACACACAACCCTCCGGACAATCCTGAACACTCTCTGTGGACAGAAGCAATAGACAGTGACACACAACCCTCCAGACAATCCTGAACACTCTCTGTGGACAGAAGCAATAGACAGTGACACACAACCCTCCAGACAATCCTGAACACTCTCTGTGGACAGAAGCAATAGACAGTGACATACATCCCTCTAGACAATCCTGAACACTCTCTGTGGAAAGAAGCAACAATCAATAGACAGAGACACACATCCCTCCAGACAATCCTGAACTCTCTCTGTGGACAGAAGCAACAGTCGATAGACAGTGACACACATCCCTCCAGACAATCTTGAACACTCTCTGTGGACAGAAGTAATAGACAGTGACACACATCCCTCCACACAATCTGAACACTCTCTATGGACAGAAGCAACAGTCAATAGACAGTGACACACATCCCTCCAGACAATCTGAACACTCTCTGTGGACAGAAGCAAAAGTCAATAGACAGTGAAACACATCCCTCCAGACAATCTGAACACTCTCTATGGACAGAAGTAACAGTCAATAGACAGAGACACATGTCCATACAGACAATCTCAACACTCTCTGTGGACAGAAGCAACAGTCAATAGACAGAGACACACATCCCTCCAGACAATCCTGAACACTCTCTGTGGACAGAAGCAACAGTCAATAGACAGTGACACACATCACTCCAGACAATCCTGAACTCTCTCTGTGGACAGAAGCAACAGTCAATATACAGTGACACACATCCCTCCAGACAATCTGAACACTCTCTGTGGACAGAAGCAACAGTCAATAGACAGTGACACACATCCCTCCAGACAATCTGAACACTCTCTGTGGACAGAAGCAACAGTCAATAGACAGTGACACACATCCCTCCAGACAATCCTGAACTCTTTCTGTGGACAGAAGCAACAGTCAATATACAGTGACACACATCCCTCCAGACAATCTGAACACTCTCTGTGGACAGAAGCAACAGTCAATAGACAGAGACACACATCACTCCAGACAATCTGAACACTCTCTGTGGACATAAGCAACAGCCAATAGACAGTGACACACATCACTCCAGACAATCCTCAACACTTTCTGTGGACAGAAGCAACAGTCAATAGACAGTGACATACATCCCTCTAGACAATCCTGAACACTCTCTGTGGACAGAAGCAACAGTCAATAGACAGAGACACTGATCCCTCCAGACAATCTGAACACTCTGTGGATAGAAGCAACAGTCAGTAGACAGAGACACACATCCCTCCAGACAATCTGAACACTCTGTGGATAAAAGGAACAGTCATTAGACAGTGACACACAACCCTCCAGACAATCCTGAACACTCTATGTGGACAGAAGCAATAGACAGTGACACACAACCATCCGGACAATCCTGAACACTCTATGTGGACAGAAGCAATAGACAGTGACACACAACCCTCCAGACAATCCTGAACACTCTCTGTGGACAGAAGGAATAGACAGTGACACACAACCCTCCAGACAATCCTGAACACTCTCTGTGGACAGAAGCAATAGACAGTGACATACATCCCTCTAGACAATCCTGAACACTCTCTGTGGAAAGAAGCAACAATCAATAGACAGAGACACACATCCCTCCAGACAATCCTGAACACTCTCTGTGGACAGAAGCAACAGTCGATAGACAGTGACACACATCCCTCCAGACAATCTTGAACACTCTCTGTGGACAGAAGTAATAGACAGTGACACACATCCCTCCACACAATCTGAACACTCTCTATGGACAGAAGCAACAGTCAATAGACAGTGACACACATCCCTCCAGACAATCTGAACACTCTCTGTGGACAGAAGCAAAAGTCAATAGACAGTGAAACACATCCCTCCAGACAATCTGAACACTCTCTGTGGACAGAAGTAACAGTCAATAGACAGAGACACATGTCCATCCAGACAATCTCAACACTCTCTGTGGACAGAAGCAACAGTCAATAGACAGAGACACACATCCCTCCAGACAATCCTGAACACTCTCTGTGGACAGAAGCAACAGTCAATAGACAGAGACACACATCCCTCCAGACAATCTGAACACTCTCTATGGACAGAAGCAACAGTCAATAGACAGTGACACACATCCCTCCAGACAATCTGAACACTCTCTGTGGACAGAAGCAACAGTCAATAGACAGTGACACACATCACTCCAGACAATCTGAACACTATCTGTGGACAGAAGCAACAGTCAATAGACAGAGACACACATCCCTCCAGACAATCCTGAACACTCTCTGTGGACAGAAGCAACAGTCAATAGACAGAGACACACATCCCTCCAGACAATCCTGAACACTCTCTGTGGAAAGAAGCAACAGCCAATAGACAGTGACACACATCCCTCCAGACAATCCTGAACACTCTCTGTGGACAGAAGCAACAGTCAATAGACAGAGACACACATCCCTCCAGACAATCCTGAACACTCTCTGTGGACAGAAGCAACAGTCAATAGACAGTGACACACATCGCTCCAGACAATCTGAATACTCTCTATGGACAGAAGCAACAGTCAATAGACAGTGACACACATCCCTCCAGGCAATCTGAACACTCTCTGTGGACAGAAGCAAAAGTCAATAGACAGTGACACACATCACTCCAGACAATCTGAACACTCTCTTTTGACAGAAGCAACAGTCAATAGACAGAGACACACATCCCTCCAGACAATCTCAACACTCTCTGTGGACAGAAGCAACAGTCAATAGACAGAGACACACATCCCTCCAGACAATCCTGAACACTCTCTGTGGACAGAAGCAACAGTCAATAGACAGAGACACATATCCATCCAGACAATCTGAAGAAGCCAATCAGCATGAAGCAAAAATATTAATGCTGAGGGAGAAATATTGAACATAATTTCCCCTATGTCTGTGTCCCCATGGGTAATATTAGATTGTGATAAGAAAAACAACTGGTACTTTCATTCCAAACTGAGGATTAACAGAGATGGCCAGAAAATGCAATACCCAAGCCAAAATGTATTGCATGAAATGGTGGACAAAGTACCTTCATCAAGTAAATTATGACATTTTACTTGCTATTTGACAAGGAAACATATATGTATAAAACATATTATACATTAATATTAATTTCCAAACCCCTGTATACTGCAACAATATTTGGCAAATTTTCCACAAATTTGGAAAACCAATGTGAAAGGATCAAAACATATTTACCTTCAGTCACCATACATGTAAGACTGGAGAATGAAAGCCAGGTTTAGGACTGAATTCACCACAGTCATGTTATAACCCTTGTGTAAAGGAAGCACATTGCAATTTTTTCAGATATCTAAACTATGCGTTTTCTTCTCTGTATGCTTTGAGAGCAAAGTTGTCTAAGGTGCAATGCTTCACTGTGCAGAGTCGATTATGCATGCCTAGGTTTGATCCCATATGATGAGTCTAGGTTTGTCAGCAAGATACCTCTGCTCATGATGTTCACCAAGGTGGTAAACGTCCAAGACCTAACATCTTTGACCTGCATCACTTCAGGCGTTCCTCCCTCATTGAGCTGAAGTGCTATGATAAAAGTGAAAAACTGTTCCCAGCAGTGATTTACCCAGCTACTCTGTCCTGCAGGCTCACCTTGTGCTGTTCCACTGTGGAAACACAGGAAGGACTCTACAGCCTGTATGCTGGATCTCTGGGGACAGCTGGGATCAAGGAAGTTCATAGCCCCTTGCCATGCACCAGCTGCCAGTGTGGCCTTCTCTCTTGTCATCACTCTATCAAACACGGAACACAGGGATGCACTTTGAAAACACATTTTTGAAGTTTTGTAATATTGTGCAAAATGTATAGACGGACATTCATTTAAAAAAAACATCAGTTGAAATAAAGGACAAAAGTGTGCAATAATAGACTAATATTACGGATAAATGATTGCTAATAAAGGTCAAAAGAAAGAACAATGTGTTCTTTAGCATGTTAGTGCGCACAAAGGACACCAGACGCTAACGAACAACATTGTCAATAAAGAACGCCAGATGGTGCTGCAATTTGTACAGCATTCCAATTTTAATCAGCTTGTTCCGCTGTGTATATGATAAATGTATGCCATGAGCAGCATGACACCAAGGTGCACAATGCATATCCATTGCATCATCCCTTGTGCACCCACTGTGTGACATCATATACATGTTTCGATTATATATCAAGTGTTTAGTCATCGTCACTGGGAAAGTGGAACGTTTTGATAAATATTTTCTTGTTTATGAACTGACTTTAATATATTTTGTGTTAATTCATTTAATGAATAAATGAGCAGAATGTGAAGTTATTATTTTTGACATATTTATGAAAGTCTGTAACTCAGAATTTCAAATGGGATTTCTTTGTTGAAAATATGGGATTAAAAGCCAGTGGTCTGTCTAAAATTAGGAATTAAGTAACATTACTTTTTTATATCTTCTAGCTGGCCCTAGCCAATCTGGAAGATTCTCGGTTTTCTTTACGTACAAGAATGACAGTTTGAAAGTTTGGTAGTATTGTTTGAATCTCAACCAGAAGTTGAGAAAATGGACATTAGTTATTGTTGAAACACAGAGATAAAGAGTTATAACTCATTTTGCAGCTGTTACTACTGAAACAAAGAGACAAAGAGTTATATAAGACTCATTCGGTTTGTGGTAAAACAAAGAAAGACAAAGAGGGTAAAATAGTTAGGACTTATTTTTTCGTGGGAGGAGGAATAAATTATGATGACAGTATCTTGTTAGTTGTCAGAGGATGGAGTGAGAGTTTGAGTCTGCACCGCTGACCAGATGGGTTCTCCCTCTGTATTTGGGAAGTTCTACTGAAGGTTAGAAGCCAAGAGCTGATATGAAGTAATACTGGGCTCTTCAGTGTATCATTTAGATATGTGTAGTGAATATATCAGTCAGGCAATATAAATACATAATGGTCATCCTACAGCCTACAATAAATGGAATATAACAACCACCCAGACTTATGATAAGAACGAGCTACATCATCCCCTGAACCAAGGTGTAGTAAGAATAAGTTGCCGAAATAGAAGTGAATTAAACCTGATATCCCAGGTAACAGTGCACCTTGGTGTCGTGTAGCTATTTGCCAACGTTTATCATATACAGAGCAGAACAAGACAAATATAATCGGAATGTACAAATTGCAGCATTGTCTTGCATTCTTTCATCGACAACAGTGTTCATTAGCATTTGGTGTCCTTTTGTGTGCACCTACCATCCTTTAGTACACATTGTTCTTTGTTAGTCGTCTTTGTTAGTAACATTTAATATCTATTCATAACTTTTGCCTATGATTGCATACTTATGTCCTTTATTTCAACTCATGTATCTTTTGACCGATGGCAGCCCCTAAAAATCATATTAAAATGTTCTTGGTATTGAAGCAGGAGACAATCAAACACAATAATGTCATCATACAGGTTTGAATCTCATTTGATTAGTTTCGAGTTTGACGAGCACAAACACACATCTTGTCATTTTGAGTTAAAATTGATTACGTGTTTTCATTTGTATGTTGTATTCCAATATATTATTCAAGTTTAGCTGGGGGCTTAAAGTCAGTGACCATGTTAAAGGTACAGAGGGTGTCAGTAGTAAATGGCCAATATGGATGACGCTGACTTTCAGGTGTTCAATTCACATTGTAGAATGTCTGCTATGGAAGTTTTACCCTTGATCGTACACACTGGCCATCAGCATGTACTTTTGTAGGAGAACTTCTTTATCCTCCCATTGTAACCTTGACCTCCTCATTATAGATTCTGATGCCTCTATGTACAGCCGCTTTGCTTTTATAGGTTCCTCATTCTGTGCGTACAGCCGGGCTGCCTCGCTCAAAGCATTAGCTCTGCCCATTTCTTAAAACGAAAACACACACATATTGGGTCTTCTGACCAAGTTGGTAAGGAAGTGTTCACCAAAGAAACATGTACATCAAGCCATTTAGATAACTGACCAGAAGTCCCTTTGTCTTGTACTCAACCTTTACATGCTATTAATATCAATACTTAGATTTGTCAATAAACGGGAAACCTCATAGAAAGTAACCTCTGACTTACTGGCAATGCTCACTTTAACATGCATTACAGACATGGCATTGTCGTCTTGAAAACAAACCATTGAGCAAAGGGCAACTGTCATTTGACCCTCCTATGTTAGAAGATTTCTAATAGGGTCCTGTTCATCATGGTGATCCCACCCCAGGACATCACTGAGCCTCCATCACACCTGCCAGGCTGATTGACATTGATGTCAGTGTTATGTTCACTTTCATATCTAAGAACATGACCCCTGAAGGTAGTCTGCGGTGAATCTGTATTCCTCTGATGATTACTCCCCTGTTGTCTGTTGTCTTAACCACTGGTGTCAGATAAAAAATTGCCCATCAGTGAAACATTGTACACTGTCCATGCAGAGGAGCTGCATAAATCAAGTTTTAAATGGTCTGTTTTGAGATCAGGAGCCATGTGTATGGCATCCTCATCAGTGTTGATCATCAGCTTTTTGTGTTTGTAGACATTTGTGGCACATTAAGTGTATTGCCTATGATATGATTCAAACCATCATGGCACAATGACAGAGAATCAGCCACATCACCCATAATGGCACAATGACAGAGAATCAGCCACATCACCCACCATGGCACAATGATAGAGAATCAGCCACATCACCCATCATGGCACAATGACAGAGAATCAGCCACATCACCCATTATGGCACAATGACAGAGAATCAGCCACATCACCCACCATGGCACAATGACAGAGAATCAGCCACATCACCCATCATGGCACAATGACAGAGAATCAGCCACATCACCCACCATGGCACAATGACAGAGAATCAGCCACATCACCCATCATGGCACAATGACAGAGAATCAGCCACATCACCCACCATGGCACAATGACAGAGAATCAGCCACATCACCCATCATGGCACAATGACAGAGAATCAGCCACATCACCCACCATGGCACAATGACAGAGAATCAGCCACATCACCCACCATGGCACAATGACAGAGAATCAGCCACATCACCCACCATGGCACAATGACAGAGAATCAGCCACATCACCCACCATGGCACAATGACAGAGAATCAGCCACATCACCCATCATGGCACAATGACAGAGAATCTGCCACATCACCCATCATGGCACAATGACAGAGAATCAGCCACATCACCCACCATGGCACAATGACAGAGAATCAGCCACATCACCCACCATGGCAAAATGACAGAGAATCTGCCACATCACCCATCATGGCACAATGACAGAGAATCAGCCACATCACCCATCATGGCACAATGACAGAGAATCAGCCACATCCCCCACCATGGCACAATGACAGAGAATCAGCCACATCACCCACCATGGCACAATGACAGAGAATCAGCCACATCACCCATCATGGCACAATGACAGGGAATCAGCCACATCACCCATCATGGCACAATGACAGAGAATCAGCCACATCACCCATTATGGCACAATGACAGAGAATCAGCCACATCACCCACCATGGCACAATGACAGAGAATCTGCCACATCACCCATCATGGCACAATGACAGAGAATCAGCCACATCACCCATCATGGCACAATGACAGAGAATCAGCCACATCACCCATCATGGCACAATGACAGAGAATCAGCCACATCACCCACCATGGCACAATGACAGAGAATCAGCCACATCACCCACCATGGCACAATGACAGAGAAGCAGCCACATCACCCACCATGGCACAATGACAGAGAATCAGCCACATCACCCATAATGGCACAATGACAGAGAATCAGCCACATCACCCACCATGGCACAATGACAGAGAATCTGCCACATCACCCATCATGGCACAATGACAGAGAATCAGCCACATCACCCACCATGGCACAATGACAGAGAATCAGCCACATCACCCACCATGGCAAAATGACAGAGAATCTGCCACATCACCCATCATGGCACAATGACAGAGAATCAGCCACATCACCCATCATGGCACAATGACAGAGAATCAGCCACATCCCCCACCATGGCACAATGACAGAGAATCAGCCACATCACCCACCATGGCACAATGACAGAGAATCAGCCACATCACCCATCATGGCACAATGATAGAGAATCAGCCACATCACCCATCATGGCACAATGACAGAGAATCAGCCACATCACCCATTATGGCACAATGACAGAGAATCAGCCACATCACCCACCATGGCACAATGACAGAGAATCAGCCACATCACCCATCATGGCACAATGACAGAGAATCAGCCACATCACCCATCATGGCACAATGACAGAGAATCAGCCACATCACCCATCATGGCACAATGACAGAGAATCAGCCACATCACCCATCATGGCACAATGACAGAGAATCAGCCACATCACCCACCATGGCACAATGACAGAGAATCAGCCACATCACCCACCATGGCACAATGACAGAGAATCAGCCACATCACCCACCATGGCACAATGACAGAGAATCAGCCACATCACCCATAATGGCACAATGACAGAGAATCAGCCACATCACCCACCATGGCACAATGACAGAGAATCTGCCACATCACCCATCATGGCACAATGACAGAGAATCAGCCACATCACCCACCATGGCACAATGACAGAGAATCAGCCACATCACCCACCATGGCAAAATGACAGAGAATCTGCCACATCACCCATCATGGCACAATGACAGAGAATCAGCCACATCACCCATCATGGCACAATGACAGAGAATCAGCCACATCCCCCACCATGGCACAATGACAGAGAATCAGCCACATCACCCACCATGGCACAATGACAGAGAATCAGCCACATCACCCATCATGGCACAATGACAGAGAATCAGCCACATCACCCATCATGGCACAATGACAGAGAATCAGCCACATCACCCATTATGGCACAATGACAGAGAATCAGCCACATCACCCACCATGGCACAATGACAGAGAATCAGCCACATCACCCATCATGGCACAATGACAGAGAATCAGCCACATCACCCATCATGGCACAATGACAGAGAATCAGCCACATCACCCATCATGGCACAATGACAGAGAATCAGCCACATCACCCACCATGGCACAATGACAGAGAATCAGCCACATCACCCACCATGGCACAATGACAGAGAATCAGCCACATCACCCACCATGGCACAATGACAGAGAATCAGCCACATCACCCATAATGGCACAATGACAGAGAATCAGCCACATCACCCACCATGGCACAATGACAGAGAATCTGCCACATCACCCATCATGGCACAATGACAGAGAATCAGCCACATCACCCACCATGGCACAATGACAGAGAATCAGCCACATCACCCACCATGGCAAAATGACAGAGAATCTGCCACATCACCCATCATGGCACAATGACAGAGAATCAGCCACATCACCCATCATGGCACAATGACAGAGAATCAGCCACATCCCCCACCATGGCACAATGACAGAGAATCAGCCACATCACCCACCATGGCACAATGACAGAGAATCAGCCACATCACCCATCATGGCACAATGACAGAGAATCAGCCACATCACCCATCATGGCACAATGACAGAGAATCAGCCACATCACCCATTATGGCACAATGACAGAGAATCAGCCACATCACCCACCATGGCACAATGACAGAGAATCAGCCACATCACCCATCATGGCACAATGACAGAGAATCAGCCACATCACCCATTATGGCACAATGACAGAGAATCAGCCACATCACCCACCATGGCACAATGACAGGGAATCAGCCACATCACCCATCATGGCACAATGACAGAGAATCAGCCACATCACCCACCATGGCACAATGACAGAGAATCAGCCACATCACCCACCATGGCACAATGACAGAGAATCTGCCACACACCCCACCATGGCACAATGACAGAGAATCAGCCACATCACCCATCATGGCACAATGACAGAGAATCAGCCACATCACCCATCATTGCACAATGACAGAGAATCAGCCACATCACCCATCATGGCACAATGACAGAGAATCAGCCACATCACCCACCATGGCACAATGACAGAGAATCTGCCACACCCCCCACCATGGCACAATGACAGAGAATCAGCCACATCACCCATCATGGCACAATGAAAGAGAATCAGCCACATCACCCATCATGGCACAATGACAGAGAATCAGCCACATCACCCACCATGGCACAATGACAGAGAATCAGCCACATCACCCATCATGGCACAATGACAGAGAATCAGCCACATCACCCATCATGGCACAATGACAGGGAATCAGCCACATCACCCATCATGGCACAATGACAGAGAATCAGCCACATCACCCATCATGGCACAATGACAGGGAATCAGCCACATCACCCATCATGGCACAATGACAGAGAATCAGCCACATCACCCATCATGGCACAATGACAGAGAATCAGCCACATCACCCATCATGGCACAATGACAGAGAATCAGCCACATCACCCATTATGGCACAATGACAGAGAATCAGCCACATCACCCATCATGGCACAATGACAGAGAATCAGCCACATCACCCATCATTGCACAATGACAGGGAATCAGCCACATCACCCACCATGGCACAATGACAGAGAATCTGCCACATCACCCATCATGGCACAATGACAGGGAATCAGCCACATCACCCATCATGGCACAATGACAGAGAATCAGCCACATCACCCACCATGGCACAATGACAGAGAATCAGCCACATCACCCATCATGGCACAATGACAGGGAATCAGCCACATCACCCATCATTGCACAATGACAGGGAATCAGCCACATCACCCACCATGGCACAATGATAGAGAATCAGCCACATCACCCATCATGGCACAATGACAGGGAATCAGCCACATCACCCATCATGGCACAATGACAGAGAATCAGCCACATCACCCACCATGGCACAATGACAGAGAATCAGCCACATCACCCACCATGGCACAATGACAGGGAATCAGCCACATCACCCATCATGGCACAATGACAGGGAATCAGCCACATCACCCATCATGGCACAATAACAGAGAATCAGCCACATCACCCATCATGGCACAATGACAGAGAATCAGCCACATCACCCATCATGGCACAATGACAGAGAATCAGCCACATCACCCATCATGGCACAATGACAGAGAATCAGCCACATCACCCATCATTGCACAATGACAGGGAATCAGCCACATCACCCACCATGGCACAATGACAGAGAATCTGCCACATCACCCATCATGGCACAATGACAGGGAATCAGCCACATCACCCATCATTGCACAATGACAGAGAATCAGCCACATCACCCACCATGGCACAATGACAGAGAATCAGCCACATCACCCATCATGGCACAATGACAGGGAATCAGCCACATCACCCATCACGGCACAAGGACAGAGAATCAGCCACATCACCCACCATGGCACAATGACAGAGAATCAGCTATATCACCAACCATGGCACAATGACAGAGAATCATCCAGGTTGCAGAATATGATCTAGTTGACCCTCACTCCCGTTACTGGGGACTGATATAAATAGTTCCCCCCAACCCCCAAACCCCCCACCAGAAATTTTTGTGTGAGTAAATTTTCACAGGATTCGTTTGTGCAACAGGCGGATTCATGTCAGATCGTTCACTATTATTTATAGACATACCCCATTCATGTTACTGGGGACTGATATCAATAGTTCCCCCAAACCCCCCACCCCCCTCTGCCCCCCAGCAGAAATTTGTGTGTGAGTGATTTTCACAGGATTCGTTTGTGCAACAGGCGGATTCATGTCAGATCGTTCACTATTATTTATAGACATACCCCATTCATGTAATGCTGGTGAGTGGGGGAGAGTGTACAGTGAAAGGGGACAGACATAATTGCCTTTAGAGCCTCCCATACAAAGTGGGGCGAAGTAATCCGGCTCTAACAAACTACCACACAAATACAAACATATATATTGGGAATAAATATATGGATCTTAGGAATTGTAGATATGGCAGGGTATGTCATATAAACAAAAGAGTTTGGAACACATTACCATCCAGTTCAGTCTGTGCAATGTTCATAAAACATTCAATAGCATACTTGATGTTTCCCCGAGCCCAGAACACATAGGGCAGTGCTTTGTCAAAGAAGACCTCAACCACAGCTGGGTATCTGAAACCAGAACACATAGGGAAGTGCATCATCAAAGAAGACCTCAACCACAGCTGGGTATCTGAAACCAGAACACATAAGGCAGTGCTTTGTCAAAGAAGACCTCAACCACAGGTGGGTATCTGAAACCAGAACACATAGGGAAGTGCTTTGTCAAAGAAGACCTCAACCACAGCTGGGTATCTGAAACCAGAACACACAAGGCAGTGCTTTGTCAAAGAAGACCTCAACCACAGCTGGGGGCGGTCGGGTAGCCTAGTGGTTAAAGCGTTCGCTCGTCACGCCAAAGACCCGGGTTCGATTCCCGACATGGGTACAATTTGTGAAGCCCATTTCTGGTGTCCCCCGCCGTGATATTGCTGGATATTGCTTGAAGCGGCGTAAAACCATACTCGCTCGCTCGCTCGCTCAACCACAGCTGGGTATCTGAAACCAGAACACATAGGGAAGTGCATCATCAAAGAAGACCTCAACCACAGCAGGGTATCTGAAACCAGAACACATAGGGAAGTGCATCATCAAAGAAGACCTCAACCACAGCTGGGTATCTGAAACCAGAACACATAGGGAAGTGCGTCATCAAAGGAGACCTGAAACCACAGCTGGGTATCTGAAACCAGAACACATAGGGAAGTGCGTCAACAAAGAAGACCTCAACCACAGCTGGGTATCTGAAACCAGAACACATAAGGCAGTGCTTTGTCAAAGAAGACCTCAACCACAGGTGGGTATCTGAAACCAGAACACATAGGGAAGTGCTTTGTCAAAGAAGACCTCAACCACAGCTGGGTATCTGAAACCAGAACACACAAGGCAGTGCTTTGTCAAAGAAGACCTCAACCACAGCTGGGGGGGCGGTCGGGTAGCCTAGTGGTTAAAGCGTTCGCTCGTCACGCCGAAGACCCGGGTTTGATTCCCGACATGGGTACAATTTGTGAAGCCCATTTCTGGTGTCCCCCGCCGTGATATTGCTGGAATATTGCTAAAAGCGGCGTAAAACCATACTCGCTCGCTCGCTCGCTCAACCACAGCTGGGTATCTGAAACCAGAACACATAGGGAAGTGCATCATCAAAGAAGACCTCAACCACAGCAGGGTATCTGAAACCAGAACACATAGGGAAGTGCATCATCAAAGAAGACCTCAACCACAGCTGGGTATCTGAAACCAGAACACATAGGAAAGTGCGTCATCAAAGAAGACCTGAAACCACAGCTGGGTATCTGAAACCAGAACACATAGGGCAGTGCTTTGTCAAAGAAGACCTCAACCACAGCTGGGTATCTGAAACCAGAACACATGGGGCAGTGCGTCATCAAAGAAGACCCCAACCACAGCTGGGTATCTGAAACCAGAACACATAGGACAGTGCGTCATCAAAGAAGACTCCAACCACAGCTGGGTATCTGAAACCAGACAAGACAAACTCACACCTCAGTAAAGTAGGACAACCTATGGGAAAATCTGTACATAATAGTGAGTGAGTGAGACTTGGATGCTTTGAACAGTATTCCAGTTATACCACAACATGCACATATTTGTAATAGGCTACCTAATTCAAACCGATCCAACTTACACCCACCTTTTCTTGAGGTTTTCCCTCACAGAGCAGACCATGACATCGGTGGCTTTCCTGATGATCTCAGACTCTGAGGTGCAGTAACGGGAAGCATGGTGGAACAGTCCGACAGAAATATGCAGAGGTAGCATCATTTCTATTATACTAGCCACCACTGTTGACAACAATGTTAACAATTGTTATTATTTATATCACACTACTAGTACAGTCAAAAACAATGTTAACAACTGCCATCATTGGTATCACACTTACCAGCAGTCAACAATATCAACAACTATCATCATTTCTTACACACTCACCACCACTGTCAACAACACTGTTAACAATTGCCATCATGTCTAACACACTCGCCACCACTGTCAACAACACTGTTAACAACTGCCATCATGTCTAACACACTCACCACCACTGTCAACAACACTGTTAACAACTGCCATCATTTCTTACACACTCTCCACCACTGTCAACAACACTGTTAACAACTGCCATCATGTCTAACACACTCGCCACCACTTTCAACAACACTGTTAACAACTGCCATCATGTTTAACACACTCACCATCACTGTCAACAACACTGTTAACAACTGCCATCATGTCTATCACACTCACCACCACTGTCAACAACACTGTTAACAACTGCCATCATGTCTAACACACTCACCATCACTGTCAACAACACTGTTAACAACTGCCATCATGTCTATCACACTCACCACCACTGTCAACAACACTGTTAACAACTGTCATCATGTCTAACACACTCACCATCACTGTCAACAACACTGTTAACAACTGCCATCATGTCTATCACACTCACCACCACTGTCAACAACACTGTTAACAACTGCCATCATGTCTAACACCCTCACCATCACTGTCAACAACACTGTTAACAACTGCCATCATGTTTAACACACTCGCCACCACTGTCAACAACACTGTTAACAACTGCCATCATGTCTATCACACTGACCACCACTATCAACAACACTGTTAACAACTGCCATCATGTCTATCACACTCACCACCACTGTCAACAACACTGTTAACAACTGTCATCCTTTCTAACACACTCGCCACCACTGTCAACAACACTGTTAACAACTGCCATCATGTCTATCACACTCACCACCACTGTCAACAACACTGTTAACAACTGCCATCATGTCTAACACACTCACCACCACTGTCAACAACACTGTTTACAACTGCCATCATGTCTAACACGCTCATCAGCACTGTGGCACACTGTTTTACAATCCCATAGAGGAATAAATAAAACAAGTGGACTTAATCATTGATATTCCGTTTCAAATTAAATGTTTTAATAAAATTACAAATTAAATCCTATTTCTGTATACCACTGTTCTAGACAAGACTGCACCTTATGATTGTTACTATACATTCCAATCTAGTGAATCAGTATAGTTCTTTTGAACAGACAGAAATTCTAAATAATATTTCCATAACAAAATCAATTAAACAATTCCAAAGATGATGCATGATGGAAAGTTCATTAATCAACTCACTATTCCAGCTATATGATGGGGGCCTGTAAATATTCAGTCTGGACCAGACAACCTAGTGACAGATATTATGAGCAACGTGTCCTTTCAAAATGAAGGTATGGTGGGAAAGTATATCATAATACATAGAATGTTACTCCCCAGGGAGCTGGAAATGAAATTTGAGTGAACACTGATCCAAACACCTGGACAATAATAATGAAATGAAAATCTGCTACATTATAAATGGACTGATCATTCTCAATGTCACACATAATCAAGGATGCAATTCACCTGGCCTCACCTGATAACTGACAAATAGGTTGACACCATACGGTATTACCCCAGTTCCCAGCACCGCACTTCACATAATTGACATAGCAATATGGAAGGATTGAAGAGAATTCCCCAGCAATGTAATCCCTATATACTGATTCAAACACATCGTCATTCCAAATGTTTCTTGCTCTTAATATCAAGTCTCTGTGTGTTTTGGGAGTTGTTTCCTTTACACTGTATTTCTCTAATGACGTCAAGACAATTGAATGCTTTTCCATAAAGTTGAGGACATGATACAGCCATGACAATTGAATTCTTGTAAATGCCTGGTCTCTCCTCCTCGCATACAAAACATGTCTTATCAGAGGAGGCATGCTGCTTATTGATTGTTGTTTCTGATTGGAGCGCTTTGATAAAAATGAGCGAATACACAACTCAAACAATGTCGGCACATTTCGAATGTCAGGTCTTGACTTTTCATCGGAATAACCAACAAGATCTGGAAGTTCAAAGTCAATGTTATTAACATTTCTAAATGGGGCATCATAGTCAGAATAATGGATAAACATATTTTTTAAGCTATTATTCTGTCTTCTTTTGTGTTTCCTACTTGGAGCTTGATTTCTTCCCATCTGAGTTTGGTTTGAATTGGCGTCAACACTGTCAAACACACTGTCTGTATTGTCAGAAGAAACTGAGGCTGCTTCACCTATAGCCTCGTAATCTGTAGACTGATTCAAGAGGTCAGTATCACTGTCAGATAAACTTGTTCTTGCTCTTGATGTATGGCTAGAGCTATCTCCCTTTGTTTCGTTTTCTGATAATGCATCTCGATCAATGACAGAGGTTGAGGCCTGGTCACAAATCTCTCCAAGTGCTCCATGGGTTGTGAATACTTCTGGTTTTTGCTTCCTCTGGGCTACCTCTTCATCCATGCTTTGCTGAAACAGGGAAACATAAGATAATTTAAGAGCTAGACATTCCCCCCATATTGAATGATGACACTAAAATATTTTGGGATCAGCAGGGGAGAGTCTGACCAAGACATGGGAGAGGTGGGGGGTTGTGAAAGAAATTCAAAATTATTAATTTGGGGGAGGATCATGTAGTGTTTTACACTCCCAGGAGCCCAAGGTCATTTACTCATGACATAACATGACACTTCATTTCTAATAATATGGGGCACCCTAAAAGCCAGTATACAGTAGAACGCGGATATAAGGAACACGAATACAGCAAACAAACGGATACAACGAACTGTTATAAAATCTCTGATTTATCTCCTATATATTATCATATTAAATTTACGAATAGAACAAACTCTCTACAGCGAACTAACAGATATAGCGAACTGATATCTGATCACCGACAAGCCCATCTACCACTAATTAGTGACATGTATAGCGAACAGCGAAATCTCACTCAGCTGTACGCAATCAGACGCGAATCAACACAATCATGGCAAATCAACAATCACTGGTGACAGTTAAACCTTGTTAAATTTGCATTATGTGAATCTAAAATGAAACTAACAGTTTTACTCCACTAGTCCTTATAATGATAACGTGTAGCAAAACCTGTAATGGCAAATTTCTACTAGTCCTTATGATACCTTAACTATTGGGCAGTTTGGCAAGGCCTATTGGACAAGTGCCAATTTCTAACACTGCATGTAATTGGACTAATCTAGTCTGTAAAACAAACAAATTTCATTCAATAATGTTTACATTAATTTTGGTGATATTGGAATATATTATTCTGATAAAATAATAATTTCAGATACAATTTCTTCCGACCACTGACTTAAAATTTTTTTTTTGAAGTTGTATCATTTGGTACTTTTTAACTGAATCACCGGTAAATGCGAGAGGAAACGTGTATAAAAGTGTATGTGTCTTGTTTTGTTTTAGCCAAGATGGCAGACGTTTCCGAGCGAAAACGTATATATAACAAACAACGTATACAACGAACTGATTTCTCCAGTCTCATTGTAGTTCATTATATCCATGTCCTACTATATGCATCAAAGGAGGTTCCTCATTTTCAAAGGTACTGGCTTTCTAAACCAATAAGTACTCAAATCATATTTTAATGTAAGGCTGCACAATTTCTTATACTTGGTTTATAAATATATTGATTTAGGGGGGTGAAGCTTGATCATCCCAAAAAGTTGAGAAATGCTGCAATGAAATAATGAGTGCATGCTTTTAATTCTTGTATGACAGAAACAAACAAAAATACATAAACAAAACTGAACTCCCAGGGAGGCTAGATTTCTTTCTCCACCTAATGAACTCAACCTACCAACCAATCCTGGCCTGTGGGTTATTCAAATCAGGTGAAGAAAATGCTCTTGTTTCATGAAAACAGAACTGCCTCACTATATTTAATCATACCCTCGATATAATAGAAATGATTTTTGAATGTTCTACAAATCGATGAACGGCTTTTGTCAATTCAATTTTAGTCTAGTACTCTATATATGTAATATGAAGTGTCAAGAAACGAGCATTGGGGAGGGTGGTCTTTTATGTTACCGCGGCCCTAATCAATGCATGAAAACTACAATCAGCCTTCTCCTTTGTGGTAAATGAATGGATTGTAAGGTTATAAATCCTAATAAAAGACAACAACAACAAACTGTAAAATCTAAGTTTCTGTACCGTAATTGTCAGGAAATTTGAGATCGAGTTACCAATAGTCACGGGAACTTTAGATTGGGTTCCCGATGCATTATCCCAGGAACTCTCTGCCGTTTATTGGTGGATTACAGATTCACCCGTAATGATAATTGATATATCCGATATATCTAATACTCCTAAGAATTCGTGTTTTCTAGCAGACGATATTTCTGTTGCAGCGTTTACCTGTGGTAGGATTGGTGGGAGAGGGGAATATGTCCTTGCTGCTGCCACTGATGTACACCTGTGTCAAGTGTTGCAACTTATTAGCAAACAGTTGATTTTGACTTATATGCTTTATTTCTGCAGGGTGGGTAATCCACCCACTCTTTGAACATGTGATTTTCGATGGTGCAACAACAAATGGGAAGCAACTCCCATCTTATTGCTTTTGCATACCGCTAAAACATTTCAAGAGGAATGAGTTTATTCAGGTGGGGTCCAGTAAATAGGCAGATCTACCAATACATGTATTTATTCTGATTTTACGAAGCGAAATACAATGAATTTAGTATAATCAGTGAGAAATACATACATTCCATTCTGAAAATGTAAGCCTTCATGCGTCAATGCGCTCTCGCCTTGCGGATGCGCGGGGATCTATATTTCGTATGATATAAGTTGTGGCAATGTTGTTGTCTCCTCACACAGATTTCATGGAAATAGGATCAGTGGGATCAATAATCTACATCTACATCAGTTCTGTTTACATCATGATGTCAGTGACATGTACAATGTTCAATCGTCTTCTTTTTCTTCTTCTTCTTCTTCTTCTTTCCCAGAACCACATATTAATGATGCCCCTGATTTCACCGCTAAGCTTCAGGCGTCCTTTGTTCAGAAGTGCCCGGCGCAGGGTATAACATAATGTTCCTTGTCGTTTCGGAAGCGTCATACAAACCCTAAAATATATATATATCAAATACAGCCCAATACAAGTCTAAAGTATACTGCAGTATAAGTATCTGAAAATGAAGATTCTCTGGGCTCCTTTTTATTATATTTCACAACTGTAATTCTATAATTTAACAACTGTTTCAGAGAATATAGATGTTAGTCTAGAAGCGTACCTCAAGGTTTAGATGTGATATACGTATCGTTATTACATCTGCCAGGTCCTTGTGTGGTGACAAAACCATACACGACGAAGTCCATGTTTGACGGAAGAGTCTAGTTCATGATCACATACGTTTTACCCCACGGATGTAGATCTATGTGACTTTGTACCCACACTCCTGAGCGATTTTGTAGCCCAAAAATAATAAAACAATATATTTCAGTTTCTCATTATATTTATTGTTACTTGTACATTGCAAACAATAGTAAATGAGCAGAACATATTACAATAGAACAAGTTCATAATATGACTATATGGACCATTACGAGTAACGTTTGGATATATTTTAGAATCTAATGCAAACTATAATTGGGTACAAACACACAGACTGGTCTAGGTACAAAATCACTACATTCATTGCCAACTGCTCATTTTTTTACGACATATGTAAATTTATCAGAAATGGATTAGGTATTTTCTTTTATATTTAACACCAGTGAAATCATCCAATAAAAACAATTCAAGATATCAAAAAATAATTAATGATATGATGGCATGTGCTATCTGTATCTAATTGCAAGATATCAGGAATTGGACTCGCATCATTAGAAAATGTGAAATATATTATATTATATCATACATCGAATTTATGATAGCAGCATTTCTTTTCAAGATAAAATTATGTTTTATCATATCCTTAATTCATTTCGCGATATCGTACTTTTTATTGCAGTTGTCTAAAATTATCTGTGATGTCTTCAATTCAATTTTGATATCACTAATTTATTTCAAGATATCTTTAAAACAATAGTAGATATCAGTAATTTCGTAATAAATGTGTAAACAGCTTGCTATATAAGTGTGACTGTTGCATCACGATACTGGGATACTAAAAAACTATAGTGCCGGTGTCCCGGTATAAACTCTCCCCCGTACAAATTCTCCCCCGGAGATTTTATACCGGTACAGATTCTCCCCCGAGAATCTGTTCTGAAATAAAATCTCCCCCGGGCGGATATATTTCGCGCCCCCCCTCAGTATAAAGTCTCCCCTCTGATTATTCGGTTTGTTGCAATGTCTTTAAGTACTATAATCTTTAAATAGTTATCTTTAATGTAAGGAGGGTTACTTTAAAATATAGACTATGAAATATGGTCATAATGAATTGATATTTCAGCATATTTTATTTGGTAACTGTACCTTCCATCCTAAAATAATTATAAGACATAATCATACCAAACAAATTTGAATGAAATGACTTAATGTGACAAATACATGTACGGTTACTGTCGTAACTGAAATTCAGAAATCTTATTAATCCTCGCAAACATTCGGTTTTAACACTAACTACGTAAAAACTGTCAACATATCCACGCGCGCCTCCAGCTCACGCTGTCCGTTATACTCTGATTTAAGATCTAAAATATATTCCTTAATACAGGCTACGATTTGAAAATGGTATTAGTGTAGGTGAGGTGAGGTGAAATTGGGTTTAACGTCGCGTCCAAGGTTATTGCACTTATATAGCGACGTGCATGCACGTGTATGTGTGTGTGTGGCTGCTTGTACTAGTCCGGACTGATGCCGATTTATAGTGCTAGCTCACTGAGATACCATGCCACAGTTTACTGTATACTGACTCCGAGCCGACCAGTCCTTGCTTTAAACATACAACATCATAACTATCTAATTCAGCACTGATTAAATCTACTTTGTCTTTAAGACAGCGTACGTTTAGATGTATAAACTTTAAATCTGGACTATGCAAAGGTCCTGGATTTGGATGGATATCACCGCAGCAAAAGAGAAAAAGTAAAACTAAGAATGATAATCGGAAATTATATAAGCAAAGTAACCCAAAATATAGAGAAATGTGTATCATCTTCCCGAAATGATTAGCATGTAGAAAAGATTAAAAAACGCCCACCGCCAGCCTGTATTGAACAACATCAACCGGCATCGTCAAAGCAAAGTGCACATGTAATTGTTACAATCGGGCTGGCGGTGAATCTTAATGAAAAACACCTTGTTAAAAAGACACAACGAAACTGATTTGCATAACTGATGACCACAACATATTGCAAAATATCAAAACAGTAAAGATGATACAGTTTAACCTCATACTCAATCGCCAGCTGTCAATATACAAAACAGAATAATACATCAACATGACAGTTTTCATGTAAAGATTAAGTATTTCTAAGCAAATTAAAGATACATATATCTAGATATTGTGCATATCTTTAAGTTGCTTAGAAATACTTAATCTTTACATGGAAACTGCCATCTTGATGTATTATAATGTATTGTATATTGACAGATTGTGATTAACTGTTACCAGGTGGCTCCAGCTGGGGTAGCAGACGACACACTTTCCAACAATGGGGAAAAGGGTAAAAATATGAGTAGGCTGGTTATCATCGAGTAGAAGACTCACCAGTCTAAGATGTATTGACAAAACACACACTTTATTCTCAACCTTATCTGATGTTAATTCAACAATTTATCATATACTTAGCAGTGGGATATTCTGTTAATAATCTCTCATAATTCTATTGAATGGTTCTGTACATCCTATCAATGTTTATTTGTACAAAGCTGTTTTATGTATGTACAGAAGTGAGACATTAATAAGTTATTGTCTGTCTGTCTGTCTACAATGTATACCGTACAATTTAACCGATTACACAAGCATGGCAAGTATTTATAAAACGACCGAAATGGGGGGAGGGGGGGGGATATTCTGGGGGGAGATTTTATTTCGTAGGTAGGGAGAGAGTTTATTTCGAGAGGGGCGGAACTGTACCGGTATAAATGCGCCGGGGGGAGATTTTATTCTGGGGGCGAATATATTTCGTGACACCGGTATGGCTGTTGGGAAATTGTTTGAATTTGCCTGAACACATAACAAATCGATATTATCAATAAGTGTAAATGTATTTATTTCGATCTGGTTGGATGCGTGTTTCGTTTCCTAATTTCCCAAATGCCTTTTCAAATTTCCGTATTTATGTAAGGGGAACTACTCGGAAAAAAATTATTTACATCTAATTTATCGATAATATGTGGGTTGGTGTTACATGTTATTCAATATAATGATATGTGGTTGACAAGGAGAGGAGAGCTACTTTTATTAACTGGGTCTAACTGGTGTACTATATCAATACCTCACAAGTTGATGTGGAGCATCACGCTCACCGGAAGCACTGTAACGTTGCCATAGACAACGGCATCATTGTTAATGTTGGCGCCATTACAAGAGGAAGTTGTCTAGCGCCACTTTCAAAATGGAATCAACTCCTCGGAGGAAACTGCTTCTTTTTGATGAGAAAAACGACATCACGTAAGAATTAACAAGCTGCTCGTTTTTTTTATTAATCTAGCAGGCTGTTGTACGTGTCTCAAGTTACTTTCTCAACCCAAAGGAGTTCGGAGCTGCCGCCGTACACGAATAATCTTTTTTTATTGACCCATGTAGGCCCATTTACTGTGTGTAATGCTACGAATTGCTGGACAGTTAGAGACATCTAATTATTGATATCTAATTCGTAATACGTAATACGTAATTCCATATTACAAGTGAATTGATATTATCACATTGGCAAATAGATAATAAAACGACAATTATCAATATCCAGATTAAATCCTATATTCACTGCTGTTTCAGTTACTTTGAGATGAAAGCATGGAAGGCAGTTGTGCACACAGTCCTGGCGGCCAGTCAGTTGTATGCCGACAAAATCGACCAGGGAAGAGAAATACTCAAATTCTTCTGTGAACTACGTAAGTTACCATTAATCCAAAGCTAAACACATTATATAACATGTGACGTTTGACAACACTGACTCAGGGCCTCGATCAACATGCATTTATTGATGAACACATGATTATGATTACTTATGATTACAATGGTGAATTTGCAGATTGTACAAATGCATATGTAGGCCACTGGTATTAAAGGATGTTTCATACCCCTGAGACGAACGATATATGTGATTGCACTCTCATTCAGATACTCCACCCATTGTGAGGAAATGATATAGTGGAATAGTCCCTCTGACCACGACAGGATGTGATGAAGATCACTGTCAGATTTTTTGTTTCTTTTCCAGGCATTCAACGCGGGAAAAAGAGATATAACTCTCAGTCAAGAGCAGAAAGATTTAACCAATGCCTGACAAAGATCAGTGAATTCCACAAAGCAGTCCTTGGGGATATGGTTAAACATACAGGCCCAGATGGACCATTTGGAGACCTGCTAATGTAAGGATGTATTCATGTATGTGTGTTAGCAATGGTCATAAATTTGGCATAGATATATGCAGTGGTATATCCAAAGACGTATATATATATATATTTATATCTATACGTCTTTGGTATATCAAAATGAAACTATACATGTTCATTACAAGACACATCATACTGTGTTACATCCTAAAGAAATGACAAAGTCTTCCACTATGTGTCACCTGGCTTTGTGAGCATGACATTGAAGCCCAGCAGTGTGGATATATTTTCACCGATCAGTCTGTCTGTTAGCTGCCACACTGTTACACTGAAAATGTTACCTGAAAATGGTACCATGAATTCACTCTCACATCATGTTCTCACACATTCGTTCTTCATAAAGACAGGTGGTGGGCAAGCCTAATGGTTAAAGCCTTTGCTCGCACGCCTAAAGTCCGGGTTCAATTCCCCACATGGGTACAATGTGTGAAGCCCATTTTTAGTGTCCCCTGTCGTGATATTGCTGGAATATTGCAAAAAGCAATACACTCTTCAATTCAGTGATTACCTTAAATTACACAGGTCAGACAATCATGTGTTCGAGCAACTCCCGAAAAGAGCAGCTGCCATGAGGAAAACACATCGTAAGCTCGAGAAGAATGCAGCAAAAGCATGGAAGGTGGGTTGTAGGTTTCTAGTCATGACTAAATGCCAGACTACAACCACACTACCTAACTGCTCAACAAGCCTGAATCCTCTGAACAGCTAGGCGCCAGCCATTTTATCTGTAGTGAAGTTTGATGAATTGAATTTGGATTTGTGTAACTTTCTGAACTTTGACAACTTGAGTGACAATATATTAATATATTTTAGCGTTTCATAACTATAGGACAATAGTGTTACATAATGTTACACATAAATTTGTTGTTCAGAGAACAGAATGCACTAGTACTATTATTATTCTACCAGCACTATGGACGGAGAGTGAGAAAGAAGGAGGACCTATATACAAAACTGTCTGGCACCATGACTGCTGTGGATATAGAGCTGGACAGAAAATACACCAGTTTCAAGTCCAAAACTGATGCTGCCTTGACAAGATATAATGTCTTTTTCACAAACGAAGTCAATCAACGAGAGGTCTTAGCTCAGGTGAGTTTCTCTTGCTGTAGGTTACTGGTACATAGACATCTTGAAACAAACACCATACGTCTCTCAGATACTGAGATGTAATAAATCTTTATGTAATACTAGTTTATTTTAATTATATACAGTTTCATGATAATTCAAGTAAACATATTTGGGGTTAATGTTGACAAACAAGATAGTAGCAGTTTATCAATATTACCTTAAACTTCACACAGTTAAGGGTCTTCTTTTTCCAGAAAACTGAGAGTCTCAAAGAAGACTTTCTGGAACAAGAGAAAGAGAAGCTTGACGTAATGTTTGCATCCATCAGTAACCTTGTAGAGAGGATGGAGAAACTCACCCCTCCATCACTGGGGTAAGTTGTTTAGGATTTTCAGGTTACAGTTGGTACAACAGACCGAAAGTCCAGTGTGCTGTTTGTTCTAATGCCATTATGTTATTGCTATGATGATGTGCTATGAAGAAATAACTTTGTACAGCTTTCACCATGCTGACTACTTTTTGTTACAGCTGTCTAGATTATGAACCAGAGGAGGTTGACACTACATCAATGGCTAGAGAAATATGGGAATCCTCCCTGAAGAAACACACATTCCCAAAACATCGGGTAAGTGATTTGTCGTTTATTATTGTACATACATTGACAAAACTACTTACAGACGGAGTATATATGTATATGGGACATGGGAGTTATGTTTGCAGTATTCTGTATCTTATGTCTCCATTACCCAAACAGGCTTTAGATGACACGACAAGTACAGAGGATGTGGATGTCATCAATGAAGAAGCTGATTCAGATGATGAGGACAAGGAATCAGTTGATGATGATGACTCGGATGAAGAATCGGAAAACACATATCTCCAGCCTAGAAAGAAGGAAATCCCCGTGGGCAGCCTTGCTGCTCCAAAGAATGACCATCATCTTGCTGAAGTCCTGGAGGAAATTTTGATGTCTGACAATGATGAGCCTGTCCAAGAGAGACCACACACTCCAGACAGAGTGTCCACACCTGCAGCTGCTGATGTTATTCTGCCCGAATCTCCCCGATCGAATAGAGAAGTCTACAGCCTCATCAGACAGAGATCAGCTTATACTTTCCAAAGTGCAACGCATGAACCACGTAGACACAAATCAGCTGCCAACAGGAAGGAAACTAGAGATCTCAAGATGGGATCAGATTATCAACCCTCATCATCTAGAGAGGAAAAGCACTTAAAGAATTCACCTTCCAAAAATAAGGAATTATCGACAGAGCATGCACAACTTCAGGAAACAGTACACACCAAGTCTCAGCCTGATCGACCTGGCCTTGCATCTTGTGCGCGAAGACGTCGCAGGGCAGCTAAGGTGGTTCAGAGTCACTCCCCAGGATGTGACAGCTCCTCTTCTACAGCACAAGGACACAGACATGATCAGAAGTCTCCCAGTGTAAAGGTATCACCAGTACACAGATTGGACAGCTCCAAGGAGGGGTGGACATCTAACTCTTCTGGAACAGGTAGGACTCAAGGATTTAGCTTAGTGTTTTAAACATTTTTACGAAGGAATTATCAACATACAAACGAACCTTGTTATTTTGAATGAACCGATATCTTGAACCTATTGTCCAGTCCTAACTGCTTCATTATATTAATACATTTGCCAGATTATCTCCATTTTTTAAATATAAATATACATAGCGCTATCATGAACCTTGGACTTGGTCAAAACTTTGACTTTACTTAAGAATTTTGTACGTTTATTTTGAAGTTGGCATTCGAACATAATTGATTTAACTTCAATTTATACCAGATACGTCCTTCACGGAAGTGTCATTTCCAAAATTGTTGTAAACTGTTTTTCTCTCCACAGAACCCCCAGCCAGTGTCAAGGAGGGAGGGATATCTATCTCTTCCGGCACATGTAGGATTCTATGAATTAGTGTTTTAAACATTTGTTCCAACCTTAGTTACTTCAATGATAACAAATTCATTTATTCAATGAAGGGCTCCTTACAAACGATTACTTTGTTTTTGATTTCCCACAGGACTCTGTGTGTCAACCATGAGCAGAGTGTCAGTCTTTGCTGTCCAGAACTGGAAGAAGACAAGTCCCAACCAGGTCAGCCTTCGTGTTGGTGAGTTAAAATAATTGCTTTTAAGACATCATCATGTCATTTTCACCAAGTCAGAATTTCTAGGATAAAACCTGCCGGGACCTTCAATCACCATCTTGCCTGATTCGGATCCAGCTTCCATCACTGTGGTACAGCTGTGTGTATGCTCTGCTTCACCATTCGCCAACTCACTCACTCACCCACTCACTCTCTCCCTCCTCACCTTCATCTCCATCACTTTTCAGGCATGAAGATCAAGCAGATCAGAGCAGCTGGTGCTGATGGCATGGCCTATGGCTACAAGAAGAACAAACTCGGGATGAGGATACACGGCTCTTACCCTGCTGGCCTGGTCTCCCTGTGTGTGCCCACAAGAGAGTCTCACCCTAACGAGTAAATCACGCCCTGATTATGAGTATGGAACATGGACCTTTGTTGATAGGATTGATACTTTTTGTATAACATATATAGAGAAATAAATGCACTGTGGTAATAGCATATTTGTCCTTGGAGATGCTACCAGTGTGGGCTTAAAATAATTTCTCTTTTTGTGTTGCATGGAACTATGATGAGAGTATATTAATTATTTTGTTACATTACACACCACATACATAATATTAGTATGCATTTCTTGCATTATAAAATGTCTATGCTATGCAAATAAGATAAAACATATAAAAAAATAATTGTTCTCATTGATAGATATATAATTAAATGAATAAAACATCTCTTCACATGATTTGTGATATATACCTTTGTAATATATGTTTTTGATCATATCTTTATTTGTTACTTGTATACATTCATATAAACTTGTATTTAAAGAAAGAGTTATGTGAATCTTTGATTTATCGTTCGTTTTGTATATATGTATTCATCTTTACATGCATATTTACAATTGTTAACAATTTGAAATAACTATTTCAGAAATGTGCAATAAAAACATGATATATGATGTTTACCTATGTGCCAATGTACACCATGAAAATGATATATAAACACTTCTGCAATATTTTACGTTTGTTGAAATGAGGCCACTGGATTGGGCGTGTATCCTTGATACAGTCTGCACCTCCAACACACAGAATGATGTTTGGTGCATCATTATGCCCCACCACTGAATTCTTCACATGGCCATGTTGTCACCTGTTTACTCTATATACTGTAGACTATTGTAACTTTGTGTCTTAAATAAAGTTTTGAATGGACTACATTTTCTTGTGTTGTATTAAAATCCCGTCAGATTGTCCTCCACAGTGACCATGTCCAGCTTGCAGTCATTGGACAGGTCAGCCCAATCATGAATGATCTTCCGCCAAGGGGACTAATGTTCCTGCGTGCGTTTGCGTGTTCCATGCTGCCAGACCAGAATAATTCCGTCTGTGACCGGCAACAACAGTCTGCTCTCATCCGACCAGTGGGTTTTCCTCAATGTCCTCAGGTTCAAGCCACGTTTCGCCAATAACCATGTCAAACGGTCACTGCGGCGATCTGACATCACATGACGCTTGGTCACCCTCTTTCACTTCAAACCCTGCTGATGCTGAGTCGATTTCTCAACTGTCTTGGTTGCATCCAGTTCTCCCTCAGACAGGTGCTTGTGGCAAAGAGTTATCGCCTTATCAAGCGGAGCAGCTCGCGATCTTCGTGTGTTGAAGTCACGGGAGGCCACCCCAGGACTTGGACGGTCCTTAACCTCATTAGTTTGCCGAGGTTTCTGTTTCAATCTGTGTATAACCGAATGGCGATAACCGAACTGACGATTACCTTTCGCCGTCAGATAATCTCCTATGTACCATGTTGAAGACGAATTGAAGGGCAAGTATGGTGCTTGGGTTTAGCGTCCACTGGACTTTTGGAATTTACAAGTACCGAGTGGCTTGTTTTAGGTGCAACATACAAGTGCTTTTCGTATACCACCAACCAACCAACATTAACATCAACTGCCGAGACAATTATCTCTAGTTAACCATCTACTCAAGTCAAAATGTGAATTTCGTTGTTGAAACTGAGTGGAAACAATTGATAATTTTTACTCGTGTTCATACATATATACCACTTAAAATGATTAGTACAAGGATGTAATGAATGCTTACATTTTGTTTTCAATTTCATTCTGAGGCCACGAATAGTAAAACGGTATAGTACGCTATAGATAATGGTTTTACAATGGAAGATAGCGGCTTCCGTGGTATAATCTTGCATCCCTCAAATCCACACAAGTATTAAGCACAATAGCATTTAGTCCGCTCATACATATTGTTATCAAAAGATGTACTCTACTGTTCAAAGTCTACGCGCATTCTACCGTCAAAACATAATGGAACTGATAAAATGATAGTGAAGGTGCAATGACGATAAATGTCTGTAAAATTAATGTCGGGCGTCAGATCAATATCTGGTGTGTCCACCATGTTGGGCGATACAGTCGAGAAATTACACTTTTTGATTTGCCAAACATTCGGGGAACTTGGGATATTGACGCTCTGTAGGCGCACACTTTGGCTTCTGTGTGCACGTGCATCATTGTAAATGTACACCTCAACGATAGCTACATTCAAATCATCAGTGCCCTTATTTATTGTCGGTAGTATATGTGCAGGAAACTCCCCAGCTGCTGATTGAACTCTAACCTTTCAAGTCTCCTGCTTCCTACCCGTGTTCGACGAATTATTGTGTTTACGGTCTGGTGTAGACAAAGCAAGAAGTGTGTCAGGACTAACCACGGTTAGACCTGCCCAATGGGAACCTACAGGCTATAATTTAACTCAGGCGTTGCTTGTATTGACTCAGAATTTATGACGTACTAGAGTTTAACTGTTGTTGTAAAACACTGATCGAGGACAACCCCAGACGCTTTAAGGGTGCACTTCCCTCTTCAATATTAACCCTTTAGACAATGAAACATTGATAACTCAAATTCCTTCCACCATACAAATCCAGCGAAAACTCGTTAACTTGAGTATGTGTGTTGTTTTAACGCCGTTTGCAACACCGTTTCGGTTATATGAGGGCGTAAAATATTTCGCGTATGTGGAACTATGTACAAATGGTACATTAATACACGTCTTACTGCGATGTAGATTTAACGTAGTGTTAATATAAATCGCCAGGTTAAGAAGAAGTTATAAAAACCGATGGCATGAATGTATTTTGGTTAACACCACAAGAGTTAACATGTTACAATCTCCCAAACAGATCACCATTCAGACAAAAGCTCCAGCTGTACGCAGACGCGACTGTCTCAAGCAGTGAGAAGCTTTGTTAAACCAGTGGTATTCTACACAGTGGTATTCTGCCATATAATGGCAGCACCAGAGAAGAAATGGCCAGACCTTGTAGGAAAGGTAAGACTTTATTATCTTTTTGTTTTATTTAACGCCGCACTCAATATTACACCTGTTAACACAGGGGCCTGTAAATATTTCGAGTAATTTCCACGCCATCGGGGTACGATGACACGCTATCAAACAAGTCACTGAATCTTACCAGTGGTCGCCTCTTACGACCTTAGAGCGAGCTAAGCATTGTAGCATTGGGACGTGATGATCATAACTGGTACCTAGTTACTGGTGTCCGGTGTCCCTGTGGTCAATGATGCAGTGAATGGCTTTCCGAGTTATGTTCATTTGACACGGATCCCTTGAACGTGTCTTCGAATTCTAGATTCGCCCGGAGACACGATGGGCTTTTTTTCTACAACTATAAACAGACACGCCTTTGTATATTCAACTAAAATTCTCTTCACAGGCCTTACTTGGCCAAAACTCACGACAAACATGATGTACCCGTGAAGATCCGGGTAGAGGATAGGTCTGCAGCAACCCATGCTTGTCGTGAGAGGCCACTAACGGGTTCTCAGGTTTCGCCGACTTGGTTGATGCATCTCATCGTATCTCAAATGCGTAGATCGGTGCTCATGATGTCAGTCACTGGATTGTCTGGTCAAGACTCCATTATTTACATACCGCCGTCATATAGCTGGAATATGCTGAGTGCGGCGTTAAACAACAAACTCACATGCTGTACTGAAGGCTCAGTTCGTCCAAATATTCCGTTCTGATATACTGTTTTGATATCTGAAAAATAACATTAATCCAATGGATATGCTCATGGAACATTGAGAATTCGCTGCCTACAACTAGATCTAACATGTCTATAATATATTATTGTTTCAAATTTTCGTTCCTTGTTCAGACAGGTGAGGAGGCCAAGGCGGTCATTGAAAGTGAAGACGCTAGTCTTGAGGCAAGTACATCTTGCGTTCGATTTCAAACCCTGGATGACCCAGGTGAACCTGCGTTGCCCAATGTTAGCACATGTTAACTGATTTACGTCATTCTTAAGTTGCCCTAATTTGACCATACCTACTGAATCCCTGGGGTGCGATACTCCGGTTAGCATCCCCCAAGTGACGTCCAAGTGATCGAACATTAGTTTCATTTATTGATTCAATCATGACTAAAACCATAGTTATATATAATAATATATAATTAACTGGGTATTGAAAGTACATAAGAAATCTGATATGCGCAAGGACAATTTAACTTTCGATTGTTGATATAAATACTTTAGAATCAATAACGCAACGTTGATGATGATTTTGCATATCTGATGTTCTACGCGTCATTTTGAACTTCCTCGTCGTTGAACATTAGAACAAGTACATTGACAGCTTTGTCAATCAAGGAAACACTTGTTAACCTCCCATATTAAGTTGTGTTTGTTAAAAGCAATTCTAGCTGTCAGTCATTTTGTATTATATATAAGGCTGCATTTTATTCGTTATATTTCGGGTTCTGCGCTAAGTTATCCTTGATGAACACTGGTTAACTCAGTTGAATCTAGTCAACCCTGGCAGCCAGAAATATGGTAACCTCAGTTCTCAAATTTTGAAAATCGAACGCACGTACTGTGTAGTTGTTTTCGGCAGGATATCGTATCAGTGATTAATTGCAAGGCCGTAGCTGACTTTTTTTGACAAATATTGGTACAAGTATCACTTGTCCCCAACTTGATTCAAATAAAACTGTTTTCTATAAAAAAAAATCCAGGGGGGCTACGGCACTGAATTGAGTTGTGTGACTGCTTTGAACAATATTTTATTTACCGCCCTATTGTCTGTAAGGGCGGGTCCAGCATTATTAAAAGGGAGGGGTCCACTATCTCCACATCCACCCTGCCAACAACATACTTCATTTGGTTTTCAAAAAGGAGGACCGGTAATTTATTATGGGGTTGGGTTGGGGTAGGTCGGGTTACCAGAGCGAATCGGGGAGGGTCACCTTCAGAGAAAACAGATATTTCACACTTGGAAGAACGTTATAAGATCATTTCCAACCCAGTAACGAAATATTGTTGTCTGACTTCTGCAAGTACAAAGCAGAATAGATGAGAGGTGAAGAAAGGTGCAGATAGTGTAGAAATAGAACTCTGTGGGATGAGGAAGGTGAAAACTAAATGAAATAGTTTTGTCACCTGAGAATAGAAAGCATAAGTAGTCTGACAATGGAAGGAAATATTGTGATGGATGATCAAGCTATACCTTTTGAACAAAACAACAATAACCAAAAATATACTAATTTTATGAAGATTTGGAAAAGAAGCTGAGGAACTTTAGAAGGAAATCAAAACACCAGCACTGAATTATTCCCTTGAGTTGAATGGTGATAAAAATATATGTCAGGTGTAAAGAAAAATATATTGTTGCTAGATTATTTGATTAGACATATGGTAGAACGTACAAAAATACACAGACACAAAGAAGAATTTTTGCTATGTGAGATCACACTTATAAAACTGGAAGGTACAGCTCTATCTGTCCAAGTGCCTTTAGCACAGTATCACGTCAGTAGTTATGATTTTATGTATGCTTCAATGAATTGTCACACAAGTTGTGAGACAAGACTTTCTTTCAGGTTGGTAGATCTAAGTAAAAAAAATCCAACTTTTTCTATTTCTAATTTAAGTATTTTTTATTTCCTCTAAATGTTAAGTGGGTGGGTGGGTGAATAAATAACACAAATAAAATAGATGCGGGAGTTTTTAAAACATATCAAATTACTAATCTGATGATTGATAAATGTGGGACTATGACTCCAGTTTGGGCAATTATTTCTATGTTTTCTTGTAATCACAGGTCATTGTTTTACCTGAGGATTCCATGGTGACACGCGACCTGCGCTTTGACCGTGTGCGCATCTACGTGAAAGACGATGGAACAGTTGCATCACCGCCTATGATTGGATAAGATGCGCCATGACTTCATTGTTCAACATCCCATATCACATTCAGGTTCCAAATAAACATAATACCTTGAATAAATCTTGCTGTGTGTGCTTTTTCCAGAAAATAAGAACATGCAATCTGCCTTGCCACATCTGTAAGGATGAAATTAAGTAAATGGCTAAACATTTGACTTGAACTGTTTTGAGTTGTGTGAGTGGGTGAAATCAGCAATATTAGTGCTGCATCCTGGCCAAAACAAACCAGTGGTAGATAATGTGAACATCTGTCAGAGTATGTGACACACACCGGTCACCCCCGTCAACTAAACTTTAGTTCAGTCATGGTTTGAAGTCAGTATCTTGAGTTTAAACAGAAATACTTTGGCTGGAATTTTATTTTATTGAGTGAGTGAGTTTGATTTTATGCCGCATTTAGCAATATTCCAGCAATATCATGACGGGGGACACCAGAAATGGGCTTCACACATTGTACCCATGTTGGGAATTGAATGTGGGTTTTTGGTGTGACGAGCAAACACTTTAACCTCTTTTATTGAAATGCACTGAGAGAAATGATGAATGAAATAGACTAAGGACTTGTCATAGTTTGTTTAAGTTCTCTTAAAAGATGTGTCATTTCAAATCAAAGCTGTCAAGTCAAAACAAGGACAAGTCAAAGAGTTTTCCCACAAAGTGTTTTGAAGTGAAAGAAGCATCAGCCATGGCCATGACATAATACATGTGTGAGAACAACTTTTCCTAAGGTTAAGATTAACACAAATTTGAACTTTCACCCAATTTGACTATATTTTTGCACAAACTCTGGTCATCTGTTTCATTAATGCACAAACTCCATCAAATACAAGATCCTACAAAATCAGATATCCTTTGCCTCTGTCCAAGTCCAATATCTTTATTACATCTATATTGAATTTAAAATGAAAATAAAAAAGTGAGTAAATGTGAAAGTGATAACAAGTAATTTTAGCTTTGTTCAAAAGATTCCTGTTATTCCAAGGTGTACACCTATAATCCTCAGAAGACCTGTCTGTTACAGTTCCTGTTATTCCAAGGTGTACACCTATAATCCCCTGATGGCCAGTCTGGGACAGTTCATGTTATTCACAGGCGTACACCTATAATCCCCTCATGGCCAGTCTGTGACAGTTCCTGTCATTCACAGGTGTACACCTATAATCCCCTCATGGCCAGTCTGTGACAGTTCCTGTTATTCCAAGGTGTACACCTATAATTCCCTGATGGCCGGTCTGTGACAGTTCCTGTTATTGACAGGCGTACACCTATAATTCCCTCATGACCAGTCTGTGACAGTTCCTGTTATTGACAGGCGTACACCTATAATTCCCTCATGACCAGTCTGTGACAGTTCCTGTTATTCACAGGCGTACACCTATAATTCCCTGATGGCCGTCCCTCATAAAGACGTGCCAACCCCTCCTGCCACATTCAGAATCTGTGTTTGCCTCGTCCTCTTGACCCTTCAAGTACTCCACACAGAAACATCTTGGTCCTGGTCCAAGGAAGGGCAGCACCCCTAGGATCTTCCCGTGGCTGTCATAGTGGAACACATGCTCCCTCTGCAGTTCTATTGCATCAAGTTGTATTTTAAATGTCACCAGAAACCCAGCTGAAAAACAAGAGCAGAAACCCAGAACTTCAACAGATTAGTTCTATATACCCAGTGGGCAGCATGGCTGATTGTTGTTCTAATAGGCATCTGGTTGGAGATAGGTAAGTTCTGCAACATGTAACAGCAGACTTCCTTAAAGAGTGTGGATAAATTACTCCAGATGTTGTTCCCAGGTCCCACAAAGCCAATGGTCCTCATATCTCAAAGCTAAACTATGACCAGATGATGGTCATCACCATACATCCCTTGTCCAGACACAATTCTAATTCTAATTACCATGAGCACTGATGGTGTAGACCTCTGTTGGAACTCCAGGAACCAAAAGGTCCATGCCAACCTCTACAGCATTATCTGTGACATCCACAAACATCAGTGTGGCACCGATGCCGACTGCAAGTCTGGTTTTCTCCTCCAGTTTTTTCTGCTCTAGGATCCTGGCTAGAGATCCTGGCAGGAAGCTGATGTAGCGGCCATCCTCACTCACCTCCAGGCTGCTGCTGTGGACAAGATACAGAAGTTGTCATTGAAAATGCCTAAGTTAAAAAAATATAGTGTCAGAACACTGTAGCTCACCTGAATATGTTGTCGAAACATAAAATGTAATCTATGACAGCTACTTAATATAAGTTACTGTCAGCATTGATATTCAAATAGTTTCTGTATTAATGAACAAATTCTTCAACAACAAAATACATATTCAACATTGTTTCTTCATCAGCAACAACAAATGTAAGGTAGAATATTGTATAACAAAGGGAATGGTGCAAAGATCTAACCATGCATGTGTATTTATCACAATGGAGATTGACATCATCAGACTGAAAGTGTACATAACTTTCCCATGGTAGTAGGTTATAGGAGTTTGGGGTCATTAAGGGAAAGATATCAGGACTCAAACTTGAAAGTGTCACTCCTCCGTCTTACTTAATAAGACAGCATTTTCAGTCAGAGGGTGTCACTTCTGGTTTGAAAATACATCTGCATCATAAAATGATCTGATTCTGATATGACAATGTACAAATCATACATCTGCATGTTCTAATGACTCCAACCTTGACAATGAAACTGACCTTTTACTCACAGAATGCAACAACTACAAAGCCTCAGAATTCTACAAGTAAAATTGCATTGGTAATCAGTGAAACAACCACCTTTAGGCTCATAATGACCTTGACCTTTGACAGAAAGGCTGCTTTTGGACTTGAGATAAATGTAAATTCATGCCGGTAGAGCCTGCAGTGCCTTAGAAGCTGATAACAATAAAACATCTGAGACTTGTTCCTGACAACATCGCCTTCTGAAATCATGGTTATTGCTGAGAAATCTCTACCTGTCTTGTTGCCTGGTAATATTCAGGGTTTGTAGTGTGTCAGGATGCAGGAAGTAGATGGCGCTGTTTGTTACAACCATGATCTTGTTTCCTCCAAACAGGAGAGTTGTTATTGCTGGAAATTCTTCACTCAAAATTTCATCTGCAGTGATAGGGTTGCATATTATGCTGAAAAATAACAACTGATGTAGAGGTTTGGTCAAAGTTCATTTAATCATCAATTTCACAGAATTAACAAAACACAAAGGTCTGCAGAAGATGGATTTATTGATGATGACAAATAACAACCTTTTTTGGTCTGGTGTGATGCCATATAGTTTCTTCCCCAGCACATATGGAGTTGGCATGCTATGATGGGAGAAGGTCTTCAGTATCCTGCCACCTTTGCCGTATACGACAATACATGCACTGAAACATATGTTAGATGGTGTGGTGAAATTGGCGTCGCGTCCAACATTAGTGTTAGTGTTAGTGTTAGTGTGTGTGTGTGTGTATACTGACTCCTTGCTGAACAGTCCTTGTTTTTGTCCCTTAATGCCAAGCTCCAGGCAGGTTAATAACAAGTACCATCTATTAACATCTTTTGGTATGAGTGAGTGAGTGAGTATGGTTTTACGCCGCTTTTAGCAATATTTCAGCAATATCAGGGCGGGGGAAACCAGAAATGGGCTTCACACATTGTACCCATGTCGGGAATCGAACCCTGGTCTTCGGCGTGACGTCTTTTGGTATGAAGCATCTGGGGATCGAACCCCGGACCTTCCGCTCTCCAGGCAGAAGCTATATCCATTAGATCACGGAGGTGGTTCTATGATGAGAATTACCAAAGATATCATACATGTGAGAAATTACTACTTGAAGAAAAGAAGCATTAACATTCAGTGATGATTTGTCACATCCTTTCATTCATCTGCTTGAATTTTTTGTAAACATGACTGAATTTGAAAAGTCTTTCCTGTAGAATAGCCTTGATATAAGAAGGAACTCAACACTTGGAAATGACAAATATACTGACCAGAAAGTCTCCTATGTTGAGACCATGAAGGTAACCCCCAGTGGTAACCCCAAACTCTCGAGATTCAATTGTTTGTTTGTTTGTTTGTTTAATGCCGCACTCAGCAATATTCCAGCTATATGACGGTGGTCTGTAAATAATAGAGTCTGAGCCAGACAATCCAGTGATTGACATCATGAGCATCGATCCACGGAATTGGCATGCATCAACCAAGTCAGCGAGCCTTACCACCCGATCCCATTTGTCGCCTTTTACGACAAGCATAATCGCCGTTTACAGCAAGCATGGGTTGCTGAAGACCTATTCTACCCCGGATCTTCACAGGTCCAATTGAAATAGGGTCTATCAAATTATGCTATAGATGCTTCATTTAGTATACCGGTTACACATCTTGGCTCAATAAACATTTACCATGTGTAGTTTTTTGTAGTGGTGGGACAATACACCGATGCATTGGTCACACACTAAGTAAAAAATATTAATTCTTACCTTCAGTGTCTGCTTTAAAAACTGTTACACAAAACACTTTTTGGTAATGAGATACAAAAGTATTTTCATCCATTGTGTCATACTTGACATTGTCAACTGTAAATTGTCGGTGTGCATTGAAAGAAATGGCTTAGAGACCACAGATAAGAGCACACATAAGTATAGTGATAAGATTCGGGTTGTGAGCAGGGTATCATGATATGTATCAGATCGCATAGTTGGTGTATCGTCCAAGCCCCAGTATTTTGTGTACAGTATTGAAAAGTGATATGTCAATGATGAGCGCCTAACAAAAATGGTATTGCGAGGTTTGTTGTGCTGGACTAAATATTGAATTAGGGCTGATAAAATTTTGCTATAGATGCTCAATTTGGTATACCGGTAGCACATCTTGTTCACCATATCATACATATGGCGAACTGTATAATCTGTAAACATATACGATGTCTGTTGGTGTGGACTGTGATGTCTGTTGGTGTGGATTGCGATCCCAGCAGACTTGGCCCATGATGATCACAGATGGCATTATGTAAATGCCATGGCTATTATGTACAAACCTGGTATCACTTCGGCTTGTCCTCCCAATGCGCCACATGATATACGATTATGTTGGTGTGGACTGTGATGTCTGGACTGTGATGTCTGGACTGTGATGCCTGTTTGTGTGGACCGTGATGTCTGTTGGTATGGACTGTGATGTCTGGACTGTGATGTCTGTTGGTGTGGACTGTGATGTCTGGACTGTGATGTCTGGACTGTGATGCCTGTTTGTGTGGACTGTGATGTCTGTTGGTATGGACTGTGATGTCTTGACTGTGATGTCTGTTGGTATGGACTGTGATGTCTGGACGTGATGTCTGTTGGTGTGGACTGTGATATCTGTTGCTGTGGACTGTGATGTCTGGACTGTGATGCCTGTTTGTGTGGACTGTGATGTCTGTTGGTGTGGACTGTGATGTCTGGACTGTGATGTCTGTTGGTGTGGACTGTGATGTCTGGACTGTGATGTCTGTTGGTGTGGACTGTGATGTCTGGACTGTGATGTCTGTTGGTGTGGACTGTGATGTCTGTTGGTGTGGACTGTGATGTCTGTTGGTGTGGACTGTGATGTCTGGACTGTGATGTCTGGACTGTGATGCCTGTTGGTGTGGACTGTGATGTCTGTTGGTGTGGACTGTGATGTCTGTTGGTGTGGACTGTGATGTCTGTTCGTGTGGACTGTGATGCCTGTTGGTGTGGACTGTGGTGCCTGATGGTGTTGAGTGTGATGCCTGTTGGTGTGGACTGTGATGTCTGGACTGTGATGCCTGTTTGTGTGGACTGTGATGTCTGTTGGTGTGGACTGTGATGTCTGGACTGTGATGTCTGTTGGTGTGGACTGTGATGTCTGTTGGTGTGGACTGTGATGTCTGGACTGTGATGTCTGTTGGTGTGGACTGTGATGTCTGTTGGTGTGGACTGTGATGTCTGTTGGTGTGGACTGTGATGTCTGGACTGTGATGCCTGTTGGTGTGGACTGTGATGTCTGTTGGTGTGGACTGTGATGTCTGTTGGTGTGGACTGTGATGTATGTTCGTGTGGACTGTGATGCCTGTTGGTGTGGACTGTGATGTCTTGACTGTGATGTCTGTTGGTGTGGACTGTGATATCTGTTGCTGTGGACTGTGATGTCTGGACTGTGATGCCTGTTTGTGTGGACTGTGATGTCTGTTGGTGTGGACTGTGATGTATGTTCGTGTGGACTGTGATGTCTGTTGGTGTGGACTGTGATGTCTGTTGGTGTGGACTGTGATGTATGTTCGTCTGGACTGTGATGTCTGTTAGTCTGGACTGTGATGTCTGGACCGTGATATCTGGACTGTGATGTCTTTTGGTGTGGACTGTGATGTCTGTTGGTGTGGACCGTGATGCCTGTTGGTGTGGACTGTGATGTCTGGACTGTGATGCCTGTTGGTGTGGACTGTGATGTCTGTTGGTGTGGACTGTGATGTCTGTTGGTGTGGACTGTGATGCCTGTTGGTGTGGACTGTGATGTCTGTTGGTGTGGACTGTGATGTCTATTGGTGTGGACTGTGATGTCTGTTGGTGTGGACTGTGATGTCTGGACTGTGATGTCTGTTGGTGTGGACTGTGATGTCTGTTGGTGTGGACTGTGATGTCTGTTGGTGTGGACTGTGATGTCTGTTGGTGTGGACTGTGATGTCTGGACTGTGATGTCTGTTGGTGTGGACTGTGATGTCTGTTGGTGTGGACTGTGATGTCTGTTGGTGTGGACTGTGATGTCTGTTGGTGTGGACTGTGATGTCTGGACCGTGATGTCTGGACTGTGATGTCTGTTGGTGTGGACTGTGATGTCTGTTGGTGTGGACCGTGATGCCTTTTGGTGTGGACTGTGATGTCTGGACTGTGATGTCTGTTAGTGCGGACTGTGATGTCTGTTGGTGTGGACTGTGATGTCTGGACTGTGATGTCTGTTGGTGTGGACTGTGATGTCTGGACCGTGATATCTGGACTGTGATGTCTGTTGGTGTGGACTGTGATGTCTGTTGGTGTGGACCGTGATGCCTGTTGGTGTGGACTGTGATGTCTGGACTGTGATGTCTGTTGGTGTGGACTGTGATGTCTGTTGGTGTGGACTGTGATGTCTGGACTGTGATGTCAGTTGGTGTGGACTGTGATGTCTGTTGGTGTGGACTGTGATGTCTGGACTGTGATGTCTGTTGGTGTGGACCGTGATGTCTGGACTGTGATGTCTGTTGGTGTGGACTGAAATGTCTGGACTGTGATGTCTGTTGGTGTGGACTGTCATGTCTGTTGGTGTGGACTGTCATGTCTGTTGGTGTGGACTGTGATGTCTGGACTGTGATGTCAGTTGGTGTGGACCGTGATGTCTGTTGGTGTGGACTGTGATGTCTGGACTGTGATGTCTGTTGGTGTGGACCGTGATGTCTGTTGGTGTGGACTGAAATGTCTGGACTGTGATGTCTGTTGGTGTGGACTGTGATGTCTGTTGGTGTGGACTGTGATGTCTGTTAGTGTGGACTGTGATGTCAGTTGGTGTGGACTGTGATGTCTGTTGGTGTGGACTGTGATGTCTGTTGGTGTGGACCGTGATGTCAGTGAGTGTGGACTGTGATGTCTGGACGTGATGTCTGTTGGTGTGGACTGTGATGTCTGTTGGTGTGGACTGTGATGTCTGGACTGTGATGTCAGTTGGTGTGGACTGTGATGTCTGTTGGTGTGGACTGTGATGTCTGGACTGTGATGTCTGTTGGTGTGGACTGTGATGCCTGTTGTTGTGGACTGTGATGCCTGTTGGTGTGGACTGTGATGTCTGGACTGTGATGTCTGTTGGTCTGGACTGTGATGTCTGGACCGTGATATCTGGACTGTGATGTCTGTTGGTGTGGACTGTGATGTCTGTTGGTGTGGACCGTGATGCCTGTTGGTGTGGACTGTGATGTCTGGACTGTGATGTCTGTTGGTGTGGACTGTGATGTCTGTTGGTGTGGACTGTGATGTCTGGACTGTGATGTCAGTTGGTGTGGACTGTGATGTCTGTTGGTGTGGACTGTGATGTCTGGACTGTGATGTCTGTTGGTGTGGACCGTGATGTCTGGACTGTGATGTCTGTTGGTGTGGACTGAAATGTCTGGACTGTGATGTCTGTTGGTGTGGACTGTCATGTCTGTTGGTGTGGACTGTCATGTCTGTTGGTGTGGACTGTGATGTCTGGACTGTGATGTCAGTTGGTGTGGACCGTGATGTCTGTTGGTGTGGACTGTGATGTCTGGACTGTGATGTCTGTTGGTGTGGACCGTGATGTCTGTTGGTGTGGACTGAAATGTCTGGACTGTGATGTCTGTTGGTGTGGACTGTGATGTCTGTTGGTGTGGACTGTGATGTCTGTTAGTGTGGACTGTGATGTCAGTTGGTGTGGACTGTGATGTCTGTTGGTGTGGACTGTGATGTCTGTTGGTGTGGACTGTGATGTCAGTGAGTGTGGACTGTGATGTCTGGACGTGATGTCTGTTGGTGTGGACTGTGATGTCTGTTGGTGTGGACTGTGATGTCTGGACTGTGATGTCAGTTGGTGTGGACTGTGATGTCTGTTGGTGTGGACTGTGATGTCTGGACTGTGATGTCTGTTGGTGTGGACTGTGATGCCTGTTGTTGTGGACTGTGATGCCTGTTGGTGTGGACTGCGATGTCTGTTGTTGTGGACTGTGATGTCTGGACTGTGATGTCTGTTGGTGTGGACTGTGATGTCTGGACTGTGATGTCCGTTGGTGTGGACTGTGATGTCCGTTGGTGTGGACTGTGATGTCTGTTGGTGTGGACTGTGATGTCTGTTGGTGTGGACTGTGATGTCTGTTGGTCTGGACCGTGATATCTGGACTGTGATGTCTGTTGGTGTGGACTGTGATGCCTGTTTGTGTGGACTGTGATGTCTGTTGGTATGGACTGCGATGTCTGGACTGTGATGTCTGTTGGTGTGGACCGTGATATCTGGACTGTGATGTCTGTTGGTGTGGACTGTGATGCCTGTTTGTGTGGACTGTGATGTCTGTTGGTGTGGACTGCGATGTCTGGACTGTGATGTCTGTTGGTGTGGACTGTGATGTCTGGACTGTGATGTCCGTTGGTGTGGACTGTGATGTCTGTTGTTGTGGACTGTGATGCCTGTTGGTGTGGACTGTGATGTCTGGACTGTGATGTCTGTTGGTGTGGATCCCAGCAGACGTGGCTCATGATGATCAAAGATAGCATTATGTAAATGCCATGGCTATGATGTACAAACCTGGTATCACTTGGGCTTGTCCTCCCAATGCGCCACATGATCTCATCTTGAGGAAACTGTCTGTGTTTCTTGACAGCCTTCAGAACCTGTATACTGGACATGGATGGGTCATCCACTGCAGACTTCCATCCATGATAGTCCATTGTCAGGACAGGCTCCAGGAAGGTGGCCTCGTTGGTACAGTCTACAAACTGTTACGTTGGGAGTGAATATTGAGAAATATACACAACTGTACAACATACAACATGCAAGTATATAGACTCAGTTCACAAAAGTTTCAGTCTGATTAATGTGCACACTTTCTATCCAAACAAAAAAGTGTATCTGATCAAGGATCAGCCTTATTTTGTCAAACAGAAACACTATTGTCCACACAGCCAAGTGTTGTGTCATTAACAGTCTGTGTATTATTACAAGAGATGCAATGAGGCAGTTCTTCTCCCAATCTCATTAAAATCAGATCACTAAACAAAGATCTGAGGACATTCCATTACGGGTCACATCAAAACGACCTTTTGCAAACTTTGACCGTCCACTGAAATGACTAACAAGAAGTCAACATCAGCCAATTAGAAAGCAGCTATTTCGAGCTTACGACACTCGTTTCAACCTGGCCACTTCCATTTCAGACTACGCTTGAAAAGTATGTTGTGACACAGTTCTCGATTAAAATTTTGAAAACTGAACAAACTAACATTCCGGAAAGTCTAATATGTGGTTGAGATTGTATGGCAGTGCTTCCCCTAACTTTGCAATGCCTCCTCCATTCAAATGTTTATCCAACGGAAGTGATAGATGGACAATAATTTTGACAGAATCAGTCGTATGGGCCGAAACTGTTGTTCGGAATACTCCGTGTTAATGTTTTCGAGGTTGCATGATTAGAAAACACATTCCAACTGTCACTTTCAAGATCTGGTAAGCGACGCTTTGATTGGTCGGATGAAAGGTCATTCTGACGTGATCCGTATGGGATGTCCTCAGATCTTTGTTAAGCGATAGGGAGAACTGAGATCAGAATTTAATAAGGCAGTTCTTCTCCTCATATGCATTTACCCTATTACCATAGCTCGCTGGACTCACTTCTGTTGGATACATGTGAAGCAACTGATCAAATAATCAGTTAATCGATCTGCCCAGAATTCAAAATGTATAATCGTTACAGCAATACTGTAAGTTTGCTGGGAGACAGCATGTTTGGGAGTAAGGTGGGGGGTAAAAAAAAATAACTATGCCTTAGTTCATTTATTTTTCACATAACATTAATTAGAAATAATCAATTATGACAGTTAAAGGTACATGTCCATGAAAACATAATCTTGGTCCTGGGCTCTGTCTCTTCTATCACTTATTGAGGCATGCCAATCGTTTTATTTGTAGATGACATGTTACTGTGGAATTCATTATTTATATGAGAGGTCAGATTATGGATATAATTCATGGCAATAACCAGCACCTGAGAGACAAATATATACACTATTTATGTGCAGGGCAAAGAAAGCTGAAAACCAGTCTGATATTCCTCAGTGTTACAGATCGTCACGGTTTGTGCTTCAAGCATGTTTGATCACAACACCACAACAGGAAAATACAAAGAGTCCCAGGCAAGCATGGCTATTTCCATACAGTTACCATGGTGGCCATTTTCGGGGATGTCATTGCAGAGTTTATATGCTTGAAATCTCAGTGTTGTAAACCCCATGGCTTTCGAGGAGTTTGACTCAGAATCATCAAGACTCTTAAAATAAGTTTGGTTTAGGTGAGCTACAAATAGACGAGAAAAAACAACTGACAGTTTGTTGGATTTTAAACTCAGTAATTGTCTGGACTAATGACAGTTAAATAATTGTTCAATATAACATGAGATTAAATATATAGCTTGATGTTCCAGTATATCTTACTCTTCAGAATGTTTCACTGTTTTGCTTGAGTATTTTCACTTTGATGAAAAAACTTGTACTTACAACCAGAATATTCTTGTTTTCACCCTCAACAGAAAGACTCAGATAGAGCGTGTCCTTGAAGGAGTAATATTCTGTCAGCATGGCCATGAACATATGAGGCTGACGAGAGAATTCAGGGACTTCTGCAGCCTTTCTCTTCTCAGGCTTCGACAGTTCCCCGTACCGGTCTATGTACTGAGAAGATGCCACAACCTTGTCCCAGAGGTAGCAATAGACAAAGGTCACAGTCTGAAGGTAAACAGAAAAGTGGTGCTTTGTGTGTAGTTTTCCTATGAAATGATAGTGGCTTCCAAGAAATAATATTTGAAGCTTCAAACAAGGAGAAGAAGTGTTTGAAGGAAGTGGTCTAAAGGGAAAATGGGAGGAAGTGGTCATGGGGGAAGAAGTGGTCATGGGGAGTGAGTGGACATGGGGAGGAGGACGCCAAAGGGAGGAAGACCACATGGGGTGGAAGTGGTCATGGGGAGGCAGTGGGCCTGAGGAGGAAAGCATCATGGGGAGGAAGTGGACATGGGGAGGAAGACGTTATGGGGAGTAAGATGTCATTGGGAGGAAGGGATCATGGGGAGTAAGATTTCATGGGGAGTAAGATGTCATGGGGAGGAAGGGATAATGGGGAGTAAGAGGTCATGGGGATGAAAGCATCATGAGGAGGAAGTGGTAATGGGGGAAGAAGTGGTCATGGAGAGAAAGTGGTCATGGGGAGGAAGTGGACACGGGGAGGAAGATGCGTAAAGGGAGGAAGGGATCATGGGGAGTAAGAGGTCATGGGGAGGAAGTGGTCATGGGGAGGAAGTGGTCATGGGGGAGGAAGTTGTCATGGGGAGGAAGATGTCATGGGGAGAAATGGATCATGGGGAGGAAGATGTCATGGGGAGGAAGTCGAAATGGGGAGGAAGATGTCATGGGGAGGAAGTGGTCATGGGGAGGAAGATGTCATGGGGAGGAAGGGATCATGTGGAGGAAGATGTCATGGAGAGTAAGAGGTCATGGCGAGGAAGTGGACATGGGGAGGAAGATGTCATGGGGAGGAAGTTGTCATGGGGAGGATGACATCATGGGGAGGAAGTGGACATGGGGAGGAAGGGATCATGTGGAGGAAGTGGTCATGGGGAGGAAGATGTCATGGGGAGGAAGTGGACATGGGGAGGAAGTGATCATGGGGAGGAAGTTGTCATGGGGAGGATGACGTCATGGGGAGGAAGTGGACATGGGGAGGAAGGGATCATGTGGAGGAAGTGGTCATGGGGAGGAAAATGTCATGGGGAGGAAGTGGACATGGGGAGGAAGATGTCATGGGGAGGAAGTGGTCATGGGGAGGAAGTTGTCATGGGGAGGAAGTGGACATGGGGAAGAAGGGATCATGTGGAGGAAGTGGACATGGGGAGGAAGATGTCATGGGGAGGAAGTGGACATGGGGAGGAAGAGATCATGTGGAGGAAGTGGTCATGGGGAGTAAGAGGTCATGGGGAGGAAGTTGTCATGGGGAGGAAGATGTCATGGGGAGGAAGGGATCATGGGGAGGAAGATGTCATGGGGAGGAAGGGATCATGGGGAGTAAGAGGTCATGGGGAGGAGGTGGTCATTGGGAGGAAGTGGTCATGGGGAGGAAGATGTCATAGGGAGGAAGGGATCATGGGGAGGAAGATGTCATGGGGAGGAAGTGGTCATGGGGGAGGAAGTTGTCATGGGGTGGAAGATGTCATGGGGAGGAAGGGATCATGGGGAGGAAGATGTCATGGGGAGGAAGTGGACATGGGGAGGAAGATGTCATGGGGAGGAAGTGGCCATGGGGAGGAAGTGGTCATGTGTTCATGGGGGAGGAAGTTGTAATGGCGAGGAAGTTGACATGGGGAGGAAGTGGTCATGTTGTCATGGGGGAGTAAGAGGTCATGGGGAGGAAGTTGACATTGGGAGAAAGTGGTCATGGGGAGTAAGATGTCATGGGGAGGAAGATGTCATGGGGAGGAAGGGATCATGGGGAGGAAGTGGACATGGGGAGGAAGTGGTCATGGAGAGGAAGTGGTCATGTGGTGGAAGTTGTCATGGGGAGGAAGTAGTCATGGGGAGAAAGGGATCATGGGGGAGGAAGATGTCATGGGGAGGAAGTGGACATGGGGGAAAGATGTCATGGGGAGGAAGTGGTCATGTGGTCATGGGGGAGGAAGTTGTCATTGGGAGGAAGATGTCATGGGGAGGAAGGGATCATGTGGAGGAAGTGGTCATGGGGAGGAAGTGGTCATGTGGTCATGGGGGAGTAAGAGGTCATGGGGAGGAAGTGGTCTTGGGGAGTAAGATGTCATGGGGAGGAAGATGTCATGGGGAGGAAGTAGTCATGGGGAGAAAGGGATCATGGGGAGGAAGTGGACATGGGGGAGGAAGTTGTCATGGGGAGGAAGTGGTCATGGGGAGGAAGGGATCATGGGGGAGGAAGGGATAATGGGGGAGGAAGATGTCATGGGGAGGAAGTGGTCATGGGGAGGAAGGGATCATCAGGAGAAAGGGATCATGGGTTAGGAAGGGATCTTGGGGGAAGAAATGGACATGGGGGGAAGTGGAAATGGGGAGGAAGATGTCATGGGGAGGCAGTGGTCATGGGAGGAAGACGACATGGGGATGATGCGAACATGAGGAGGAAGGGATCATGGGGAGGAAGTGAACATGGGGAGGAAGGGATCATGGGGAGGAAGTGAACATGGGAAGTAAGACATCATGTAGAAAAAGGGATCATTGGGAGGAAGTGGACATGGGGAGGAAGACGTCATGGGGAGGAAGATGTCATGGGAGGAAGTGGCCATGGGGAGAAAGGGATCATGGGGGAGGAAGGGATCATCAGGAGGAAGTGGGCATGGGGAGGAAGGGATCATGGGGGAGGAAGTGGACATGGAAAGGTAGTTTCAGACGGAAGTTACCTGAACTAAACTAGCTGTCTCTTACAGTGCAGTGGACATATTCTAAATGACCATACAGCCAGGGGGAGAAAGGTTGTTAGTTGCATCTTCAGAAGAAAACCACAACTGATTCTACTCACAGAAAGGTTTGGGTTATACCCCCTGGCCAAACAGTACTCAGTTGTAACCAACATATCTTCCTTCCATTTTTTGGGTCTGTCAGGGTCAGAAAATATTTCAAAAGTAGTTTTCTGAAACAAAAGAACTTTAATTGAAAGAGTTTAATATGTAGCTATGTAACATGTATAAGTCTGATCTATGTACTTATGTAAATATATGCTGGTTTGAACGGAGTATCAAATATAGACCATTACAAGGAGTCATACTTGAACAAACACTGTTTGTTATTAAGTTATATGTCAGTTGTTATTTACTGCAGTTTAATGATAAAAAACTAGAAATTAGTTGCAAAAACAGAAGTGTCCCCATCCCCAGGCTCCCTGAATGTCACAATACTGTGACTCCAGCTACCTTAACAACAAACATGTAAGTACATCCATCTTAATGACATCAATTCAGGTTTTGGAAAACACATGTCCAATGAAGTACAACTTTAAAACAAAGACCTGTGCTTATAATGACATTAATAACAGTAGCTCACCTGGCTATGTTGCCAACAGGTTTAAATGTCAACAAATGAGGAACACAACGTTTTGGAGAATATCCTCGTTAAGTTTCCACCTTTTTATCTTATCACTGGTGGGTTGTTTCTGCATGTACATCCTAGATTTCAATCTCCCCATGAAGGAGTAAGCACATATTCTGAAACGTTGTGTTCCTCATGATACAGAAGTTATTATCCATAAATTCTCTCTCTTATAAACAACTGGCCTCAAAATATTACTTCAAAGAACAAAATGATGGTCTATTGTCTAATGCTTGGGTCTGGTGCTGAAACATGTGAAATGATACCATACCTGCTTCAGCAACTGTTTCACTAGTTTTGAAAGGTTGACATTTGCCCTCTGTCCATTGGCCCCTGTCCAGAATAATTTGACTGGCTTAGTCTCTGTCTTCCATCGTTTGAAGGCAGACGTTTCATATGCATAGGGAGCCAAGAAGTGTACTGTGTTCCCTGTCTCATCACGGTACAGTTCACTCAGGGTGGGAACCAGGTACAGGCCTACAGGCACAAGGGACAGATGTAGACAGCAACATTTATCTTTGGGGAAAACACAAAATAGTGGTTCCCTGTCTCATCACGGTACAGTTCACTCAGGGTGGGAACCAGGTACAGGCCTACAGGCACAAGGGACAGATGTAGACAGCAACATTTATCTTTGGGGAAACACAAAATAGTGGTTCCCTGTCTCATCACGGTACAGTTCACTCAGGGTGGGAACCAGGTACAGGCCTACAGGCACAAGGGACAGATGTAGACAGCAACATTTATCTTTGGGGCAAACACAAAATAGTGGTTCCCTGTCTCATCACGGTACAGTTCACTCAGGGTGGGAACCAGGTACAGGCCTACAGGCACAAGGGACAGATGTAGACAGCAACATTTATCTTCGGGGCAAACACAAAATAGTGGTTCCCTGTCTCATCACGGTACAGTTCACTCAGGGTGGGAACCAGGTACAGGCCTACAGGCACAAGGGACAGATGTAGACAGCAACATTTATCTTTGGGGCAAACAAAAAATAGTGGTTCCCTGTCTCATCACGATACAGTTCACTCAGGGTGGGAACCAGGTACAGGCCTACAGGCACAAGGGACAGATGTAGACAGCAACATGTATCATTGGGGCAAGCACAAAATAGTGGTTGAAGTGAAAAGACATTGAGGAAAAAATAGTGGTTCCCTGTCTCATCACGGTACAGTTCACTCAGGCTGGGAACCAGGTACAGGCCTACAGGCACAAGGGACAGATGTAGACAGCAACATGTATCATTGGGGAAACACAAAATAGTGGTTCCCTGTCTCATCACGGTACAGTTCACTCAGGGTGGGAACCAGGTACAAGCCTACAGGCACAAGGGACAGATGTAGACAGCAACATGTATCTTTGGGGAAACACAAAATAGTGGTTCCCTGTCTCATCACGGTACAGTTCACTCAGGGTGGGAACCAGGTACAGGCCTACAGGCACAAGGGACAGATGTAGACAGCAACATTTATCTTTGGGGAAACACAAAATAGTGGTTCCCTGTCTCATCACGGTACAGTTCACTCAGGGTGGGAACCAGGTACAGGCCTACAGGCACAAGGGACAGATGTAGACAGCAACATGTATCATTGGGGAAACACAAAATAGTGGTTCCCTGTCTCATCACGGTACAGTTCACTCAGGGTGGGAACCAGGTACAGGCCTACAGGCACAAGGGACAGATGTAGACAGCAACATGTATCATTGGGGAAACACAAAATAGTGGTTCCCTGTCTCATCACGGTACAGTTCACTCAGGGTGGGAACCAGGTACAAGCCTACAGGCACAAGGGACAGATGTAGACAGCAACATTTATCTTTGGGGCAAACACAAAATAGTGGTTCCCTGTCTCATCACGGTACAGTTCACTCAGGGTGGGAACCAGGTACAGGCCTACAGGCACAAGGGACAGATGTAGACAGCAACATTTATCTTTGGGGCAAACACAAAATAGTGGTTCCCTGTCTCATCACGGTACAGTTCACTCAGGGTGGGAACCAGGTACAGGCCTACAGGCACAAGGGACAGATGTAGACAGCAACATTTATCTTTGGGGCAAACAAAAAATAGTGGTTCCCTGTCTCATCACGATACAGTTCACTCAGGGTGGGAACCAGGTACAGGCCTACAGGCACAAGGGACAGATGTAGACAGCAACATGTATCATTGGGGCAAGCACAAAATAGTGGTTGAAGTGAAAAGACATTGAGGAAAAAATAGTGGTTCCCTGTCTCATCACGGTACAGTTCACTCAGGCTGGGAACCAGGTACAGGCCTACAGGCACAAGGGACAGATGTAGACAGCAACATGTATCATTGGGGAAACACAAAATAGTGGTTCCCTGTCTCATCACGGTACAGTTCACTCAGGGTGGGAACCAGGTACAAGCCTACAGGCACAAGGGACAGATGTAGACAGCAACATGTATCTTTGGGGAAACACAAAATAGTGGTTCCCTGTCTCATCACGGTACAGTTCACTCAGGGTGGGAACCAGGTACAGGCCTACAGGCACAAGGGACAGATGTAGACAGCAACATTTATCTTTGGGGAAACACAAAATAGTGGTTCCCTGTCTCATCACGGTACAGTTCACTCAGGGTGGGAACCAGGTACAGGCCTACAGGCACAAGGGACAGATGTAGACAGCAACATGTATCATTGGGGAAACACAAAATAGTGGTTCCCTGTCTCATCACGGTACAGTTCACTCAGGGTGGGAACCAGGTACAGGCCTACAGGCACAAGGGACAGATGTAGACAGCAACATGTATCATTGGGGCAAGCACAAAATAGTGGTTGAAGTGAAACGACATTGAGGAAATAAGATTAGTAGGGGAGTGAAGAATATGTGTGTGTGTGTGTGTGTGTGTGTGTGTGTGTGTGTGTGTGTGTGTGTGTGTGTGTGTGTGTGTGTGAGTGAGTGAGTGAGTGTGTTTGTGAGTGTGTTTGTGAGTGTGTGTGTGTGAGTGAGTGTGTGTGTGTGTGTGTGTGTGTGTGTGTGTGTGTGTGTGTGTGTGTGTGTGTGTGTGTGTGTGTGTGTGTGTGTGTGTGTGTGTGTGTGTGTGTGTGTGTGTGTGTGTGTGTGTGTGTGTGTGTGTGTGTGTGTGTCATATTGGTTATATGGGTTTCATACATTATATCTTGTTGAGTTGAGTTGAGTTGAGTTGAGTTGAGTTGAGTTGAGTTGAGTTGAGCAACCAGTCCTTGTTTTATCCCCTTAATGCCAAGTGCCAGGCAGGGTAATAACAAGTACCATCTTTTACCGTCTTTTGAGTGAGTGAACAGGAGAGTGAGAGTGATTTGGTGTGAACGGGTGGGGGGGGGAAGCATCGGACAGCCAAGTAACAACTGTATGAGCATTGCCCCGTGACATCTCCGCAAGGTCACATGGTCAGATCCACAATAGTAGGCTCTAACACCAAGCATGGCCATTTGGGGCCTATTCTGACCCTCAATACTCACAGATGTGAAGGAGGGGTAACAGGGGAGCTGAGATGCCTGCTGATGTGGTGATGAGGAAGAGAGGCAGAGGAAGAGTATGAAATACCTCTCAAATAACAAATGCCTTGAGGACATATTTCAGAGATTGAATGCCATGCATGTGTCTGCCTCGGGGTGTGAAAGTTGAAACTGTAAAACAAGAATAACTTCTGAAGGATTAAAACAAGATCTATCTGAGATTCTGTGTGGCCATCAACTTGACACACTGTCAAGACAATAACAAATTACAACTGAAAACAATGTATAAGAAAAATTGAACTTTTAGATATTGTCATGAACAGATATTGTAAGTATCACACAAATAAAAGTGAAAAGTTTACCCAGTGTAAGCACCAACAGTGAAAGTTTACCCTGTGTAAGGATCAACAGTGAAAGTTTACCCAGTGTAAGGATCAACAGTGAAAGTTTACCCTGTGTAAGGATCAACTGAGAAAGTTTACCCTGTGTAAGGATCAACAGTGAAAGTTTACCCAGTGTAAGGATCAACAGTGAAAGTTTACCCTGTGTAAGGATCCAGGTTGAGGGCTCTGATAGGGGGCAGCACCATCTGCAGATCAGCCGTCAGGAAGCCAGCATCTGTCAGTCTCAGGTTGAGGTCTGCCATGGATTGGTAGTCCCCCTCAAAGCAGTACCTAAGATATGTATATATGCCTAGCTTCAGTGTGTACTTTCTAAATGTCATGCTGATATGACAGTAATCAGTGGTTAATCAAACAGAATATATTTTTATAGCCTTGTACACTTCTGTTTCTTAATTGTGTTTTCATGAAGACCCCTTGAGTACGTATTTCCTTTATGATCCTGCAAATTTTAAACAAGAGTCATCAGAAAGATGACATATCCCCCCGGCAGCTGTCTGTAAAGTAACCACAAGTAAATGTGCAATTCTGTATGTAATGAGTCAAGAGTTGAATGTTCTTGAAGAAGCATACATTGTTACATTGTTTACCCACAAAAGATCCACCATGGTCGCATCCATATGAAATGGAAAGTAAAATACCGTATTCGACGTAATACCGGTAAGCGCCCCGCTCTAATAAGCGCCCACGCAAAAGGCACCAGTTCAGTAAGTGCTTGGTAGACATGCAAAGTTTTGTAGGAAAGTATTTAACAGTTTTGGAGTTACGCTCCAGAAACGAACACCACCCTCAGAGAACCTAAGTGCAACATGTTGCCATGTAAGCGTAAAAAATAAAAATTTCTAAAATTCCTAAATAGCGAAAGGTACCAGTTCAGTATGTGCCAGGTAGACATGCAAAGTTTTGAAAGAAAGTATTTAACGTTTTTTGAGTTACGCTCCGGAAACGAACTGTACCCTATAGAACCTAAGTCCAACTTGTTGCCATGGAAACGTAAAAAAATAAACCTTTTAAAAGTCCTAAATAGCAAAAGGCACCAGTTCGGTATGTGCCTGGTAGACATGCAAAGTTTTGGAAGAAAGTATTTAACGTTTTTTGAGTTACGTTCCGGAAATGAACACCACCCTTATAGAACCTAATTCCAACTTGTTACCATGGAAACGTAAAAAAATAAAAATTTCTAAAATTCCTAAATAGCAATAGGTACAACTTCAGTATGTTACTGATAAATTTGCAAAGTTTCGATCAAACACACTGAATTGTTTTTGAGTTCTGCCTCGGAAGAGGAAATGATTACAGACGGACAGACGGACGGACAGACAGACTGGCTGATCGCTATATCCCCCCGCATTATATGATTTAAACATATTTTATTCAGATTGAAATGGATTGGGAACAAGTTATCCAACTTAGGACTCCCTCTCCATAATCATTATATGCTGGGGGGATAAAAAAAAATTCAGGTCTTCTACAGGCACTTGTGAGTCTTCTTTATGCCTTACGTTGTCATCATTATGAAATGCAACACTTAATCTTAATCTACACTTAAAGGGGCACTGATCTAACGGACTGGTTGTTGCCTTTGTTATTGTTTTTCCCCCGTGAGTACCCGGATGATACGCAACGCAACTGAGCGTGACCAGAGACTGGGGTACCGTCTGCAAGGACAGCTAAATAAACTTGGAGGCTGGAGGCAATATTTGTTTTACGCATTTTTGAACACTGATTGGTTAACTGTGATCTATAAAGATTTCGACAAAGGGCGCATGTTAATTCATTTCTTCAGCCTAAACAAACAGACAAAAAGAACAAGGGAGCTCATCGGATGTCGTCATTTGGAAATACCCCAGATGGTTATAGTATAATACTAAAAACAGTATGCATGCAGTGAAAGCATTTTCGGATTTCGGCTTGCGTCGATAATACGATTACTACTCCCTTGTTGTCATCCACGTTTTCTCGTATAACCCTACACTTGTGTATTTGTCGTCATTCACTTGATGCTCAGTTAATGAATTTATTACAGGTACAATTAGTGGTAGCACCACTTATATTACCTGACAAAGGTTCCCATTTGGCATTTATTGTGTCTGGGGTAATTATTCAATCTAAATCCAGGTTTGAAGTGAGGTGAAATGTGTGTTATGTAATATGCACGTGGCAGCCAAGCAAGAGATGAATGATCAGTTGATTTACTTTTTTTTGTAAATCAACGGATCGTTCCTAGTCATCAAAGGATTAACAGAAAATACGTTGATTGATTAATCACTGTTATCTTGCACAGTGGATATGTCAAGAGTGAGTGTTTACATGTCTAGGTTTACTAAAACAAAGGGAATACACTCATCTCATGGCGCGAAGTGCCGATGTAAAAACAACATACTTTGTTCAAAGGGTTAACTGATAATACGTTGATTGATTGATCATTGTTATCTATCACTCAATGGAATTTTTAGGAACCGTGGACGCTATGAAAATAGTTGTCACGTGGGCTTTCTCAGCCGACCATTGAGACTTGACACCTATGTAAAACACCTGAAACAATCCAAGCGATCAGTTGAGAAACAAACACGGGTTATAATATCCCGAAACGATATATATCTTTTAAAATATTTGATTGTTACTGAGACACGTGACATCGAATAAGTTTCTTTGTACAGCTGCAGACGAGTGGGATATTGTTCCTTGTTGTGGATATTTACGGATACATTCCTCGAACAAGGAAGCTGCCTAAAACTTATACACATAAATTTGGTAGGTTGTAATTATGATATCTGCATTTTGTTTTCCTTCATTTGAACCGATTCGTTCTTGTTTCTCTACGTCTTGGTTGGGAAATTCTTCAATGCGCGATAGTCGTTGTAGTCACAGGTCTTTTCCTTTGTAAGCGTGTATATATTACCGTCAATTTGTAAAATGTGATTCTCTCAGGCAATTTATAAAATGTGTAAATATTTCAGCCATTTTGACTAAAAAATCTGTCCAGATTGATCAAGACGATCAAAAGGGCCTACAAACATCACAACAGATTATTATGTAGGATTAAAAGCCAAACAACTTAGAAATGTACTTTTCAACGTTACATTTTCAGTCTCTTGGTGATGACATTAAACATCAAAATATTTGGAATTCGTTGTCATAATAATACAGATGGAAATGTTTTTCAGTCACTTTGTAAAATAACTGAATATTTAGACGTTTAATAAATGTGTTACACATTTGACAGTAAAAAAATATACACACTATAAAAAAAGCATATGCTCAGGTGAAATATATACTTTGTGTTGCAAGTCAAAATAGTGTAAACGAAAATCGCAAAATTACCAAGCAAGTGACTTATCAAAACTTCGTCACCATTACCGATGCTACTCACAAAGATACCTACATTTCCTTATTATCTCGAAAACTGTATTTCATTTTGTTGATCAATGTGACCATACGCCCTTATTACTACCCATAAAAGTGACTAATGCGCTTACGAATGGCGCAGCAGAGGTCGCGAACTAGTCTAGATTTCTGCTATACATCCGGGTACTCACTGGGAAAAAACAATAACAAAGGCAACAACCAGTCCCGGGGAATTGCGTTAGATCAGTGCCCCTTTAACATTTCAACATGTTTACTGAGCATGAAAATCAAGGGATCCATATCGTTAAGGCCCTGATTATTTACAAAGGCTACTCATTTTTAGGTTCAAGTACATTCAAACCAAACACAAATGTCAAGGACCCTAGGATCCCAAAAAGTTTGAACACTGCATTTGCTATAGACTTTGCAAAAGCACCAAACATGTATGGTTTCTCAGGAACATCTACAAAAATGCCACTACACATTGCGTTTTTATTCCCATTTAAAAAATACACATTGGAAAAATAATATTCAGAGTCTTCAACAGATGGCCTTGGTAGTGTAGTGCTGCAGTACTAATAGTTCCAAGTTTTGGTTGATCTGACATGACAGCATACATTTTATACACACTTAACTTAAAAAAACATTACATGTACATAAATGGGTAAGTAAAATCATTAGGGAAACAATTTATACAAGGGTTATTGTGTGTTGATTGGGCTATTTATTTATGGCTAGCAATGAAACATGACAGGTAGCAATCGGGGTCTCCAGCCTTGTCTAAAGTTATATATCATACCTCCATGTCAGAATGAGTGTGAAGCCTGTTTAATTGGCTTCATGTCCCATTGGCTTCCACCTATGTGTTCTCTGTCCATCGTGTTGTGACAGTATTATCCTTCTGTTGTCAACACTTACTCATGTTATCCCACTCATGTACGTTATTGTTGTTACTGTTAATCCTCCACCTACTATATATATTCTGTACAATGTTCCTCATTTACATGGGGCTTCTCCCTGAACTCGGAAAAAACTACAGGAATAGTATTTAAACACAAAAACATGAAACCCGCCTCCCAAAAACTCCAGCTAAACAACAAACCAATCCAATTCCTAAAACAAACCAAATTCTTAGGACTAATTTTCGATGAACATCTCTTCTGGGACGCTCACAGAAATAATCTAATAACTAAATGTAGCAAAGATCTAAATACGCTAAGATGCCTCACTGGCTCAAACTGGGGGGCCTCCAAAGACACCCTCCTCTCACTCTATATATCACTAATTAGATCTAAAATAGACTACGGATGTGCCATATACGACACCCTAAACCAATCCCTAAGCAAAAAACTAGACTCAATCCAATATCAGGCTCTAAAACTAATAACACGCACTCAACATGGCACCTCCTACACTTCACTCCAGGCCTTAACAGGAGAAATGCCACTAAGTCTACGTAGGGAACAATTAACCCTAAATTTCTGGGCCGCGTCTCAATCCAAGCCCCTAATTCAAAGCCTAATAAACAAAAATATAAGCCCAAAAAAACAAGCCCTAGCTCGAAAACACCCTCTACTTACTCCAATATCCCAAAGAATAACCAATTACTTAAATGAACACCAAATAAACAATCTTAAACAAAACTGTAAAAAATCAAATATCTTCACCCAAAAACTTAAAACACCCAAAATAGACATAACACTAGCTAGCACAATAAATAAACAAACCGACCCAAACATAGCCAAAACCACCACACTAGCATACATACATGAAAATTGGCCAAATTGGTGTCACATTTACACAGACGGATCCTCAGATCCGATCTCCAAACACACAGGTTTCGGAGTCCATATCACACAACCAACTAAAGCCACACAATCCTACCGACTCCCAAACAATCAATCAATATTCACGGCCGAACTAATGGGCATGGCCTCAGCCCTTCATAATCAACAATCTAAAAAAGAACAAAAAATCCTAATACTTACCGACTCGCTCAGTGGACTACAAGCCCTCCAAAATAAAAACACCAAAAATCACCCTGAACTAATAAATCAGATACTAAAAAGCTCAAATGATTTAACTAAGGCAGGCAAACAAATAGTATTCATTTGGATCCCCGCCCACGTAGGAATATACGGCAATGAAAACGCCAATAACGCAGCTAAACTATCCCTTAAAATCCCAGAAATAAGCTTAAACCTACCCATCTCCAAATCAGAAATTAAAAGTGTTAACAAACAAAAAATCACCAAAAAATGGCATAACCTATATCAAAACTCAAATAGCCAAATCAAAAAGGTTCTCAAAAAACCCCTAACCAAACCAAAAAATCTACATCCATCCAAAAAAATCGACAGAGTAATTACTAAACTCCAAACAGGACATACCAACCTAAATAACCACCTCAAAATAATAAGAAAACACGCAACAGGAACCTGCCCACATTGCAAACAACAAGAAACCCCAGAACACGCACTCATACACTGCACCCACTACCTAACACACCGAACTACACTACAAACCACCCTAAATCTAAATAGGGCTCTTACTCTAGAAGCAATCCTAAACCCACAAAATAAAATAGAAAAATTCAAAGCCTTAGGCGTATACTTAATCAAAACAGGACTAATAAATCGCATTTAAAACCCCAATAATCTACCAAAACCAGACCACATAATCAAACTAACAAACTTCCATACTCAGGTCCCTTAGTTCGTCCCCCAAACCCTCTTGGCATTTTTTCAAAATTTCAAAATTTCCAAAATTCTATTTTAGCAACCACAAAAACACCCCTACTGGATTGCCAAACAACTTTTTCCCCTTTTCGGAAACACATTAAATGGCTTGGCCGGGCCCGTGTGCGAAATACGCTGCAGTCGGAAAGCGCACGTAAAATCTCCAATATAAGTAAGTAAGTAAGTCCTCATTTACCCAGCTCCCTTAGTTCTCCTCCCCAACCCCACCGGCATCTATTCCAAATCTCAAAATTCCCAAATTCTATATAAGCAACCCCTAAAGCCCCCTCTTGGGTTGCACACACCACTTTCGCCCCTTTCGGAAACACATTAAATGGCCTGGCCGGGCCTGTGTGCGAAATACGCATCAGTCGGAAAGCGCACGTTAAATCTCCAAAGTAAGTAAGTAAGTAAGTCCTCATTTAGATTTGCTTGACAATGGTATAAGGATCTATACCGAAACGTCGCCTTTACAGAATTAAAGAAGTTATCCATAGATGGTTTCTACTTTGTCATCCGTCAACTTCTAAGTAATGCCTATCAAATAGAGCTGGGATGGGTAACTCGGGTACCCGGGTCCAATGGGTACTGAGTAGGACCCGGGTACCCACAGGACTACCCGGACCCGTGGTTAGTCACATGATATATTGTTTAATGACAAAAATTATCTAGAACTATATGGTTACACTAAAGTCACTAATGTTCGCATTTCTTTCTGACTATGCACCCATTCCTTCTGATTTTTCATATGGTTGAATAAAGACATAATGTAATTCAACTTCAGTGTATGAATGACCAGATTGTTTAATACATGTATCTAAATACGATTTGCCAGGGCAATGCTAAACAGGTTCCCAATCGGACATTTTGAGACATCTACTGAGATCTACAGTGGGCACCCGGGTAGGGTCGGGGAATAGGGGGGAGTACCCCGGTAGTAAATTTGGACTCGTCCCAGCCCTACTATCAAACAATTAAATTAATCTCAAATTGTTTAAAAATTGTGTGCCAGTAGTTCTGAATTTTAAGTGCACCCGTCCTTTTTCAAAAATCTGTAAAATACATCACATATAACCAAAGTTGTGAAATTCTATCTCACTGAAGTGGTATTTTTGTTATCAAATCTGCCTTTAATATACATGTCTTATACTTGAAATAAAAATGAGTACACTGCATACAGGGACATTCTGCCATGTCCCTCTCATTCGGGGAAAACTGTATGTACTGAAAATTGCATGGTGACTGCATTGCAATTCCATAAAATCTGCTTCACTCTAGTCTCGCATATGTTGGCAGCAAAGGGAGGTCACTCTATAAGTGACAATAAAAGCAAATTAATTCCTAAACAATGTTTCATAACTCTACATCAACTCAAAATTATTCCACTGAATTTACAACGAAAAGCCAAAACTGACGAGGAAACAAACTTACTTGTCTCTGACAATCCGAAGATGGCTGAGCTGTGTCCTCCATATGACCTTCATGATATTTGGGATGTCACAATTCTTAACTTGGTCAAGAACTGGTTGCCATGGGTTAGGATTGTCTCTTCTTGATGAAAAACTAGAATAACCAAATTAAAAAGAAATGTATACCTGAATAACTTTATTTACTCCATTTGCTCAAAAAGTATTAGAGACGAAACTTCTTCTCCATCCATACATAACATATATAAATAGTTGAATACTTTCAATATGGAGATAACATAATTGTGTTTTCGATGTGTTACAGCTAGGTTAACTATATAGCATTGGATCATAGGTTTCCGGACATCATACGTTTCCATCGGACATGCTAATTGCGATTACGCACCCTATAACAAGGGGTATGGCATCACACAAACATTGTAAATACTCTGAAGATGGCCTGTTTTTAAGATAAAGTGCGGGAAATGTTTTACGGTTGTTCTTGTGATTGCTGAAAAAACTACGAATGTTTCTTAAGTGTGATGAAAACTCTGGAACTGAACGTATAGTGTGAGGTTTCTTATGCGATATTTAGAACGATGTAAAAAATGTAGCTCATTACTGTGCTTAAAATTGAGGATATTTTGTCATTTAAGTTAAAAAATAATGTGTGTCCACAACAACACCTTGTAAGTCATTGGTTTAAATCTTCCCTATACCTGCTAATCAATGACTTGTACACCTTTGTTGATCCCTTGTCATCTCCAAGCAGGGCCTTCACCAGGGACAGATGGAGCAGCAAGACCTCACAAGACCCCACCAGTCTCTCTATCAGCTTCACACACCCCTCCAGACGATCCTGAACACTCTCTGTGGACAGAAGCAACAGTCAATAGACAGTGACACACACCCCTCCAGACGATCCTGAACACTCTCTGTGGACAGAAGCAACAGTCAATAGACAGTGACACACATCACTCCAGACAATCTGAACACTCTTTGTGGACAGAAGCAATAGTCAATAGACAGTGACACACATCCCTCCAGACAATCTGAACACTCTTTGTGGACAGAAGCAACAGTCAATAGACAGTGACACACATCACTCCAGACAATCTTAACTCTCTTTGTGGACAGAAGCAACAGTCAATAGACAGTGACACACATCCCTCCATACAATCTGAACTCTCTCTGTGGACAGAAGCAACAGTCAATAGACAGTGACACACGTCCCTCCATACAATCTGAACTCTCTCTGTGGACAGAAGCAACAGTCAGTAGACAGAGATACACACTGTGGACAGAAGCAACAGTCAAAAGGCAGTGACACAAATCTCACCAGACAATCTTGAACATGCTCTGTCATACCTATTATATCAAAAGTAAATATCTCACCCACTGCTGTTCCACTGTGGAAACACAGGAATGATTCCACAGCTCGAGTGGCGGAGATCATGGGACAGGAAGCATCCAGATAGGCCATGGCAGTGTTCCAGGTCTCGGCTGCTAACACTGCCTTTGCTGGGGTCATCGGGCTAGAAATTGTTGACACTATCATCAATCATTCATTTCTTGACAACACTTTTTACACTTGCACTCTATATGCAAAGTTCCAATCGTGAACAAGCAAGCTCTCATATCATCAGGCCTATAGCACAATGTCCTTGATAAGACAATAGTGAAGGTGGGTGGTGGTGATCTTCCCCAGGTAAGGGAGCTGACTGACTGTAAATGTCCAGTTTCCACCCTTGCCACACTTGGCTGGAATTATGGGGTTATATTTTGCCTGGACTATCAAGTCTGTGCATAGTCCAAACAAACTCGCACGCCAAAATTGACATCCGGTACCTCAACTGCAATGCAGATTTTGGTCAATTGCAGCATTTGAAAAGCACGTGTACACATCAATTTAGCATCAACACATATATTCCAAATCTTTTCATGTTTTTAATCAAGGTTCTCATATGATCTGATGCACTTCGCGAAGTGTGACGAGTTTTATTACAATAAAGATCTTGATTATTGATCAGATCGTCTTCACTGGGTGCCGCCAATTTGTTAGCAATGCAATGCAATGTGATATGAGAGGTGGAATCTGATTGGTCAATAGGAGGGACATAGAAGAGATATAACTCTTAACAGCCACTGGTGCCTCTCCGATCGAGCACCCGAAATTCCAGCTTTGTACGGCAATGGTGGGATCTGGACTCTTACAGTCAGTTAACTCCCAGCCTCGGAAAGATGGGTAGTGGTGTTAAGTTTGCATTTAAATTTGCCATGACTTTCCAGTACATTTGGAGAATGGGATCTCGAAATGGGCTAAACTACAGATGGATGAATGGCGTCAGATGCTGAAGTGAGATAAAGAGCGTACCCCTATTTTTAACCTGCAGATAGAGTTGTCCCCATATTTTACACATTTATCAGCCAATACTTGTACACCTACAGATTCATTGTGGGCCCTCTGAGGCATTAGCCAAAGAGAGTTCATGAACGAAACTGTTGCTGTATTGGCAGGAAAATATGGATGTAACTACCTATCCTGTATACCCAACACTAAATGATCAGCAAACACTGCTAAATTTACCTTTCCCTTTTAATGGGAGGTATTCACATCACAGATGTCTGACTGGCATTTTTAGAAGTTAATGACTAACAGTAAAGACAAGATATTTGATGGATGACAACTTCTTTATTCTGTTATGATGCAACTTTTCGGTAGAGATCTTTATACCATTATCCAGCAAGAGTCAGTCTGTACCAAAACATTGCATCATAATAAAATAAAGAAGTTATCATCCATAAAATATCTTGTCTTTACTGTCATATTACAGGTTACGAAACAGTTCTTTAAAACATAACATGCTTACATAAACAGCCGCTTTTGTTTTGGACTTATAAATTTCAGAAATTGTAATAAATCATTGATGCAATTAAATATATAATGGCAACATGAGAAAAGTATAGGTGCTTTAAACACCCTCACTTGTAGGTTAGAAAGAAAGGTTAATTGGCTAATTCACCTCTGTCAAAGAGACTGGATTTGGTTTAAATTTATTGAGCTGTTCTCCTCACTTACCCCTGGTCGTAGATGCTAGCCATCAGCATATATTTCTGCAGTATGAGATCGAGGCTGTGGGTGCTGGTGTCTCCATCTACTGCCCTCGGTGACTCCATGTAAAGACGGTAGGCTCTAGATGACTCATCATTCTGAGCATACAGCCTGGCAGCCTCATTCAAGATCATGGCTTTGTACGGCTCTGGGATAAAATATATTCTACAGGTTTTAATTATAGTTTACTCTTTCTCTATAGCCATAACACTGCCCCTAGAGATAGTAAAGGCTTCTATATAGCCATAACACTGCCCCTACAGATAGTAAAGGCTTCTCTATATCCATAACACTGTCCCTAGAGATAGTAAAGACTTCTGTATTTCCATAACACTGCCCCTTCAGATAGTAAAGACTTCTGTATATCCATAACACTTCCCCTAAAGATAGTAAAGACTTCCCAAGATACAAATTGTAACGAGTAAAATCATAAGAATCACAAGAACATCATATCAATATGTCCTGTCAACAAGGGCAGGACATCATATCAATATGTCCTGTCAACATGGGCAGAACATCATATCAATATGTCCTGTCAACATGGGCAGGACATCATATCAATATGTCCTCTTAACATAGGCAGGACATCAGATGAATATGTCCTCTCAACATGGGCAGGACATCATATCAATATGTCCTCTCAACATGGGCAGGACATCTGATGAATATGTCCTCTTAACATAGGCAGGACATCAGATGAATATGTCCTGTCAACATGGGCAGGACATCAGATCAATATGTCCTCTCAACATGGGCAGGACATCATATCAATATGTCCTCTCAACATGGGCAGGACATCTGATGAATATGTCCTCTTAACATAGGCAGGACATCAGATGAATATGTCCTGTCAACATGGGCAGGACATCAGATCAATATGTCCTCTCAACATGGGCAGGACATCAGATGAATGTCCTCTCAACATGGGCAGGACATCAGATTAATATGTCCTGTCAACATGGGCAGGACATCAGATGAATATGTCCTCTCAACATGGGCAGGACATCAGATCAATATGTCCTCTCAACATGGGCAGGACATCAGATGAATATGTCCTCTAAACATAGGCAGGACACCAGATGAATATGTCCTCTTAACATAGGCAGGACATCAGATGAATATGTCCTCTCAACATGGGCAGGACATCATATCAATATGTCCTCTCAACATGGGCAGGACATCTGATGAATATGTCCTCTTAACATAGGCAGGACATCAGATGAATATGTCCTGTCAACATGGGCAGGACATCAGATCAATATGTCCTCTCAACATGGGCAGGACATCAGATCAATATGTCCTCTCAACATAGGCAGGACATCAGATCAATATGTCCTGTCAACATGGGCAGGACATCAGATGAATGTCCTCTCAACATGGGCAGGACATCATATCAATATGTCCTCTCAACATGGGCAGGACATCAGATGAATGTCCTCTCAACATGGGCAGGACATCAGATCAATATGTCCTGTCAACATAGGCAGGACATCAGATCAATATGTCCTCTCAACATGGGCAGGACATCAGATGAATGTCCTCTCAACATGGGCAGGACATCAGATCAATATGTCCTGTCAACATGGGCAGGACATCAGATCAATATGTCCTCTCAACATAGGCAGGACATCAGATGAATGTCCTCTCAACATGGGCAGGACATCATATCAATATGTCCTGTCAACATGGGCAGGACATCATATCAATATGTCCTCTCAACATGGGCAGGACATCAGATGAATGTCCTCTCAACATGGGCAGGACATCAGATCAATATGTCCTGTCAACATAGGCAGGACATCAGATCAATATGTCCTCTCAACATGGGCAGGACATCAGATCAATATGTCCTCTCAACATGGGCAGGACATCAGATCAATATGTCCTGTCAACATAGGCAGGACATCAGATGAATGTCCTCTCAACATGGGCAGGACATCAGATGAATATGTCCTGTCAACATGGGAAGGACATCAGATCAATATGTCCTCTCAACATGGGCAGGACATCAGATCAATATGTCCTGTCAACATAGGCAGGACATCAGATGAATGTCCTGTCAACATGGGCAGGACATCATATGAATGTCCTCTCAACATGGGCAGGACATCAGATCAATATGTCCTCTCAACATGGGCAGGACATCAGATGAATGTCCTCTCAACATGGGCAGGACATCATATCAATATGTCCTCTCAACATGGGCAGGACATCAGATGAATGTCCTCTCAACATGGGCAGGACATCAGATCAATATGTCCTGTCAACATAGGCAGGACATCAGATGAATGTCCTCTCAACATGGGCAGGACATCAGATGAATATGTCCTGTCAACATGGGAAGGACATCAGATCAATATGTCCTCTCAACATGGGCAGGACATCAGATCAATATGTCCTGTCAACATAGGCAGGACATCAGATGAATGTCCTCTCAACATGGGCAGGACATCAGATGAATATGTCCTCTTAACATGGGCAGGACATCAGATGAATATGTCCTCTCAACATGGGCAGGACATCAGATCAATATGTCCTCTCAACATGGGCATGTGAAGACTTTGGGTGACCTGATCAAGGACAATCACTCACAGAAAACCGAATCCAAAGGTTAGATCCATCCTGCAGTAATCCTATAGCTTGATTTCAAACTTCTTGGTATAAGCTTTGATCACAAACAATGATGATTTGAACTGACTGTTGCATTATTGTCGAACGCAATGTATAGCCAAATGTTGCAAGATGAACTGCATGCTGCATGCTTTCTCATGGTAAAGTGACTTTCACCAATTTCTCATTCGCTTTGGTTATGCAATGGCAGATAATCGCGTTAAATATCCACAAAGACATCAGTATTTTCAATTTCTGTTCAACAGTAATAGATTCAAGTTGTGTGTTTGAATTTAGTGTTTGACAGCGGCTTGTTGTGTCCAAACAATTTACTATTGATGTACTGTCGCAGAGTCAGGTTTACTTTCGATTCGTAGGCTTAGTTTAATCAAGGCACTAAAATATCCTCTAGAGTCTAAACTTTGGACGAGAAGTATAGTTAGGAAGTCAACATGGGCATGACATCGTAGGAGTAGGGGGGTGATTTACCTCATATACTTAAATATAGATACATGCATGCACAGATTTTCAGTATGTCATTTGTTGTAACCATATATATATTTGGATAAGGAATCCATTTAGAGATTCAGCTTCTTGAACATCAGATAAGATATCCTACAGTTCAGAAGTTGATAATAATAATAAGTTCAATTATAATGCGCCAGATTCCATTCACCAAGTGGATGCTCATAGCGCTACACTATTATTACCCCGGTCAATGGATCAATGAGCTCTCAGCTCCCTGGGGAGTATACAACCCAAGCTGCCTGTGAGGTGCTAGAAGGTTGACAGCTGAATTACCATCTCATCCTACCAGGTACCCACTCACTTCTGGGTGAACAGAAACACATTTAGAACAGAGTCACTTGCCTGTGGAGACACCACATGTGGTACATGTGCTTCAGTGTGGGGCAGGACCGAAGCCCTAGAAACTCTCAGGAGTCAAGCTGCTTAACGTGGTCACCCATCCATCTACTCTTCGAGACCAACGTTGCTTAACTTCACCTGATTTGTGATCTGTGCGCTGTGCACAGGACCATGTGTATTCAAAGGTTACAAATTACAAAAACAAATGTTGACCCTTTGTTTTAGGACCAATGCGTATACATCCTAGATACTAATTGGAAAAGGCTGACCTCAATTATGATTGAATAACTTGATCAGACTTGAAAGACATATTTGGTGGAATCATCGATTCATTGGATACCAGAAGATATCCCATTACAGCAGCCCATGTAGTTCTCCAAGTTGAATCTCACCTTCCTCCATGGTCTGTGCAAGCCTCATGAAACATTCCGCAGCAAGGCTGATGTTCCCTCGAGCCCAGAACACATAGGGAAGTGCTCTATCAAACAAGTACTTGTAAATCTTGGGGTACCTGGAACAAAAGTGGGAGAGAATGGGGTGGGGATATTGCTTCAGTGCTTTGTCACAACACTTTCTTGTCACTGGCAAAACCAGTAGAAACAGTAGGATGCTTGCAAATGTAACTCATCTTCTGAAATTCTAAAACAGGTATTTATGAACACACCTATCAGATCAAAAACACTGGACATGGTCAAGTGTGGTGGTCCAGGGTGGTGGTCTAGGGTGGTAGTCTTAGATGGTGGTCTGAGGTGGTGGTCCAGGGAGTAGTATAGGTAATAGGGGTTCTGGCTCACTTCAACTGGAGCCAGATTTATATACCTATACTGCTACTACAGATGGAATTTGTTATGTAAAAATGATGATGCGATTCAACAATCATCATGAGACTAATTAAAAGAAACATCAATATTAATTAATAATGAATAAAATTTACTATAGCCCACGAGGATATTGGAAAGGTATAGGAGCAATAAAAAAATTAGCCACCGCGGCTAAGGTATCTAAAGATGTGGCCAAGGATTGGTTAAAGAAACAAGCGATGTGGCAAATATACTTACCGGCACCGCGTTATATACCGAGGAAGAAGTTTGATATTTTAACAACGAATGAAGTTTATCAGGCTGACCTCTTGTTTCTTCCCCATGATAAGGTAGGACGCAAAACGTATAAATACGCTTTGACCACAGTGGATGTGGCTAGTCGATACAAAGAGGCTGAGCCATTAACCTCAAAACCTCAACAGATGTAGCTAATGCACTGAGTCGCATATATAAACGCGAACCACTAAAATGGCCTAAGCTATTTCAAGTAGATCCTGGTCGCGAGTTTATGGGATCAGTAACTAAACTGTTAACAAAGCACGATGTCGAAATCAGGCGTGGTGAAAAGAGGCCCACCGTAGTCAAGCTATCGTCGAAAAATTTAACCGGACATTAGTGGAATGTTTGTTTGGCTATCAGTATGGGATCGAAATGAAATCGGAACGATTGAGATCAACCGAATGGGTGACACGATTATCAGCTGTTGTATCAGCGCTGAATAATGAAGTAACGGGATTAATCGGGAAGAAACCATCTGATGCGATTAAAATGAAATCCGTGATTTCCAAATCTTCAGCACCGAGGAGAGGCAAAGAACAAAAACTTCCGGGTAGAGTAAGCGTAAGATATTTATACCAGCCCGGTGAACTCGAAGGAGGCCTACGTCGCGCAACCAATCCAATTTGGTCCCTTAAGACATATAACATTAGTTGATTGGTTACGAAAGGAGAGCCTATTCTTTATTATCTTAAAGATGGACCGGGCAGGGCATTTGTACGAGAAGAGTTGCTCATAGTTCCCGACGATACAGTATTACCACCCTAAATAACCATAAGCATAGGTAGTTACACCATCCTTATCAATCCATCTCTTTGTTTCTAAGGGGGATAATGATGTCTTGTTCATTCTTAATTCATATATCCTGTGATTGTAACTTCTTAAAGAGTTCATCTCGTGTTTGAATGTTCTACCCTTGAATAATGCTTCTTTATACTGTTCGTGTTTGATATGCTTTTTCACCACATACCCCTACACAGCTGCGTTTTTTGGAAAAAAAGTGCGCACTATACTCAAGAAAATACGGTACTTCTTAACACCCTTAGCTTTTCTTATCTCTCCATTATCGGACTTCTTTATAGAATACATCTTAGGTCTTAATCCGACATACTCCGCTATAGGAGTCCCAGCACATTCATCCTTCATCTTACCTAACAGCTTTTTATTTACTACGCTGTGCAGTGGATTATCTTTTGGGTAATCGCTTGTGTCGTACATATCTATTTTTTCTGGCATATCTTTATACACATCCTCGGTTTGTATTTCCATCAACAAAGAATCTGTGTCGGTATATAACACCTCGCATCTATCGCCGTATTGCTTCTTAAGTTCGTTGTAATAAAAGTCATACATTAAGTGTTTTGACAAGTCAAGAATACTCATACCGACGTACACCGGCCTGTTGAACTTTATATTACTCTTCTGCATATGCAACGCGGCCAAGTCGTTATCAAATATCTTGCTTCTGTTAAAAGCCGGACTGGCTATAAGTTTCCTGAGTCTTTCTTCCACATTAGACCTGACTAATTTAACATCAACACGCTTCCTTAGATTCTCCATAGTTTTACCAAATACTGAGTTATTCATGAGCTTATATAGGTTCTTTTCAAAATTGCTGGTAGCTATCTTTCTTAAATCTGTGTTCAACCTTATATAGGGCTCCATCCAAGGGCTTTGATCAAACTTTAGAACTCTGTGTATTTTCTTTAGTTTCATACCTAACGATAGATATAACTGAAATTTCTGTAGTGAACTATACATTTTGTCTTATCCATCAAATTTGGTACAAGTTTTTCTACGTTAGCTAACCTAGTATTACCCATCAAGGAGTGTTGATATTCCGACATCCAATCTTTATTAACCATTAATCTTTCGGGAGCTAGCGGATAACTGTTATGGTCTTTATGTAACGAATTTGGATATTCCAAGTCAACTTCTAGTATGTACCCTTTATTCACATTGATATTATGGATATCATTCACTTCGACCATCTCAAAACCACCCGTGGGTAAAGGTTGACTCATAGCCCATCCGTACAAATTGTTGGCGTCGAGATATAATATATGCGTGTCGGGTTTACTCGGATCATATCCTTCCACTAATTTATTATTAGCCTTAGAATACCTTTTCAAGAAACTAAAAAGGTGGACCAATATAAGTGCTGCGAGAAGAAATACTCAGACAATAATAAATAGAAAAGGCCACATTATACCTGATGGGTATTACAGTGTATCCTCACTCAATGATGAATTTTTTAAGCCTTTGGGAGTTAGTCTCACACAAAATGAATCGAATGGGATGCTGATTTTAAACTCTTGAGAAAAGCAAGTAATTCTTGTCCGGAACATAGCAGATACACTTGGACTTGCACGCGGAGGAGTAATACCACCCAACAAAACAGTGCATGGAGTTAAATTACCCGATTTAGTTCCCTATAAAGAGTTGTGCATCCATCTTGATCAGATAAGTACGACGGATAATATTCAACTAGAAAGTCCTTCAACTCTACTCAGAGCTGTTCCAGTCAAAGATGAAAAATACAATAGCGGTAGAACGGAATCTTTCTCATCATTACAATATAAAAAATTAAAGCGTGGTATTATTTCAGATCTCAAAATTTCTGTATTAGATGTAAAACATCAACCTGTACATATAGGATACTTGAGTGTAACACTCCATATTATAAATAATGGTTGATTCATCAGGCCCTGGAACGCTCAGACAATGTAATACAATTGCGCTTTCCGATCTCGGAGACACAGAAGGATTCTGTAAACCCGGTACCGATGGTAAGTTATACGCTTTACACTTACAAGATAATGTATACAAGCGGAAAGAAGTTACATTCACAGGTAATCTAGGAGATTTAAGCAAGTCGACGTTAGTAGACTCCATAAAAACACTTCGTATAATCTTACCCTCAACGATGATAATAAATGGACTATGATCGAAGCAAACATCGAGTGCCTACTGAATATTGTCATTACCCCACCGTATGTGATGATGGGTAAGGCACATAATTTAACTAAGATATTAAAAATAGTGGGGTCGTACTCGGGGCTTATATCCCATCAAAACGAAAAAGTGTGTTAGTCACCCCCCTGCCAGAAAACCCAGGTCATATGTTATATAGTCGTCCGGCATCAAAAAATGTTAGTTTAAATTTGATTACTGAATTCAATGATATTAAACAGAACTTGAGTGCAATACCTAATCTTTCTACGCTTATTATTGAAGTCTTGTTCGGAGATGCACCGGAAGATGCCTTTGAAATATTACCAGGTCTATCGATTAAATGGCTAAAGAAACACCAACGTCAATGTTGCAGTATTATTCATATTGGAGCATCACCCATTGCAACCCTTGAGGGGGTCCAAATTATTAAAAGTGACAGCATTTCTCTTACTAAGATATTCATGCGGTATAATATACATTTGATAAGGTTGATGTATACTCTCAAAACATTTAAGCAAGACCAATTAAAGACTATTATATGATATAATAATATGGATTTATATCCAGCGCTCGATTATGTTGATGAATTTCGATTACATCAAATAAGCGACATAAAATATCGAATAGAGAAGGGGAGGGAGTTGAGACTTGGATTGTATAAAAAGTATCGCCGAGCCGTGAATGCTCTCGACGGAGTTGACACCGCGCTTGTAACAGCTGGCATGGGACTCGGTGTAGCCGGTGTTAGTTTATTATCAACTATAATCGCCGCGCCTATCGTGCTTGGCATGCAAATAGCCGCCGGAGTCTCAGGACTGGCAGGAATAGCGATAAAATTCATTTCTCGTAAGTTGCAAAAGAAAGCATTAAAACACGATTATAATCGGATACTCGCCGAAGCAAAGTTGCACAGCATTGAGGATCATATTTCAACAGCGATGGCTGATTGTAAGATATCTGAAGAGGAGTTTCGTTTAGTGTTGTCAGAACCAGTGGTATTAGTAGCGAAGACGAGGAAAAAAAGTTCATAGAACAGGGGAGACAACAATTAATCCGTGTCAAAACCAACATTTAGAAGAATGCTTACATAAATATATAATAATGAATTTAGTTTAATCTCATGACGACCGTTGAATCACATCATCATTTTTGCATAAAAAATTCCATCTGTAGTAGCAGTATAGGTATATAAATCTGGCTCCAGTTGAAGTGGTGGTCTAGGGTGGTGGTCTAAGATGGTGGTCTAAGGTGGAAGTCTGAGATGGTGGTGGTCTAAGGTGGTAGTCTAAGATGGTGGTATAGGGTGGTGGTTTAAGGTGGTGGTCTAGGGTGGTGGTATAGGGTGGTGGTCTAACGTGGTGGTCCAAGGTGGTGGTCTAGGGTGGTAGTTTAAGATGGTGGTCTAAGGTGGTGGTCTATGATGGTGATCTAAGGTGGTGGTCTAAGTTGGTTGTGTAAGGTGGTGGTCTAAGATGGTGGTCTAGGGTGGTGGTATAAGATGGCCGTCTAGGGTGGTTGTCTACCGTGGTGGTCTTACGTGTCGGTCTAAGGTGGTGGTATAGGGTGGTTGTCTAAGGTGGTGGCCTAAGATGGTGGTATAGGGTGGTTTCTAATGTGGTCGTCTAAGGTGGTGGTCTATTGTGGTAGTCTAAGATGGTGGTGTAAGGTGGTGGTTTAAGATGGTGGTCTAAGGTGGTGGTCTAAGGTGATGGTCTTTGGTGGTGGTCTTTGGTGGTGGTCTAAGGTGATGGTCTAGAGTGGTAGTCTAAGATGGTGGTCTAAGGTGATGGTCTAGGGTGATGGTCTAAGGTGATGGTCTAGGGTGGTGGTCTAAGGCAGTGCACATAATTCCTTTGTCATAAGCTGACCAGTGGAGCCAGTTATGATTCAGGTGTATATACATATATATCACCGTTTCCTGAATTTGTCCCTGACAGAGGAGACCATGGTATCAGTGGTTTTCTGGAGGAGCTGGGACTCCGATCTGCAGTTTTGGGACGATTGACTGAGACGGCCGACAGAAATATGCTCAGGTAGCATACTCTCTATCACACTCGCCACCACTGTCAACAAACAATGTTAACAACTATCATTACTAAATGTTATCATTTCTATCTCTCACAACCACTGTCAACAACACCGTTAACAACTGTTATCATTTCTATCTCTCACGACCACTGTCAACAACTCTGTTTACAACTGTTATCATTTCTCTCTCTCACAACCACTGTCAACAACACCGTTAACTGTTATCATTTCTATCTCTCACAACCACTGACAACAACTCTGTTTACAACTGTTATCATTTCTCTCTCTCACAACCACTGTCAACAACACGGTTAACAACTGTTATCATTTCTATCTCTCACAACCACTGTCAACAACAATGTTAACAACTGTCATTACTATATGTAATAATTTCTATCGCTCACAACCACTGTCAACAACTCTGTTTACAACTATTATCATTTCTCTCTCGCACAACCACTGACAACAACACCGTTGACAGCTGTCATCCTTTCTATCGCTCACCGCCATTGTCAAAAGCAATGTTAACAACTGTCCTCCTTTCTATCACACTCACCACCACTGTCAACAACACTGTTAACAACTGCCATCATGTCTATCACACTCACCACCACTGTCAACAACAATGTTAACAACTGCCATCATGTCTAACACACTCACCACCACTGTCAACAACACTGTTAACAACTGCCATCATGTCTATCACACTCACCACCACTGTCAACAACAATGTTAACAACTGCCATCATGTCTATCACACTCACCACCACTGTCAACAACACTGTTAACAACTGCCATCATGTCTATCACACTCACCACCACTGTCAACATCAATGTTAACAATTTCAATAATTTCTATCACACTCACCACCACTGTCAACAACTGCCATCATGTCTAACACACTCACCACCACTGTCAACAACAATGTTAACAACTGCCATCATGTCTATCACACTCACCACCACTGTCAACAACAATGTTAACAACTGCCATCATGTCTAACACACTCACCACCACTGTCAACAACAATGTTAACAATTGTCCTCCTTTCTATAACACTCACCACCACTGTCAACAACAATGTTAACAACTGCCATCATGTCTATCACACTCACCACCACTGTCAACAACAATGTTAACAACTGCCATCATGTCTAACACACTCACCATTACTGTCAACAACAATGTTAACAACTGCCATCCTTTCTATCACACTCACCACCACTGTCAACAACAATGTTAACAACTGCCATCATGTCTAACACACTCACCACCACTGTCAACAGCACTGTTAACAACTGTCCTCCTTTCTATAACACCCCCCCCCCCCCCCCCCCCCCCCACTGTCAACAACAATGTTAACAACTGTCATCCTTTCTATCACACTCACCACTACTGTCAACAACACTGTTAACAACTGTCCTCCTTTCTATCACACTCACCACCACTGTCAACAACACTGTTAACAACTGTCCTCCTTTCTATCACACTCACCACTACTGTCAACAACACTGTTAACAACTGCCATCATGTCTATCACACTCCCCACCACTGTCAACAACAATGTTAACAACTGCCATCATGTCTAACACACTCACCATTACTGTTAACAACAATGTTAACAACTGTCCTCCTTTCTATAACACCCCCCCCCCCCCCCCCACTGTCAACAACAATGTAAACAACTGTCCTCCTTTCTATCACACTCACCACTACTGTCAACAACACTGTTAACAACTGCCATCATGTCTATCACACTCACCGCCACTGTCAACAACAATGTTAACAACTGCCATCATGTCTATCACACTCCCCACCACTGTCAACAACAATGTTAACAACTGCCATCATGTCTAACACACTCACCATTACTGTCAACAACACCGTTAACAACTGTCCTCCTTTCTATCACACTCACCACTACTGTCAACAACAATATTAACAACTGTCCTCCTTTCTATCACACTCACCACCACTGTCAACAACACTGTTAACAACTGCCATCATGTCTATCACACTCACCACCACTGTCAACAACACTGTTAACAATAATTGTCCTCCTTTCTATCACACTCACCACCACTGTCAACAACACTGTTAACAACTGCCATCATGTCTAACACACTCACCACCACTGTCAACAACACTGTTAACAACTGCCATCATGTCTATCACACTCACCACCACTGTCAACAACACTGTTAACAACTGCCATCATGTCTATCACACTCACCACCACTGTCAACAACAATGTTAACAATTATCATCCTTTCTATCACACTCACCACCACTGTCAACAACACTGTTAACAACTGCCATCATGTCTATCACACTCACCACCACTGTCAACAACAATGTTAACAACTGTCCTCCTTTCTATCACACTCCCCACCACTGTCAACATTATTGTTAACAATTGTCATCCTTTCTATCACACTCACCACCACTGTCAACAACACTGTTCACAACTGCCATCATGTCTATCACACTCACCACCACTGTCAACAACAATGTTAACAACTGTCCTCCTTTCTATCACACTCCCCACCACTGTCAACATCATTGTTAACAATTTCAATCATTTTATCACACTCGCCACCACTGTCAACAACAATGTCAACAAAAAATGTCAAGTCATATCACATGGCAGAGATTTCTTTTTTACCAACCAAGCTTAATAAACTGATGATGACATGAACACAAATAAGAAATTGCCCTTGAAGAAAACACCTACCTGATACAAAGGCAGGGGGGTTAAGGAAAACCATACTCGTCTGAACTTGATAGCACTGATTTGTGAAGAGCAATACTGATGAATCTGGTTCTCCAAGCCAGTCATAGGATGATATAAGTTCGGAATCAAAACCTCTGCTGTTCCAGATGTTCCTGCACGCCATGTTCCTCCCAATATCAGATATTTCCAACTCCTCATCAGTATGTTCAAAGTAATACAACAGTTGAAGCAGCCATGATTGTTGGATATTCATAAGCGCCAGATCTGCCTGTTTATAACATAACACATCCTTCATCGCAGGGGAGACATAGCACATTTTAGATAATTTTGAAAATGATTGCTTGATTGTCAAAGCATCTAGACAAAGATTAAACAAGGTTGGGATATTTCGAACATGTGACCTTGAAATTTTATTTGAAATACCCAGAAATTCAAAAAAGTCATTGTCAATGATATCAATATTTTGGAATGGAAAATCAAATGTCGGCTGTAAGCTCTTCAGTTTATTTCTCCATCGTCTTTTTTGTTTCTTGCTACGGCCTTGTTTCCGTTCATTGTAATGACGCTCTGACTGTGAGTCAGTTGAGGGTGTGATGTGGATGGTGGGGGAGTTCTCCTCCATCGTGGTCCCTGGCTGCCGGGCATCTGTGGTGCCCACACTGAGATCCTGGAATTCAACATACTCACTGGAGTCTGTCAGGCTCACTGACTCCTCTGCTGAAAAATATTCCAGTTCATCTTGAGAGTTATCTCCCCTTTGAGCCATTTATCCTGGACTGGCGCTTGAATAAGCAGCCCCAGTTTTGTCTTGTACTGCACAGATGCTCACCCAAGACACAGGACACTGAAATAGATTTCATGTGAAGTAGGGCTGGGCTGGGATGGGTAACTCGGGTACCCGGGTCCGGTGGGTACTGAGTAGGACCCAGGTACCCACAGGACTACCTGGACCCGTGGTTAGTCACGTTATTTAAGAATATTGACTTTCACTTTGTGTGAGTTCATTGGAGTATGAACTTTCATAGAGTGGGGGCCAAACTGTATGAACGTCGGAGCTCACTCTATGAAGGTTCATACTCCAATGAACTCACACAAAGTGAAAGTCAATTCTTATAATTTTTGTATCACAATTTCTTACCTCAAAGTATGTAGGCCAAGGTCTAAACACAATTTTATTTAGTAGGCATGACTTCACGTTTACACTGACAGCCATACAACAACCAGCTATATCGCGGAGTAAAAATAGTTCCTCAAAAAGAGAGGTGACATAAGCGTATGGATGCACAATTTGCTCTTCAGAAACATCTTACGCAGCACATGTGCTCAAATCATATCCTCATTAGATGAGAAAGTTCTGTAAAGCACTCCCTCAGTTAGTCAGTCACAATGACAGCGCGTCGTAATACATTTACATCAAGTAGGCCTACAAGACGTCAAAATGGCCGACACAATAAACGTGACGGGAGAGATTTCCGAAGTTTTAATGAACCTGTGGCGGTTACATGTGTTAGTCATCATTGCTCAACTGGCCGATCATTGAAAGGTGAATAAAGATGCGTCAAACAGACACTAAGGTAAATTCATAGATTGCTGGAGACGGTCAGTGTCAGCCGAAGACACGGATCGAGTCGATACTACGATAGGTGTGCATTTCTTCGTTTGTACATTAGGATAGGCCGTAGCGAGGATATTCGTAAACAATCATGCAGTCACGCTCTCTGACATTTCTCAATGTATACTGAAACGCGGAGACCAAGAATAAAGGTTCTAAATGATCAGAAAGAACACTTATGTATGTTTTCGTGCTTGGGAATTCCCAGGGGTTTCCCCAGGAATGTGGAAGTAGTCCGTCAGTGTTTACGTCATTTCAAGGACACGGTCTCGTGAAAAACGTATGAACGTCAAATTGAGTCGTTCATACACTTAGGAACGCCGATTTCGCTGTCATGTGACCGACCTCTCGTCCAATGGAAAAGCCGTATATCGTGTAAACTTCAAATTAAAATATCATTTAAGGATTGACTGTGTAGCGGATTCTTACAAAAGTTTGCACATCTGTTTTTCGATTCATACCTCAATGAACCGAAAAAAATATACAGTCAATGCTTATAATTTAATTCGACAATGTAAAACATGTTTTATCTACAATAGTTTAACCAAAAACAGTTGCATATATCAAAACGGACAAAAATGACCACATTGATAAACATTCCAGGTGTAGGAATACATACAGTGGCTTGACATGAATCAGGTGATCGTTTAATTTATGCACATAACTTGACACGCCTACACAGTCAGTAGCCAATCAACGGGGGGTGGGATTAAAACAATGTTCATTGGACCTGTCAATTAAGGCAAGAGGCGAAAAGAACTGCAACAGTCAGACTGTAACGAACCGGAAGAAATATGTCCGAGAGAAGGCGGCTGTTTCAAATAACATGGTCATTTACTGCGTGATTGAAACATTACTTCCCTGATTACGGTAAAACACAGTTGGAGAAATGCTAGTTATAAATGAAACCTGAAGACATTAAAGTTGAACCAGGGCGAGCGGGAAAAAACAGGCGAGCGAGCCTGCATGTTTGCTGTTTCATTCATTCTCGGCCTTCGGTTTCAAAGGGTAGTTTGAACAATGAATATGCATGAAAGTCGCTAAATGTCCTTTGCATGACGATACACGTGAGCAGAAAGGGAATTCCTTCGACTGTAATATTGGGATTCCCCGACATTCCGCAGTAATAAAAGTAGTGCGCCGCGGTGGGCGTGGCTTAATTTTTTACATTCATTGGGAAATGAACACACTCCGTCGCAGTGGTGACTCAGCATAACACCACTGCCACAGGCTAATTTGCATATCACGTGACCGGACTTTTCTCTTGTTTGTAAACAAACGCGCTTTTTCAGAAATCAGTATAGAACAGACTAATGCAAGTATTTGGGGGCGCTTTACATATTGTTTTGCATAACTATATAGATATGCTACTACAACTGCGACAGTGAGTTGCATGACAATATATATTTATGCATCAAAGTGACCGTGTCGCTAGCTCTCCGTTGGGCTTCGATGACAGCACGTGGAGCCGTACAACCAATGTAAACATAGGATAACTACGCAAAATCAAGTAGATTTTTACGTATTTGCATACTTTCTCAATGAAAGTTAACCATTCTTTGACATTTGTTTATGAAAATGTGTAGACTTGTCAAACATGAAACGGATGAAAAGCATATGCAATATCTTGAATGGACTGTGAAAGATGTGACGAATCGTCACATGGCGCTGGCCTGTGGCAGAGGTACTATGCTAGCTGGCTGCCGGCCGCATGGAACTCTGGGTAGGAGAGTGGGAAATGAATTCAATAACACGTGACCAATTCAGCTAATCAGAATGCAGGAATTTCCATGAACACAACAAAAATTTAATAATATATTGTTGAATGACAAAAATTAACCCTATGGTTACACTACAAGTCACTAATGTTCGCATTTCTTTCTGACTATGCACTCATTCCTTCTGATTTTTCATATGGTTGACTAAACATATAACTTTAATTCAACTTCAGTGTATGAATGACCCTTATTTTTTAATACATGTATCTAAATACGTTTTGCCAGGGCTATGCTAAAAATATGTTACCAATCGGACATTTTAAGACATCTCCTGAGACCTACAATGGGTACCCGGGTAGGGTCGGGTTATAGGGGGATGTGTACCCGGGTAGTAATTGTGACTCGTCCCAGCCCTAATGTGAAGGAATGACACCAGTACTTTGATAGCTTGATAGAAATTCACAGATATCTTGCAAATTACACACTCAAGTAAACTTTTAAGTTCTCTTGTTACACAAAGCATGTACACCAAAGCAGTTTATGAAGTACATATGATATGAGGGCTTACTCAGGGAAGTCAAACCAGAGACCATATAATCTATTATATGGTCTCCGGTCAAACTAAAGGATTGAGCAGTAATGCATACATAAATAACTTTTGGAGGGGGGATAAGTCTTTCTCATTACCGTAGTACCTGCATGTGCACACAGCGACACCAGTGGGCCCACCACTGGTCATTAGGGCTGGGACGAGTCCAAATTTACTACACGGGTACCCAACCCCCTATTATCCGACCCTACCCGTGTACCCGCTGTAGGTCTCAAGAGATAAGTACAAAATGTCCGATTGGGAAACGTTTGACCGTACTCCTGTCAAAATGTATTTAGATACAGGTATAAAATGACCTGGTCATGCATACACTGAAGTTGACTGAAGTTTCATCTTTATGCAAACATATAAAGTCGGAATGAATGTGAACATTTGTCACTTATATTGTAACCATAGAGTTCTAGATAATTTTTGTCATGAAACAATATAATCACGTGATTAACCACGGGTCCGGGTAGTCCTGTGGGTACCCGGGTCCTTCTCAGACCCGAGTACCCGAGTTACCCGTCCCAGTCCTGCTGGTCATGCACACTGACATTGAATTGAAAGTAAACAGCTTCAGGAACAGTTTGCTGTTTAAATGAAACTGTACTCACGAAAAGTTGATATGGACTTTCAGACATGCGATTGAGCAATAACGACGTGTATGCTAATCCATACAAGGGGCGTTTAATCTGATGATACGGCATTGTTTACAAAGGGAGGGCATGCTCAGGTAACAACGTGATTGCTTGCCACTAAAACTTTTCTTTAACGTTTTCTCTCTTATCTGTTGTGACGTGTTGATACTGTTGTCGATTTTATCTTTAGACTTCACTGACCATCGTTGTTGTTTTTCATTACATACGTTCTTGCTAGCGGAAACGGTATTTCACTCCTGAGACAAATCTAAGAAATTGCGCAGTACATTATTCTGAAGTGAAAATGTTCAGAAGATGCACAAATTGGCTAAAACGGAACTTAGACCTAAGTGTGTTTAATAAATTGTTTATGTGATTTCGTAACATGTAATTAAGATAATTATTACATGTTTAGGCGAGCTACGAGAGGAAACTGACAAACTGCCACGGGTGAATTAATAGTCGTCCTCTATTATGCATCATTATTATATCTCTAATATGGTATTTACGCTAGGTATAGATGGTCAATGGTATGAGTCTGAGAGTCTGTTCGTGTCATAGTATTCAAAACTAACAAGATTGTATTTAATGTCAGTTATTACAGGTAAGAACGTAATATTCGCTGTTTGGGGTTATTATTCCGACAAAACAGGTTAAAAGAAAATATAGGTATACGTAACAACTGAGATTATAAATGTGAAGCTAAAACATATTTATAGAAAAATAGTGACTGACGGGAGAATCATTCGTCATATTTACATACGAAGCATTTGCAAGTGGGGCGTGACCAGTTGAAAGAGGATAAAGGCGACAGATAACTATCCTATAGCTACCTATTCAGCTGTAACGGACACGCGTACCATTATGTATTGCCAACTATTCCACTTATCATCACACTTCTCGCAAAGACAGGTAAATCGGTTTGTTTTTTTGTTTTTTCCCCGTGTGTTCAATTCCAAGACAAGCATATTATTTAAAGATATAATGAATGTAAAATTGAAAAATGTTGGCTGAGAATGTTGTGTGGTAACATTTGCAAACATTATGTTAAAATCGGTGTATGTTGTCTGTGTTGAATAGTATGATATGGATGAAGTTTGTTAGATGGCAAGTATTGTCTATATGCTGGGTGGTAAACAACCTGCTATAACCACTTGGTCAGATTGAGTTCCCTATTACAGAGATGGGTCTTCGGGTATGAATATATAAATATTTCGAGCCATTATTTCTTGGACTTATGTGAAGCTATTGGTTTCTGTGTCAAATAGTACAATCATATAATGGTGCCGTTCCCGCAAACGAAATCTTTCCGTTTCCATCGCGAAAATATGACCTTTTAGTTAGATCTGATGCCATACATTTCTGTGTGGAGAGTTGTGTCCAGTAAAATATCTGAGTTCCGCTTCCATGGGATAATTTGCAACTGAGGGTAGGGATTGTGTACAATGCCACACTCATAAACCTTTCAGCATTTCTCTCAGGAAAGTAAGAACGTGTATCTTAACATTTTGAAAACAGATCTGAAGTTTAACTTTCTGTATTTCGTTTAAAATATTTGTACGAATATTGGGCTTTTGTGTAAACATCAAACAAGTAAGTAAATGAAGGTGCCTATTATTGTTTGGGGAACTTTATCCAACTCACTTCACATTCATTGTCCACCTATATATTCGGCATCTTATGTGAAGGTCGAGTGTTAATAATCAACTCAAGAGTACATTGTATTGGAAATTCTACCATGACATTGATGAATGCTTGATTCTGATTGGTTAAAAACAGGTTTCCTTTTTGCTACGGAAACCCCTTTCAAATATATTAAGCCTTTTCACAAAAAAACGTGCGTATGAATACATAGATAGCCTACATATCGATTCATAAAAAAATGGCTGCCGATCGATCACCGCCATATGAACTGTAAAACATATCTGTATTTCCTCTAATACACGCTGGGTCTCTAATACCAGTCAGGTCTCTAATACACGCCGAGTCAAGGGCTCTCGCGAAATTAATAGACGGCGTAGTGTCAAATAGAGGAAATACGGTAGTTTGTATCGGATGTTTGGGGCGTTCTAGGCCGCAACCCTGACTGCTTCGGTGATGACATTAAAAGATTTAACGAAGGCATATCTTTTGCATACAAATGAAATGTTTATGAAACTGTTAGAGAAATGTTCTATGGTGACCAGAATCGGAACAATTTAAGCTATTTCCTCATTGAAACAACCGACAATGAAAGTAAAATATAACATTATAAAAATTGTTTGAAAAAACTTCATTCATGACAACCACCACCGTTAGAATTTGTCAGGAGGGGATTTGAAAGTCCATCAGAAAGCACTCCCCTTCGAAAACAATGTCCAAACTGAAGTGACAGCTTATCAAACTTGATGAAATTCATTTCAGAACACGCACAATTAAGAACATCATACACGATCCACTATTTCTGGGACACAAATGTCTATGTTCTGTCACTATTTGGCCGACAAAGCGCTCGGTTCAAAATTATATTAAAGAGGTATCTATTCTACAGTGGGACTGCATCAAATTTTAAAACACACTAGGTTTATCTCCTAAATGAAGGGATTGTTTCGGTATTTTTTCCAAACATAATTGTACTGATGACTTTTGATTTTGATACTCTGTACCACAAAGGCAGAGTGAGCGTTAAACACACAAACATAGAAATTGTTTGAATGCTCCATTAAAAAAGTATTGTAATGACTGAAAAACATTTCGTTTCAAACAAATTATTCCATACCATCTCCACACACTCGTGTAGCTCGGGGTGACGGAATGAACCGAGTGCTGACGAATGGAGAGTTCGCTGATGGCAGATAGTTTTACGTCACAATCGCCTGACGTCATAGAAAGAAGACGTCACAGCAAAAGCCATCGCGCTTCTATACAAGACGTGTTTTCGAGTCCGATGTATTTTCCAAACAGAAATGGCAAACTGGTGGTTTCTCGGTGATGTTATAAGCACAACAATAGAAGAAGACTTTGGTGAGTTATTTAAAAAACGTATCCTTGACAAACATATGATAAATTAGTCTTATTGAAGATGAACTAGGTATTGTTTGGAAGCAAATATGTTCAAATGTCTTAGTGTGTCAGAATGGAAGTATTGTGTGTTGCGATCTGTGATGGATAAAACTGTTTCAACAGGTGAACGCATTAAGAATATGTATAATTCTTTTAAAAAAACGTTGTTTGAAATGCATTAACAATTCCTAATAATGGACAGTTTCTCTCATCCCAAAGAATCACGAGACACGTAATTAGTCAATTTTTGGTCTCTCTCTACGTTAAATAGTACAAGGATATAAAATGCCGTTTCCTGTTTATGTTCCAAAGATTTAAACTTCCATACGGATACATAATATCTGTAAAAGTAAATACATCAAGTCTATGTTATCGCTTTTCGAACAGCTATTTGGAAACGATATGAGTTTTTTTTATATACATGTCCAAATATACATTTACCCATGCAACAGGTAGCAGAAATTTAAAATGGGTTGGTAGAATGTTGTTTGTTTCTATCCAGGTTCCCAGTTAAGGTTAACTCTTTGCATTGAAGACCAGCATAACGCTGCTGCGGAGTTATGGGGAAGACATCTTTGTTGCGACAACAGGACTCTCGAAAGCATCGAGCGATTAATATCTCCATCATCTATCACCCGCGTGGATGTCTCGACTCCATCATCGTGGGCATGTTGGAAGCCACCACAATACGAGGATATATTCCTTGGCCGTACCATCCGTGGGTACACGTTCCAGAGTGTAATAAAGTCAGGAGGAACCGCCACCGTATATAAGGTGGAGAAAAATGGGCGGACATACGCAGCGAAAGTCTCGCTCCCAAATCAACTCCACCCGGATACAATATCCAAGGCATGGGCTACAGAATTAAGCATTATGAGTCAGTTGAAGCACAAAAATATAATTGGAGTTTATGACCTGTTTCCCCATCATGGACTCCATGTGATCATAATGGAGTATTTCGATGGCTGCGATCTGGCCGACTTCATTGCCTGTAACAACAAATCCCAGAGACAAAGAGCTTTGAAAAAGATCGCGAGGCAACTCGTTAAAGCCATCAAATACTTCCATAAGCACAACATTGCTCATCGGGATATCAAGCCGGCCAATGTACTGATCGGAAAAGATTTGAAAGTCAAAATAATCGACTTTGGGGGCGCCATGAAGCTGAGACCGGAAGATACATTGCTGGACCGGAAGCCGACTATAAGCACTCCGCAGTACACCCCACCAGAGGTACACGCAAGGGAACGGCGTTCATCAGGCGACATCTGCATGAAAGCATTTGATATGTGGAGCCTTGGAGTGTCCTTATATGAAAGTTTGACAGGAAAGCGGCCCAACTTCTACAACTCCACAATGGGAACAGACACTGTCATTACTCAGCCCGATTTCAGTGTTTTTGAAAGTCGAGACAGAAGGTTACTTTGTTTGGTTAAGAAATGTCTGGATATGAATCCAGAATCGAGAATCACGGCTAAAACGGCACTAAAAGAAAAATATTTCAGGCGTTTCTAGATTATTTCTATACCCTGCTTATACCGTAGCCAGCCGTAAACCGTCAGTGCTGCCCTTTGGCGTACCTTCTGAAACGCTTATTTATGGCACAGATTAAGTGCCAGGTAAGCCCCGGGGATGTATATAACAAAAAGGTCCCCAGTAACCCATGCTTGTCGGAAGAGGCGGCTAAATAGAGAACGGATGGTCAGGCTCTATGATCCGCCGGTGTGTGTTTCATGGAACCCAGATGTCGTGGTTCCCTGCCCACCATTTCGGTCACAACAAAGTTCCATTGCTTAATCAGATATCTTACCATGCTTGGCACTATTGTATAAACACAGAACTAGATCACGACCACAGTGAAATACCATCAACGACTGTACTTCATATAAAACCCAAATTCAGGTCAGACCATGTTATTATTGGAACTTGTTTTGCATATATCTTAATATTTCAAACCACCGTGTGAACATGCATGGGTGAGGTACCAATATTATACTGAAAGTGCTTTTTTTCCTGTTGCCAGATCACATGTCGTTCTCCTTTGGACATTGTGATGAATAAACTATTTCAATAGATCTGCATATTGTTTTTTGAGTTTATGAAGCATGGTCAGACAATAATGTTCCGAACATCCTTATTTAGTAAGGGGGTATTACTTGTGAATTAATAGGGCACTGTATCTCACCTGGATATATAACCAACAGCTTAAAATGTCAACAAAGACACCCACTTCACAGACGTTTGTAGTCCTTAACCCTACAAGAGTAAGAAAACTCATGAGTGGGTGGAGCTTATGTGACCTCGTAACACTTACGTACGTACGTACGTACTGCTTCTCACCTGAACACAGAAGTACATCGGACTTCTGCCGAGTAGTTACAGTATACACCGTATGCCGGCACTGCATTAGTTGCGGTACAATCAATATTACCTGAAACAACCTGCAACGTGTTTGTGAAATAATTAAACATTCATATCAACGAATCCCTCTAAAACTAACAAAGCGAACTGTAAATTGCAAAGTGGTATTGAAAAATTGTGTATTAGGAAAGAATGTCATTTCAGGTCTTTGAAAGGCATTTAGAAGTGATACACATAAGGACGAGAATATATAGATGTCAACTTCTTTCTTATGAGGAACACAACGTTTCGGAGAACATGCTTACTCCTTCATCTGGTGAAAGAATGCCATGAGGCAGAGAGCATATATACTCACACGCAAAAGAAACGCAAGTCGAGTATGCAGTATACATGTTATTTATTTTCAACAGTTAAGACAAGAAATACTAATAGGGCAAGATTGACAAAAAATTGACTGAAGACAGTTTAATGGATTAAAAGGCAGATGACATAATTGTTTTTTTTTCGAATGTTAAGGGCTCACTCAGTTTCGTGTCAATACCCAAAATGTCAGTCAATATAGTGGTGTGACCACCATTAGCATTGATAACTGCCAAACATCTCCTGTACATTGAGTGGATCAGACGATTTGTGAAGGCCCTAGGGATCCTCCTGCACACATCCAGAGTAGCTGTGCGTAGTTCATTGGCAGTTGTAGGGACTGGGCGCACATTGTGCAGACGCCTTTGAACCTCATCCCGCAAATGTTCGATGGGGTTCAGATCAGGGCTGAGGGCTGGCCACGGTAGAACACGGATGTTGTGTTGTTGCAGAAAGGCCATGGTAGCTCTGGCAACATGGGGACGAGCGTTGTCCTGCTGGAAAATGTGTTGTTGATGTTGTGCAAAAAAATGGAACAACGTGGAGTCTGATCACTTGGGCGATATACCGCTGAGCAGTGACGCCGTGTCCCCGACCTTGACCAATATTCAGAAAGCACATGGGTCCAAGTCTCGCATTAAGTCCAATCCCTGCCCATATCATGACGCTAGGTCCACCCCATGGACCCCTTTCCACAGCGTTTTTGTCAGCGAAACGATCACCTCGACGCCGCCAAATTCTGACTCTTCCGTCTGCATGGGAGACGCAAAAGCGACTTTCATCAGAGAAGATGACACGCCTCCACACACGATGACGCCAATTGTGATGACCCTGTGCCCACTGTAGTCGTGCTTGTCGATGCCATGGTTGGAGAACAGGACGACGTGCTGGTCGGCGACATCTGAGGTTGTTTGAACGGAGACGTCGGATCACAGTGTCCCGGATAATGTGTCGATTATGTGTTCCTATGGTCTGTCGAGCACTTTCACTTTCAGTTAGGAACGGATGTCGCTGGTGTTAACGGGTAATCTGCCGATCTTGTCGAGGTGTGGTGACCCTAGGACGACCGCTCCGAGGAAGGTCATCTGTGGTCTGCGTAGCATTGTATCGATGCAGAAGACGGTAAATTGTGGTTATGTTAACGTTGAAATGACGGGCAACATCTTGGACAGACTCTCCAGCTTCCAAACGTCCGATAGCCTGGTTTCTCTGAATTTGAGTTAGGCGTGGCATTGGTAACTAAGGAGTGGTAGGCCCAGGAATCGGCCACAGTTTTATACCCACTACAGTTCGTGACAGTTGGTGCATTTTTGTTTTCGCGAGAAATTGGTGCATGATACCCACATATTCATTGAAATGGTGCGTTTTGGCGATTCGTTTTTTACGTTGCGTTTTTACTCGGGGCTTCCAAAATGCAACCAAAAATATCGATAACACCATCAGGCTTCACTACATGCTAAAACTCGTATCAATTTATGGTTCAGTGTTTGTTACCTATTTGCTTAAAACCACTTGCGTTTCTTTTGCGTGTGAATATATATAGTAGTATATATAATATGTTTCATTGGGCTGAAGATAGACCACATAGGCATTATAAATAGTAGAGATGTTTTATTGGGGATGAAGATGGACCCCATAGCTATTATTAATAGTAGTGATGGTTTACTGGGCTGTAGATAGACCCCACAATCATTAAACATCGTAGTGATGTTTTATTTGGGATGAAGATGGACCCCATAGCCATTATTAATAGTAGTGATGGTTTACTGGGCTGTAGATAGACCCCACAATCATTAAACATCGTAGTGATGTTTTATTGGGGATGAAGATGGACCCCATAGCCATTATTAATAGTAGTGATGGTTTACTGGGCTGTAGATAGACCCCACAATCATTAAACATCGTAGTGATGTTTTATTGGGGATGAAGATGGACCCCATAGCCATTATTAATAGTAGTGATGGTTTACTGGGCTGTAGATAGACCCCACAATCATTAAACATCGTAGTGATGTTTTATTGGGGATGAAGATGGACCCCATAGCCATTATTAATAGTAGTGATGGTTTACTGGGCTGTAGATAGACCCCACAATCATTAAACATCGTAGTGATGTTTTATTGGGGATGAAGATGGACCCCATAGCCATTATTAATAGTAGTGATGGTTTACTGGGCTGTAGATAGACCCCACAATCATTAAACATCGTAGTGATGTTTTATCTGGGATGAAGATGGACCCCATAGGCACAATGTATTATAGTAGTAATGGTGTAATGGGCATTAAAAAAACGTAACTGTATCATACCAAAATGTATGTGTCGCAAAGAGTGAGTTCGTTACTTTGGTGTGTGGTCGCTTTGAGTAGTATTTTAGTTATATAACAGCGTGTCATTTTGATGCTGGATAAAAGGAGAAAATGATGCAGGCCTTAGATGTTTACCACTTCGGTGAGACCAACGAGGGACTGGTCTTGAGCTGACAAACCTACAAATATAATCAGGGATTGGAACCCACGATCTTAGTTTTCTGGCGCGCTAAAGGAATTTTGTTTGTTTGTTTGTTGTTTTACGCCGCACTCAGCAATATTCCAGCTATATAACGGCGGCCTGTAAATAATGCAACATACATTCCGTTCTTAGATACAACATTACTGTCGTACCATGTAGATCCCTTTGGGTGAATATACACATAACAATATAACACGTGTCTTTTAAGTCCAAACAGTGACTTGTCAAGTGATAGCTAGGTATGCACCACTTTCTGTGATACATGAAGTTTTAACATGATCTATACGATTCTGTTTTATATGAGAACACAAATTCCACCTGAAGGTCTTCCAAAATTTGCTATACTTTTTTTTCATAAAGTTGTTATATTCGTAGAACCAGAGACCATATACCGGTCTATATATGTATCAGTTTAGGGTCTCTGGTAGAACGTATCATCAAATTTAGTTTCTGGGTCTATGTTTCTGTCAAACCATTTATGTCAAATGATTTTAAAATGAAAGACACTCACAATTAGATAAGTTTGAGAGCAGTCCTAATATACGAGTTTCACAGCATTCATGATAATTCTAGTAGGTTCAGACGGTGCCCCCTGTATATCCGGGCCCTGGACACACCCCTATCTGTTCTGTGTCGGTCTCTCACCTCTCTCTGCCCCCGTTACCCATGTCGGCCCGACGTGTGTGTTCCGTCACGTGCCTCTGTCATAGACAGACTGCAGTGTGAGTCTATATTATAACTCCCCTAAAGTAACTTCTGATTGATCCATTCATAGAGACGAAGCTATCATTTACAGAAAGATATTTGGACATTTTCAATTAATTTGTTGTACGATGAACCGCAATTTGAAGCTCCGTAACACAAGATCGGAACGACAACACTGTCAGATATTTTAAGGCGCCTTGCAATGAAAAGTATCCATTATTCATCATCGTAATTGATAAATCTGATTGATTTGTTTGCTTGAAGTGTAAGACTACTGAATGTGTTGCTCCACAACAACTTGGGAGTGAAAGCCGTTCCTAAATTTAACATTAAATCACAACAGTTTGTTCATACTAAGCCTCTTCGAAACACCATAATTTAATTTTATTTAAATTTAACTCCTTTCCTAGAAATTTTAAAGAACGTTTATTTTCTACTGCAGCACTGCCATAACAAACGAAACATCGTCTGCGTATTATAATGCAATTAGATAATATGGAATCTCACTATTAACAAACATGACCACCATTTTGTTCAAACACCATTGTGCGTTCATTTAAAAAGGTTTAAACTTCGTTGAATGGAAATCCATTAACTTGATATGTCGTTTATCAGTGTATCGTTATGGTCCCAGCAGAAGCCTATGTTCTTGTATAGGCACTCCGCATGTGTCGAACTAGCCCGAGATAGGTCGACATATTTCCGATGGTCCCGGGGTCTCTCCGCTAACGAAGTGTCATTGTAGCATCAAGTATGTTATCAATGTCCAATGTCTGAAGGCCATGTGTGGCGACCATGGCTTGAAATTATAAACTGAGTAAACCGAAACTGACTCTCACCCGCTCACACTTACACGAGGGTGGCTGGCGGCTAGATTCACCCATAGACGTAAAATGTTTGCTCACGCTCAAAATACATTGGCACCTGCAGTCGTAGAATATATAGGAACCATTCGTAATTCAAGCACAACCGTGAGCTAATGTCTCTACGGTTACTATATTGAGTGAGTGAGTTGGGTTTAACGCCGCTTTTAACAGTATTCCAGTTATATCGCGGCGTGTCAGCTTAATGTGGGAAGAAAGCCCGAAGTGATGCAGGCCTCTTTTTACCACTTCGGTGAAACCCAAGAGCACGGGTATGG